CGGCTCCGGCGCAGGCCTCGAGCTCTGAGCGTGAGGACGCCGGTCCGCTCCGTGCTCCCGGCTGGGGAAGTCGTGGGAGGTGGCGCAGGCCGACCTGGCCGCTCCCCGGGCGCCACGATGCCCCGAGTCCTCACAGAACCCTGTGCGGGGCCTCCTTATCCACGGCGCTCTTTCTCCCCGGTGGCTTCAGCTGCTTTATCCCGTTATACGCTGACAAGGCGCCTGATCAAGGCTTGGCTTCCACGGAGTCTCCTGTTGAGAGAAGAAACTACCTGAGGCTTCCACAGAACAATCGTGAAAACAGGTGGAGGCATTGAGAACGGATGGCGCTAATCTGTTTGACCGACGCAATGTGGGTGTTTTCAGTTCTTTGCTCTCATAAAAGTTGAAGGAGGCCCCCATGGAGGTGTTAGCTGATAGATTTCTGAACATATTTTTTAATAGTAAATTATTAAATAAGCTTTGGCACTAACCCAGAAGGAATTCAAGGAATTGAGTGACATCGTTATAACCAAGTGTAATTGCCCCTCTACTTTTTTATTTGGACAGGTTTCTGAGGAGTTAAACCACTTTTCACCAAAAAGGAAACAAAAATAACAATAGGATTGACAGTATTATATCTCATTACTGCAAGAAGTAATATGCATCCACAAATACGCAGGTAATTGGGTGAAAAAACAGCCTCATTTTGTCTCCTTAAGCAATGCATTTTCAGGGAGTACCTAACATCAGCTATTACTGGTGATGTTAACCTTAATGACATGGGGCATGGTTAAGGTTGTGTCTGTCAGGTTTCTCCCCTGTGAAGTTACTGTTTTCATTTTTATACACTCCATTGGAAGGAAGTCCTGCGTGCACACAAGAGGAGAGAAAGAGATGCCTTCCTCCTGGAGAGAGAAGTATCACGGAATTTGTGGGCATATGTTTAAACCACCATGTAATATTTTGAAGGAGATAATTTGAGGCTATGTAAATATCCTGGAGTTTCACTCAGTAATTTTCATTCATCTTTGGATCTTGACTAAAGCAGTTAGTACTGTGGTGGTCTTTTTTAAAAAAGTATGTTTTCTCAGTTAAATTTTTTTGAGATATAATTGATATATAACATTAATTTCAGGTGTACAACATAATGATTCAATAAATGTATATGTTGCGGATTGATCACCAAATAAGTCTAGTTAACATCCGTCAGCACAGTTACAAATTTTTTTTTCTCATGATAAGACCTTTTAAGATATACTCTCTTAGCAGCTTACAAATATACAATGCAAGATCATTCTGTAATGCTGTACATTACATCCCAGGACTTAATTTGTTACTGGAAGTTTGTACCTTTTGACCCCCACACCCAGCCCTTGCTTCTGGCCACCACCAGTCTGTTCTCTGTATCTATGAGTTTGTTTTTAATTCCACTTACAAGTGACATCATATGGTAATTGTATTTGTTTGGTTTATTTCTCTTAGCATAATGCCCACAAAGTTCCATCCATGTTGTAGTAAGTGGCAAGAGTTCCTTTTTTATATAGATGAATAATATTTCATTGCATATATATACCACATCTTCTTTATCCATTCATCTATGATTGGAAATTTAGGTTCATATTTTGGCTGTTGGAAATAATGCTGCTGTGATCATGGGTGCATTTGTTTTTTCAAGGTAGTGTTAGCATTTCCTTAGGATAACTTTCCAGAAGTGGAATTGTTGCATCATATGGTAGTTCTATTTTTAATTTTTTGAGGAACCTCCATCCTGTTTTCAATAGTGGTTGAACCAATTTACATTCTCACTAACAGTGCACAAGGATTCCCTTTTCTCCACGTCCTCACCAACACTTGCTATTCTTTTTCTTTTTGGTAACAGCCGCTACATCAGATGTAAAGTGATATCTCAGTGTGGTTTTGATTTGCATTTCCCTAATTATTAGGCACCTTTCATGTACCTGTTGGCCAAGTGTATGTCTTCTTTGGAAAAATGGTTCAGATCCTCTCCCCTTTTTTTAAATTGGGTTGTTGTTGTTTGGTTATTGAATTGTATGAGTTCTTTATGTATTTTGAATATTAATACCTTATCAGATATATGGTTTGCAAATATTTATTCCATAGGTCACCTTTTAATTTTGTTGGTTTTCTTTGCCATGCAGAAGCTTTTTAGTTTGCTGTAGTCCCACTTGTGTTTTTTTTCATTGCCTTTGTTTTTGGTGTCAAATCCAAAAAATCATCACCCAGACTGATGTCAGAGCACTAACCACCTATATTTTCTTCTAGGAGTTTTATGGTTTCAGGTCTTATGTTCAAGTTTTTAATTCATTTTGATTTGATTTTTGTGTATGGTGTAAGATAGTGGTCCAGTTTTCCCAATACTACTTAATGAAGAGACTAACATTTCCCCATTGTATATTTTTGGCTCCTTTGTTGTAAGTTAATTGACCACATACATGTGATTTGGGGTCCTTTCTCTGTTTCCTTCATTTGTCTAGCTAAGGGTTGTCGGTTTTAAAAAAAATCTTTCCATAGAACCAACTCTTAGTTTTTCTATTGTTTTTCTGTTCTCTATTATATTTATTTCTCCTCTAACCTTTATTATTTCTTTTCTTTCTGCTAAGTTTGGGCACAATTTGTCTTCTGTTTCTAGATCCTTAAGTTTTAGAGTTATTTGAGGGTCTTTCTTCTTAATGTAGGCATTTATTGCTGTGAGCATCCCTCTTAGAACTGCTTTTGCTGCATCCCACAAGTTCTTGTATGTTCTTTCCATTTTTGTTTCAAGAAACTTTTTTATTGACCCTTTAATTTCTTTGATTTACTAATTGTTCATGAGAGTGTTAATTCATTCAAGGGGTTACTGTGTATGTATCTTCTCTCTTTTCTGTTGCTTCTCTTAAAATTCTTTTATCTTTGACTTTTGACAGTTTAATTATAATGTGTCTCCATGTACCGCTCTCCTCGTTCAGCTGTTTGGGGTCCTTTGGACCCTCATGGATCTAGATGTCCATTTCTCTTCCCAGGTGTGGCAAGTTCTTACCCACTATTTCTTTAAATATACTTTCTGCCCCTTTTTTTTCTTCTCCTGGAGTTTCCATATTTCTATTTACCTTCCCACCAGCAACGCTACAAATATGGTTTTCTCATAGCCTTGTCCAACAGAACCACAGAAAGTATGAATAGGTACAAATTTAAATTGCCCTTTTCTTTTTATAGCATTACCACTCTAAGTGCCAGAAATAGAGTGAGTTGATACTTATGTCATTTTTTTGTAATCTCATACATCAATAATATTTAAAGCCATGGGAAATGTTTAACATTTTAAAATGTCTGGTATAACTGTTTCTTTGAAGCAGAGAATTAGTAACTGAAGGACGCAAGTAAGGAACTAATTTATTTAATTTTTATTTACTTTGTTTTATGAAGTAACTTTCTGGCAGTATTACCTTAGACACTAGATCCAAAGTAGGCATAGAATTTGCTTCTCTGGTAAGTTTGACCAATAGACATAATGTTCCTATAGCCCCCAACTGTAGGGGTGGTTTGGGGGGGAATAAAGCGAGATCAGGCAGATAATAGGTAAGATGGTGTAGCAGAAAGAATACAAAATTATGACTCTAGCCACTAGGGTTTTAGTTTTAATTGTGTTACTAAGTTGCTGTGTGACAATAAAGAACAATTTTTAATTCCCCTACTAACACTATCTGTGTCTGTCTGTCCATCCGCCCATCCATCCATCCATCCAAGACCTTGGCTGGCTAAGTATCTTGGCTCTTCTGGAGGTTTATTTTGTTGTTTTTTAATCTGTCAGAGAGAATACTGTCTTATCTACCTGAGTTCAAGATTCTGCACCAGAGGTTTTCTTGAGGTGTTTTCTAGCTCTCAGTTCTTTAATTCTATTGTTTACTCAACATTTTTTAAATTTTTAAAAATTTTTTTCCAACTTTATTAACATTGTGTAATATTAAGGAATACAATGTGCTGTTTGAAACACATATATCACAAAATGATTACCACAATATAGCATTAGCTAACACCTCCTTCATGTCATATAATTGCCATTTCTTTTTTTGTGGGAGACCATTTAAGATTTACTCTCCTAGCAACTTTCAAGTTTGGATTATACTGACTTGGCTGATTTCAAACCTGAGTTGTGATTAAGAGTATTATAGCTGCCCTACTTGGTTTGGCTCAGTGGATAGAGTGTCAGCCTGTGTACTGAACTGTCCTGGTTTTGATTCTGGCCAAGGACATGTACCTCTATTGCAGACTCAATCCCCAGCCCTGGTCAGGGAAGCATGTGGGGAGGCTATCAATCAATGTATCGCTCTCACATCAATGTTTCTCTCTCTCTCACTCCCTTCTACTGTCTCTGAAAAAGCAATGGAAAAATATCCTCAGGTGAGGATTAAAACAAGTGTATTAATGCTACTTTCGAATATTATTTTAGATTTGGCTATTCTTTTAAAATCTTTTTATTATACTAATGCATCTACATTATACAGCTACCTTCATATGCACGAAAGAATACATATAAACATGTACATAAAGAATACACTATAGCCCGGCTGGGCCTGGCTCAGTGGTTGAGCATCAACTTAAGATCCAGGACATGGCAGTTCAATTCCCAGTCAGGGCACATGTCCAGGTTGCGGGCTTGATCCCCAATTGGGGGCGTGCAGGAGGCAGCCGATCAATAACTCTCTCATCATTGATGTTTCTGTCTCTCCCTCTCCCTTCCTCTCTCTCTGAAATCAATAAAGATATATATTTTTTAAAGAATATACTATAATAAAAACAAACAGCTATGTGTTGATCACTAGCTTAAGAAATAGAATAATACCTAGTATCTCTGAAATGTCTGCTATCCTCTCTCTGACTGCATCCTCCTTCAGCTAATTTTTATACAGATTTCATTTTTGTAAGTATTATCTTCTATGAAAACACTTAATAACTAACACAGAGTGGTCATCTATTATAAAAATTAGCTGTCAAAGGAAAAAAAGGCTCAAAAACAACTATAGATTGAAACCAATTATTGTGACTTTATTATAATAGTTACAAACAATATTTTAGTGGTATTTAATCATATCACAAGTACTCAAACTATATACAAATAGGTATTTATACAAGTCTACATTTAAAAAAAGAAAAAACAATTAATGACCCAAAAAATCACATTATGAACAAGTTTCTTTCAAAAAGTATGGCCAATAAAGGCAATTCACAGTTATTCTGAAAATATTTTAAGATGCAGGAATCATATTGCACATAACAATTATAAATCCTACTGAGTAGATGTATATATTTTAATCTAGTTTTTCACAAAATTTACATTATCATGCAATATACTTCACTGTATACAGAATGGTGGAACTAGAACAAAATTAGAATTATTTTAAAGTTACATTTAAAATAATTTTAATATACAAAAAACCACTCCAGTGTAATAAAACTTAACGGACACAAAGTCATAATTTGTTCACAGATCAAGTTACTTTTTAGTGTTCTTCTTTGTCTTTTCCTTTCTTCTCCTTCTCATCCTGTAGTGCAGTACCGAGTTTTTTGATAAGAACTGACAGAACCTTGTCCAGTGGGTCCATGACTCCTCTTTGAAGCCATTTAGGAATAGTAGTCCTGGCATGATGAAAGCCCAATTTTTGAAGAATATAATCAACGCCTACTGGATCAATCTTTCTTCCAGTCCAAGAAATTAATCTAAAATAATTATAAATAATAATTAGGAGTACAGTGTCCCAGCCCAGTCCTGACAGAAAGTTAAGCACATCACTAAGCCTCCATAATGTGCTCAAGACAAAATATTTTCAGTGGGTCCATTTGAGTAATCTAACCTACAATTCTTGGATTCACTATAATAGCATTAAAAAAATGTGTGATTATAAGTATCCTTTTTTTTTTTAAAGTTTTTTTTAAAATTTATTATTATTATTTTTAATTGATTTTAGAGAGAGGAAAGGAGAGGGAGAGAGAGACAGAAACATCAATGATGAGAGAGTTGTTGATCGAGCCTGCAACCTGGGTATGTGCCCTGACCGGGAATCGAACCCTGATCGCCTGGATCCCAGGTCGATGCTCAACCGCTGAGCCACGCCCGGCCGGGCTATAAGTATCCTTGATAAGCGTACACACAGTAATGGAGTTTAGTGAATTTCATTCTGATTATTTTAAGCCTAAAGTTACAGTCATGTGACACATTTAAAGGACATTTAGTTCATTCTAAAAGATGTTAATAAACTTGGTGGGGGAAATCCTTTCAGATGTATATGCATATCAAGTCAGGATGTCATACACTTAAAATATCTTTCTGTTTTGCCAGTTACACCTCAATAAAGCTGAAAAAAGACAAGTTCAAATATGTGGCACAATGGTGGGGGGAGGGGAGCATAAAATATAGTGTTTGCTGTGTGCTAAACATGTTTGAAGGAAGAACCATTTTCTTCCTATTGGTATTTCTTTCCATACAGAGGAACAGCCATCAGCGAAACACTCCTGGCCTCTGTCTGCCCCTTACTGATGATTTATCTGATTGGCAAATTAATGGAGGAACTGATTAGTATGGTTTAGTACCCTCTTCCGTACCTTCTCTTAGGAACCATTCATTTTGGTCCTTTATGCCATAGGTTTTTCAAGGATAGGTCTCTAAATAGGTGAGCCCAAGACAGTTCATGGCTGCCCGTAGCTAGGTAAGTACACAGTGCTGCTGACTGTACAACTCCAGCCCTGCCCCCTTTGAGCTCTGCAGCACTGGGACCCTGCAGGTGAGTCCAAACCTGGACTCTATTAGAAAGCCACTGGTGCCAGACCTCCAAACCACATTCTCTGTCACCAGCGTTATCAGTATTAAAATTGTCAATTTGATTTCTAGCTGCCTCTCTCCCACTATTTCAGTTAGGGGAAAGGGCAGTAATAAGCACTGATCTGCTAAAACTCTTAACAGTTACAAGCATTTTGTGTTAACTAACTTATTTAACCATTGTAACAACCCTACAAGGTAGGTAATACCATTTTCTAAATTTTTCTTATGAGGTAACTGAGGCAGAGGGTGGTTACTAGGTCCTTCAGGCAATGTCACTTAACCAGAAAACAGGGCTTAGAGCCACCACTCTTAACCATGCTGTCCACTACTACACCATATTTAGTCTCATGGTAGTGTGCTAAAGTAAGGATTATATTTATGGCAAATTTAACTATTTTATCCTCATTTTAAATTAAAAGATACAACAGGTCCTTGAATAACACCATTTTGTTATAACTTGTAGGAACTTAATTAACTCTTGTTTATATCAAGTAGCCTATGGTAAAATGGTCTTCATTATATATTGTTTCCCTTAAAGTCACAGAATCAACTTACCAACCTTAGGGGATGACTTAACTAGTTCATTATATTTATTTGGATTTACAAATACAAAACAGATTTTCTAAATAGTTTTCTGTATTAGGACCTTTGCAATATTTTAATATTTTTCCTAAGTACTGACACTGTTACTATTTCTCATGTGTTTATGTGCTATTAATACCAAAGTGTTTTGTTGATTTGGTTACAACAAATTTTGCTGAATACAAATTACTAACACAAAGTCACTTTCTGTTTATACAGGAGTCCACTGTATAATGGAGATTTTGTTAGTTTGGAATTATTTTGGTATAAGTATGTCTGAATAATGACCTTATCTAAATGAAATCTGTGTCATTCTGCAGGGTCGAGTGTGATAGACTTTTTTTGATACCATTATTCCATGAATCAGACAGTGATAATTTGATTAACAAAGCAGATGAGAGGAAAGGGGAAAATAATAGGAAGGTTGTGAGTGTTAATCACAAACAAGGACATACAAAGCAAGTACTGCTGGTTATAGCAGCAATTATAATTAAAATTAGAAAATACTTTCGAAATTACGATGTGAAAACAAGCTGATGTAATTGGGATCATGATTATAGTAGAACATGACTCAGTAAAGGAACTAGAATCTGACAGCACTAAATTCCACATTTCAGGGATGATTTTATATTGCTTCCTGTGTAAACAAAAGGACACTGTGACTGCTCTGTTCTATTACATTGTCATGATGTATGTGAGAAACTGTACAGTTCCTTAATGATGTATGACTTCTACTGAATCTTCCCAAACTAAGTAACAAAAGTTTATTGTAGCTACCTCAAGCACCTGAAAATAACATCTTGGTGAGACGGTGAAAAAATAATAGCCACTATGGAAGTAAGAGTTATTCTCACATTTTAGTGATTAATTGACAGAATGTCACATAGTGGACAGCTAACCAGCGCTGAGCTGTTCCCAGTGTCTGTGCTTCTGCCTTGTCTAGAACACTTGCAAAAGCAGAAAGAAACAGCAAAAACAGCAGTCAGACGTTGTTGAGGTTACAGCTTCCAAATATATTTTTCAGTAAAAAATATTTAATAACCTAATACATAATTTATAACTTTTTCTCCTAATAATCCCATAGAATATAGGTAAATATATATACCCACTATTTACCTAAGAGTAGGCTCTAGATGCCACGTGTTGCACATAAAATCTCTCCAATCCACAGTGGTGTAAGTGATGCTGTCTTCTCTGTCTTTGTCAGAGGAGCTGTCATCATGTATAACGATTGGACTTTTCTGTCCTGGTCGAGTAGATAAAATCCGAGGTGGAAAAATGGCTATGATGAAAATAATAGATTAATATTGCAAATATATATCTTTTAAGTTTATTTTAAATCACTATATGAACAGGATAATTTGTTCCATTCCTCATTTAATTACATTTCTTAAAAAGTAATATTTTAAAATAAGCCTTAATAAGTGCCAATAATAAGTATTGCCTATAAAAAGCCAGTATCAAAGTTACTGCATTATCTTACAATTAGAAATAATGTCATAGTTTATTTTTTAGTAATAGCATGTGTTTTTCATATATTTGTGGGCCTAAAACTAATGGTAAAGAATGCTGACATTTATGTGATTAGCAGGCCTAGGGCACTGGACTTGACGGTTGTAGGTTTCCTAAAGAACAGCTATAGGTGAATGACTTATTTTAACAGCTTTATTGAGATATAATTCACAATAAAACCCATTCATTTAATGTGTACAACTCAGTGGTTCTAGTATATTAATGGTGATACATATATTTGAACAGTGGTACTACCTTAGAAGCTGTTTACATAAGCAACCTTTTCACTCCATATAGCAAACATGCAAATCTTTTATGAAAGATGGAGTCTTTCTAAATTAGTGATCATAAATAATAGGTGACATGCTCCTTTTATTACATAGTTGTTTCTTTAGTCATTTCACTTGACTAGTCATATTTCTTCAACGAGGTTTTCTTTTCCTACTTTGTGAGAATCTCCTATAAGGCCTGATAATGTACATATGTGGTAACAGTTTGTAAAATACAAAATACATTCAATGTGAGGCATGGTTAGAAAGAGTGTTGTGTGTGTCTAGCAGACACCCAGTCTGTTACACAGTCTTACTAATAGGTTATTTCTTTTCATTTCACTTATTTATTGATATTTGCAACTCATAAAGGAAGGAGACACATTCTGCTAATTTATCATTAGACCATTACAAGTCCATATAAATGGCAGACAGCTGCCTTTCCTGAAGCTTGAAAGATAAAACACAACCCCCAAAACAAGAATATGCCACCCACCTTTTTCTTTCTCTTTAAGATAAGCCGACACTAAATCATGGAGAAACATGATGAGCTCAGCATCCATAGTCACACAAATGTGGTCAGTGAACTCTGTCACCACACTACATTCTACCTTCGGCTTCAGGCTGGCATCTGCAAAGGCAAAGTTCTTTAATAGTTAAGATTTCATGAAATAAATCCCTTTCTCTTCCTGTTAAGGGATTTACATGGGTCTGTGTAAATGCATCCACTAAAAGGCAACAATTGAGAAATGAGTATTTCTGTATGTGATTCACAGAATGATGATGGTTTACTGAGTACTTTATATGTCATTTATTCCTCATAAAAACCCTCTGAACCTCTTATTATCCTCCATTTTACTGAGGAGAAAGAGAGACAAGTGGATTAAATTATTTGCCACATGTCACGTGGCTGGTAAGAAAATAATTTTGACTCAGGAAATCACTTTATGTTATATAATTGTATAATTATATAATCAGATTATATTAATATTGCACAAATAACCTGTGGGAAAACAGTAGTTTGGAGTTCCTTTAGAATTTTCTTAGTCAAAAACTAAGGGTTGTTTTTCCACATACCCTGTAATGAAGGTTCTTGTGGTTCTTGAACATGAATGGATTTAAAGTCAAGCTGCATCCTTGGTAATGCAAAGATAGTCTCTGTTTCATGATTGTAGCTAGAACCTCCTCTGAATCCACTCAGCAAACTGGAATTCTTCACCGTAGTGCTATTCTCGGTGTTATTAGCATCAACATTACGAAGTAGGTTTAGCTCTACATGCGCAATAATAAAGACAGTAAGAATCAAATTAAATCAACAGGCATTGATAAGCCTATAGCTTTCATGACACTATGATACAAGAACTTTTATCATTTCAAAAGTTGGAAAATAAACTCACATTTGAAAAATAGAGCCATATATAAGCTGTGATCTTGAGAATAGTTATATATCTCTCTATATATGTAGACAGGGGTATAGACATATTTATATAAATAAATATAGGGCTATGTTTATATGTAGTGGTTATATTTGCATATACATAAATACACATACATAAGTAGTGATATATATCACTTCTCAAGACTGAAGCTTTATAAGATGGTTTGGATAAATCCAATAATTCAGTCCTTTTTTTTTTTTTGCTTCTTGAACTTTAAAATGAATATTATTCTCAACTGAATTCATGTCTGAATTTAAGAGTTTCATTAATCTCCATACACTGAATCCTTCCCTCTTACAGAATCTGTGATTAAATATGATCCTGATCTTGAAATCAGGTCGAAGTCCTGATTTTCCGCAACATGTGCTATGATTATGGTTGTCTTATGAAATTAGCACTTTTCTAGTTACACAGGTAGCAGTTTAGTATCCTAACAGCCCCTCCTTAGAATCCCAGCCGAAAAAGACCCCCTTCCCCGTACCGGAAGGCAGGACAGCCAATACCCGCCTACTCTCCTAATTTGCGTCCTTATCCTCCTTTTTCAGAACAGTCTTGAATCCCTGGGGTTGCCTATTCCATAGTAACTGTGTTCCACAGGCCCAGGTCATCATCCTTCCCATTTTGAAAAGACACTTTTAAATAAAACATTCAAGTCTTAACACGTCTCAATCTAGTCAGCTTTCTAATACAAATGAAATTATTGTAAAAGCAGTAAACTTGAACATAAAACCACAAAATAAAAATTTTCATGACCACATTATACAAGACTGATGAATCAAATCAAATGAAAAAAACTCATCAAAACCACTCTCTTTAATTATGAACTCATAGGAATAATATTTAGTTTCATTTTATTTCATACTTCCAGAACCTTAAGTTTGTGGCACTCTATTACTTAGTTGTGTAATAACTCTCACAAGCCTCCAATGTTTAGCATTAGTAGGAAAATATTTTTCTAATAATCATAAAGTAAACTTAATTTCATTTATTTAAGCCAATTTTATTTTGAATGTTTTCAATTACATCTAAAGTAATTTAAGTCTGTGATATGTTGCATCACCGGGGTGGTGGTGAAACCATGCACTAATATTGCTACTTATGTCAGCAGGAGTAAAATGAAACTTGTTTAATTGGAGAAATGAAAATTCTCCCCCTACTTAAATTCTAAACAGTCAACAGAATCCAAAATAGAAAAAATAAAAAGCTCCAAAAAAATAAAACTTTTAACCTTCATTTCTTGTGGCTGTAACATAATGGAACCATTCTTTCACACTCGCTACTCCATGGGGTGGGTTTTCATGGCGACGCCTTGTTATCTTGGTTATTGTTGCCATAGGACTTTCCAAAGCACCACACGGTTTGGTAACCATGGTATTATGGCCCAGATGAAAATCCAATGTTTGTACAATATATGTAGAATGATCACTAGAGCCTAGAGGAAAAAAGTTTCTTAATGTATCAAACTATATTAAGATGCAAGAAAATAGTTGTGCTTAGAGCAACAGATTGTTGTGAAAATGTGTAAATAACTGAGGGAAAAAAATCACAATTTTTCTTTCTTTAGTTATAACTGGATTTATCCCCTGTAAGATGAAGAGTACCAATCATTTTTTTTTTGGTCATCATTAAGAAACCACTGAATAAGAAATTCAAGCTGAAAGGAATTGGATCTATCACTGTAAACTGGGGTAAAAGCAGAGCCTTGCCCATCAAAGTCTTATGGTACAGTCTTAATGGCAGATCATCTCCTTACACTGCCACTGTGTCTCTTCTGTTCATGTTTATGTAAGAAATATTGACAATAACTACTATTATGAGTATGATCAGCCTTAGCCGCAGAAAATTTAATTGCCTAAGCAAGAAACAGAGTAGATGGCAAGTCCAGAAATAAGTCCTTTACCATGTCCCAGACTTTATAGACTGATTCATTGGCAGTGAACTCCTTGACATGTCAGGTACATGATAATAGAATGGACTTCAGAAATGTTATGATAGAAAACAGACAAAAGATATGAGAAAGAAAAATTAATCTGCCATGTATTATCACATCAGAAGATGGAAAGAGTAAAAGCTTGAAATGTCTCAGTTTACCATCCTCCCAGATCTTCTGAGCTTCGGTCCAAAAAGCAATGTTTGGTTCTTCTAAGTGAAAAAGGGCCCAGGATTTTGAACGGAAATTTGGACCATGGAAACAAGCTAGTGTCATGTGATTTCCATGTAAGCTCATCGATCCTCCAAACTGCATTCCATCTTCTGGTAACGGAATCTGGAATAAGGATATGTGGCATCCTGACACCACCTTCAGTACTCCAGGCCAGTGTCGATGGTGTGCGGCATCCAGCACTGCAAGAGAACCAAACAGGCTTGTCCTGGGTATCTTCCACAGGCACAGCCTCAAGGGTAATGCCAGGGAGCTGGGGCAGCAGGGCTCCTTTCTGCAGCTGCAGTGACTTGGATAAGGGATGAAAACCACCCAACCCTGGTTAACATTAAGCAGAAGCCAATAAACATACAGTCTCAGGAAAGATGCTGCATAGGGATGGATACAACTAAGGAAAGTAGTAACTTGCTAATAATAATTGCAACTAACACTGTTGTAATAATTTACAAATGCTTGCATGACATTTTATACAGTTCTCACAGTAACTCTGTAAACTAGGTATTTCACCTGGACCCTGTTCAAGTGAAGCAGAGGAGGGGTTAAGTAAACTAGCGACTAGAAGACTAGAAATCAAATGCAGACCCCCTGATTTTAAGTACATTTTCTTTTTTTTACTCTTTTGTAACCTGGCTACTCAAAAGTGAGGTCTGAGAACCATCAGCATCACTCAGAACATGTTCAAAATGCAGACTCTTATGTCCACCCCACACCTATGTATCAGAATCTGCATCTGAATAAGACCTCCAGGTATTTCAGATGCCTGGTCAAGTTTGAGAAGCATTCCTTTATATTTCCCACTTATTCCAGTAATGTCCTTTTGGCTGTTTTCCACAGCTCCGATTCCAGATCCAACCAGGGGTCATGTGTTGTATTTAGTTGGCATGTCTCTTTAGTTTCCTTTAATCTAAAACAATTCCCTAAGCTTGTCTGTTTTCCATGACAAGGACTTTTTAAAGAATCCAGGCCAGGCATTTTGGGAAAACTCCCCTCTGTTTATATATGCCTGATACCAATTCTAGTTTAAAGGAAATACAGGGACTAGAGGAACAAGAAAAATGGAACCACAAGGAAGCAAGTGAAAACTATGTAGAAGGCAGGACATTGTGCTGGACAATTGGCCAATCCTCTCAAATAAGTCAGGTCATTAAGAAAGGACTATGCTGAATTGAAAGAGAATAAAGGATCTGACCTGTGATCTTGAATGGGATATACTGGTTAGCATAGGTTTTAGCATAATTTTAGGTCAGTTGTGGAATATGGTCACAAGCTAGAGGAAATAAATTAGCAAAAAGGAAAGTGGGAGATTGTTGAGTGGAAAAGTATGAACAATATTTTTGTAAAAAGTACACAAACATATATAGGTGCACAGAAAAATATCTGAAGGTACATGCTCTCAGGTGTTCAACAGGGATCATTTTTAGATGGAATGGGATGCTTTTATTTTTTGCTTGTATGTATTTGTTAGTTTTTTTCAATGTACAAGTATTGCTTCTGTGATAATAAAAAGTTATTAAAAATTATCCTGACTCTAACAACTTTTTGCCGCTTTTTCCCCTATCACCCTAGTTAAAGCTACCATAACCTGTAATCTGAACTCCTGCAGCACCTCTTTACTATGGTAATGTAAGTATGTGTATAATGATGGTAATTACTACACTTGCTCTCCTTACTTCCCTCCTTAACCACTTGTAGTCTATTCTCCACACAGCAGCCAGAGTGATGCTTTACAAAGGAATACTTTGAGAAAAAGTTAAGTAATATCAAATCTGTTTGAAAATCTCCAATAGCTACCCATCATATTAAAACTCTTATCTGTGGCCTGAGTTGAGGTACAACATTTTCCTACTTGCTCACTGTTCCACACAGTGACCATCTTTATGACCCTCAAAGCAAATTTCCTCCTGCTGTGGGACCTCTGCACTCTCCATGAGCCCCTGTCCCTGGAACACTCTTCCCCCAGCCCTCAGCCTAGATCTTTCACTTGAGAAAAGGTTTCCCTGAGCCCCCTTCTAAAATACCCATCCTCATATATTTGTTCTCTATTTCCTTCCTCTGCTTCATTCCTCTTCTCAGCACCTCTCTCTACCTGAAACTGTCTTGCATTTTAGTTAATAACTTACTTATATGGTCTGTCTCTCCCACTAGAATGTAAACTTCATGAGGCTAGGAACTTTGCCCACTAGATCTATGCCTAAAACAGTGCTTAAGCATACAACGATGTTTAATAAATATTTGCTGATTGAACTACTGAGTGGAAATAATAATCTGCCTAATCGGGCACAGCTAATAAATTCAAACTCAGACATTCTGATTCCACAGCCCATGCCCTTAAGCAGAACATGGTATTGTCATAATTAGTATTCAGGAATGTGGTATACGGATGGTTTAGATGAGCAGTGGCAAGGGAGGAGATAAAAATGGTGACTTCTCAAATGATGGCCTCGAGGCCCACTGGAGGGTGGGAATCAGATACGTTGCTGAGTGAACTGAAGAAGAGCACATGGATTGCTATAAGTATGGCATATAGTTACTATATGACTTTAAATGAAGATTGCAACACATTCATTGAGAGATCAGCACATACAAAGCCTTAGTTCTAATTCTTACACTGCTCTTGTGAACTTTTCTCTAGGTTATTCGTCACTGTCTTAGGTGGAAGATAAGGAACTGGTCCCCAGGTAGACAGAGCTCGTTTGCTGGTGTCAAACTGTTGTGTGAAAAATTCCTGGAGCTTCATTCCTATTTTTATCAGGTCTGGTGTGGTTGATCTTGATATCATTACTTGGAAAATATCCCACTTCAAATCTCCATGGACAAAAATTTCACTAGAATGTAAAACAGAGTCTTTATCATATAGCTTATAGAAAACAGTTTAAAAGTATAAGAAAAAGTCTCTTCCCCACCCAGCTTTTTCATTCACATTAATTGCATAACATAAGATCATTTTGCAACAAAATGATTTGCTTGTGTTTTCTCACTGGATGACAGAAAATATGTTCAGAGCAGTCATGCAAAGTCCCATTTCCTGAATACCTTTTATCACTTATGCTCGAATCCAGGGCACTGCACAGATTCACCTTCCACTCGTCCTGCAGCTTGAGGTCAGCGTTGCTGAAGATGCCCATGAGGATGCTGGAGCCCATGTAGTCCACCCGGGCCTCAGTGGAGCCCATCGTGATTTGAATTTTGTGACTGGGCTGCTGATTCGGGTGTTCAGAAATATGAGCTGAAATAACAATTACTTTTTACAGTAATGCCGAATGGAAAAACTCATCAAAGTAAGTTTTTTAAAAGTTTTTTTCCAATATGGATATTTTTCAGTTGTTGTAAAATTTCAACATACCAACCATCTCCAGGGCATTGACATCAATGGTCCCTCCAACGACCCCTCCCTTAGAGTCTAATTGGGATCTTCCAAGCCCAACAGACATGCTGATCTCTCTGTCGCGGTTACTTCCTACTGACAGGCGGCCCTGGCTCTTCAAACCACTTGTTGTCCAACTGAAAAAAGAAAAAGGTTATTAATTAGACATATGGCATCCAGGGTCATAAATTAAAACAAGAGTTAGGTGATTTCAAAAGAGTTTTTTTTTAAGTTTATTATAAAAAACAGTAAATGTTTAATTATTAAAATTTATGAGGAGGCTTTCTGCTTAGCTAGAAAATTGTGCAGCTTTACTTATAATTTTCTTTCTTTTTAGAACATATATTTCATGTTTTATATTTTAGTATCTTTAGGATCAGATTAAGCAATTTTCAGGATAAAGCAATTTAATATATTTTATCTACTGTTTTCACCTTATCAAACATTTCAGCATTAGAAAAAGGTTTTGAATTGCTTTAATACACTATAAGAAAAATTACAACTAATGATTAAATATATTTTCTTTGTATCTAAAGAGCTTACGTTGTATTTCCCATTACATTACTCATATTCATTTGGACGTTTAATTGCTTCAAGTTGATAGCAAACACAACAAGCGTTTCCCACGGGGTCCCTTGCTGACTTGCTGCTTTGTTTGATTTGTTAAAAGGAGTTGATGTTTTTGAAAGTGAATCTAAAAACAGAAAAATCAAATGCATATTTGTTCACACAAAGCAAAAACTATTCTTATCACTATAAGCCAAAAGCTGAAATATGATATTCTTGTATTATAGCTGAACATTAAATAGCTGTCATACTGCCTCTAAAAGAGTTACCATTTACTGACTGTTTAGCAGGTGCTGGCAGCCACACTTACTAAAAGCTTATAGAGTTCTGTATGAGTTCCTCGTTACAGGAGGAAGTTCCAGGGTGCACAGAGTAGAACAGCACAGATCGTTCATCACCCTGGGTTCTCAACAGAGGAAGAAATCCCTACTGGCAAACAGAGGACCTGAAGGCAGGGACTGCTCTGAGATGCAGAGGGAGTGTGCCTATCTTCTGTGTCTTATAGACTCATGCACATCTTGAGTCCTGCATTTGCTCATTATACTCTAATCTTACCCTGTGACATGAACTCTATCACTCATTTTTATATATTCAGACACGAGTAGAGTGCTGAGCACATAGGATTTCAAAAACCATGGGTGGATGAAAGAATGGCTGAGTGAATACAAAGATTAACTTTTTCAATATCAAACATCTTTTACAACATTGTAAGTTTGGTTTGCTTCTAAAAATAACGGTACATTGCGAAGCACAGATCGGTAGTTACGAGTAGTCATGGGGATATAAAGTACAGCACAGGGAATATAGTCAATAATACTGTAATAACTACACATGGTGCCAGATGCGTATTGTAAATTATCAGGGGAACACTGTAAAGTATATGATTGTCTAATCACTATGTTGTACACCTGAAACCAATACAAAATAATATTGAGTGTAAACTGTAATTGGAAACAATTTAAAAAAATAACTGTACCATTTGGAGCACACTAACAATGTGCTCTCTCCTCTCTGCCTACCCCTTTTCAAAGCACCGAGCAACCCAGCTGTTTCTTCTGCTGACAGATACTTTGAAGTGTTTACTGTTTGGTTTGGTTTGGGTGCCCCGCCCCACACACAACTTCCACCATCTTCCATAAAAACCTGCAAAAGTCTATCTCCCCGAAGGTGGGGCAGAAATCTGGGAGTAACTAATTAAGGTTCTTATCTTAGGGGCATTGGAAGACCACTGATAACAAAGCAGTGTTACCTCTTCGAGGAACTGAAGAATCTGATACACTCCTGGATCTTATGGAAGCCGGGGACTTCAGGCTCTGTGCAGCTGTCCCTGGTGACATGGTGCTGTTTGTCATGTGCTCAGTGAACACGTTGGGTGACTGAGGCATGTGGGTGAAGGAGGCTGACTGACTTGGCTGCTCCCAGGTCCTGCAGTAAGCTTTCCTCGATGATTCCGGAGAAAGATGTTGGCTCACCCCTTCGATGGAATCAGGTGTCCCTGGGCCAGATGCTAACAGAAAAGTAGAAACAAATACAATTCATGGTAAAATCGGCATGTTATAAAATAATAAATTTCACCACTCTACCACTTCTAATCACATTACACACTTCTTCTAGTTCCCTATTTGACAAATGTGCAGAAGTTTAGTTTGCAAAGCACATTCCAGCTCGCTAGTTTATTTTTCTCAGAAACACTATGAGAATAGCTGGAGAGGTACTATGAAGGAATAGACCAAGAACAGGTTTCGTATACTTTGGATTGTACCATGCTAACTCTATCTTTCACTTACACAATATCTAAGACCCTGGGGGAAAATGCAGGCAATATGGTAGCATGTCCCCAACACTTTCTATTTTCCATGCTTAACTAACCACGATTTTAACTTGGTTACATGTATTTCTGCATTTCTAGATTTTACAAAGATTACAAAGTAATTGTTGTAAAACAAAAGTCAGCAGAATGTAGTGTCTGAGAGAGCAAGCTTTCTGTGAGCCACCATGCTCATGCATTCCCAGGTTTAGAACACTGGAGGGGCTCAGCAGACGCTTGTTGAATGAGGGAATGAGCTGCATGGCACAACTTACCAAGTAAGACAAAGTTTGTGTTACTTTGGGTCTTGTTACTATTGCAACCAAAATTAAAAGCAACCCAAGTATAATTCTAATTACTTAACAAGCTTACTTGGCAAATTTATAGTTTGGTCTCCAAGAAAGAGTCGTCTTGCGATACTTCTCCTATACCACGCTCTTGGAAATGCCAGAATTTCACTGAGCCGGCGCATATCATATTTAAAGGAAGCAGAACCTATGTCACAAACAGCTGATAAAGAAAATTTAGAACAGAAATAAAGAAAATTTGTTAGAACAGATTTCCAAAACCCTTAATATTTTCACATTGTATAATATGGCATGGTATTACACAACTGAATTATAGGTGTTACAATTCATGAAATACCTGAGTAAGTTGCACAGCATGATTAGTTAGGGATACTGTGTTCCTTCCACAAAAGAGAAAAATAGTGGTTTCTAACCCTTTAGTTCCATTCCTTTGTTAAGGTGAAGGCAAGCTGGAATTATCACTTTATCATGAAATTCTCAGAGAGGTTCTAAAGGCCGGTCTTATGGACAGCTTTCAACTTGAACAGAGGGCTTTTTTTCAAATATGGCAAATGAATCATGGGATGAGCTGGGATACACACTTCCTCAAAAGTGGCTGCAAATTAAGTAGCACTGTGGAGGAACTGCTGCTTTCCTCTAGACCAGGGGTGGGGAACCTATTTTCTGCCAAGGGCCATTTGGATATTTATAAACATAATCTGCAGGCCATACAAAATTATCAACTTAAAAATCAGCTATGAAAAAAGCTCCTAGATTTACTGAATTTCAAGTCCTGCCTGCAGTTGCCTTGACATGGCCAGACCAAATGATTTTGAGGGCTGTATTCTGCAGACAGGATGTTCCCCACCCCTGCTCTAGATAGAGCAGGACTGGTCAGTGGTCACTGCTGTGCAGGGAGCGAATGCAGCTCCGGCTCTGCCCTCCTCATTCCTCTGGGCCTCTGGAGGGTTTTCCCACCCAGGTCTCCCAAAGCCACGCCCATCAGCAGCTCCTACCCCACCCTTCCACTTAAATGCCCTGGAGGCACTTCCTTTTTCATTTTCTACCTAGGTTAGTGACCTCTGTCCCTTCTGTCACCTAGGCTGAAATTGTGAAGCATCCTGTCTCTGCTGCTCTGCACAAACTCTGTCTCCAAGCTTATGGATTCTCTTCTTTCTCTAGACACCATTCCCTCCTCTCCATTATTGTCACATCCAGCCTTCAGCCCCTGCTGCTAGTTCAACAGCCTCCCCACGCATCTTCCCTCCCATTTTTCATACTGACATGAATTCTTTCTAAAATACCCATTTCTTATATATATGTATATATATGCACACACACATAGATGTTTATTTTATAATCCATATAAAATTTTGTCTTTTTGTGTGGTCAGAACACTTAAGATGAGATCTATCCTCTCAAAAGATTTTAAGTGTGCAATACAGTCTGTTATCTCTGGGGACAATGTTGTCATCCCATTTCTCAAAAACCTCTAATGGCTTCACTGCCCAAAAAATCAATGCTACCTGTAGCCCAGCATACAAGTCACGTGCATGTGTACTACTAGCTTTGTAACTATGGGCAGATCACTTTAAAAAAAAAAAAAATGTTTTTATTGATTTTTTTTAAAGAGAGAGAGGAAGGGAGAGGGGGAGAGAAACATCGATCGCCTGTCTCCTGCACACCCCCTACTGGGGACTGAGCCAGCAACCAAGGCATGTGCCCTGACTGGAAATTGAACCAGAGACCTCTTGGTGCCTGGGACAACACTCAACCCAACTGAGCCACACCGGCCGGGGCCAAATCACTTTTGAGTATTTAAAATTAAATGCATGTGGAACATTTTTAACTCATTCCTCTTTAGTGTTTTAAGAATTTGCAATTAGAAAATCAAATTAAAAATTAGAAATTTTACCCATTCATGGTAGAGAAGCGAAGAGAAGAGCAGTTTTAGGTGACTTAATGACGCACATTCTAGCCTTTAGGTGATATTTCTGTGTATTTATCTAGAAGTCATATTTCTAACACTGATTATTTGAACTGAGAGCATACACTAGGCTGGACTGTCATTCCTCTCCTTTATCACTAAAAGCCTCATATTATTAAATAAATGTAATACTTAAATGCTGTTAAAAAGGAGCCCCTTAATTCTGGAAAATAATATTTAAATTAAAAAACTATAAAATTGAATACCAGATATATTTATTAGTGTGGTGTCCATTTTGCTTGCAGACTTGTTTACAGACTGACTTTCAAAGAACGAGGCACCTCCTGAACGCCTTATCCGAGACAAACTCACTTTTACAAACTCAAGGTTTATACTCAGTGAGTCTTTTCGACCAGTGACTGAAGTGGGGTCTTCATCCACATTCCCTTTGAAAAACACACACACCTACATGAGTACATATACACACACACATACATGAGTACATACACATAAATGCGTACATGTACATGCACACACAACTATCTAGTTCCATGAAATTATCCAAAATACTAGAACTAAACACATCAATTAAAATCATTTAAAATGAGGTAAAAACTTAAGCAGAATGCTCTAATGAGTATTTTAAGTGGCAAATCTGCACTTTAAAATGTCAGTGAAATTTAAGTTCTCTAATAGTAATAATAATAATAATGTCTTATTTTAAATTAACAAACATGATGCACACACTTTAAAAATTTACTATTTGTAGAATGTACTTTCTTATCCAAATAAACCCATATCAGAATAAATTACTGTACTGTGTATATCACTTATAAAATATTCTGAGTTTTACAATTCTTATATAATTTATTTACCTGAATTATTTATTGCATATTTCTACTTATTTGTAGAAACAGGATAGATATTATCAAAAGAAAAAATTAGTAAGTATCTGATCTTGTTTTATATCCATTATTAAAGGTATCATGATTTCTGAAAAGATCAAAGCTTGAAAAGTGCTCTAAAGTTGAGAAAGATGCAAACATGCTAAGTGTACCTAAGCCTCCTGACCCAGATGTGAGGCCAGAAACAGCAGTCTTCTGTTTTCCAGCTCCATAAGGGTGAAACACGTAGAGGGAGAAGTCAGACATGCAGGCAGTGAAGCTCAGCCCAGAGGAACTGCTGCTAGAAGTGGTCAGATCTGACTGACTGCTGCTGTGCCGACTTCTGCCAAGAGGGCTGCCCAATCCTGACGAACCTGCCATCAACACAGACATCCAAAATCTTTACCAGCCACAGAAAATTAAAAATGCCTGTCACTAACACAGTCTCAAGAGCCAACCAAACATGACTTAAAAATAAAATAGAAATATTCAAATGTGCACTCAAAGACAGATTTAATCCATGAAAACAAAATGAGGTCTTAGATGTGCTTTCTAATTAATTTAGTTGGTCAACCATGTTGAATACTCTGAAACATTCCTTTATACGTATGACTAGCCAACTCCATGGCCTCCTGTTTCTTCTCTCCTTTGCACCACTGGAACAGGCCACAGAAAAGGCACAAAATATTGGGTTTTAAGCAAAGGGGGAGAATTGGACAAACTAAACAAGTCCAATCAGACTGCTGAGGTTCACATTCCAGTAAAACAGTGCAAACAGAGCGAATGCAGAAAGTTACACCTTCTGCAACAGTACAAATGGACCTAGAGGGTATTATGCACAGTGAAATAAGTGACTCAGAGAAAGACAAATACCATATGATCTCTCTTACATGTGGAATTTAAAGAACAGGATAAACCAACAAACAAAATAGAAACAGACACACAGATACAAAAATCAGACTGACAGTTGTCAGAGCAGAGGGGACTTGGGGGCTGGGTGAAAAAAGTGAAGGGATTCAGAAGTGCAAATTGGTAGTTACAGAATAGTCATGGGGATGTAGAGTGCAGCACAAGGAATACAGTCAATAATATCGTAATAGCTGTGTACGGTGCCAGGTGTGTACTTGAAATATCGGTGGAACACTATGTAGTGTATATGACTGACTACTATGCTGTACACCTGAAACTAGTACAAAATAATATTGAATGTAAACTGTAATTGAAAAAATAAAAGAACCGCTATGCAAAAAATATATATATAAATATATGCAAAAAGTAAAGATCTCTCTCTTAGAGAACCAAGTGTCCTCAGTGGCAAAACTTACCATGAGTGGACAGGCTGATTCCCACTCTGCTTTAAACATGAACAATGTGAGGCCAACAGAATAGAGCATTAAATAGTACTTGGCTGTATACTGGTGGAATAAAAGAATGTTTAAGGAAACATACCTGGGGTTCCTGTCTTGCCTGCAGAGGTCTTTGCTCCACTCTGAGTGACATTACCTCCAGGGGATGAAGTCTCGGCAGGACACGAGGTCCCTAAAGTCTCCAGTTCCCCCCGGTTTGAAGAGAACACCAGGTCCAGGGATGGCAGCTTCAGCATGCATTCTACTCTTGACACTGGTAAACAGCTGAACTTGATCTGTGAGGGCTAAAGTACAGAAAGCCAAAAATAAAAAAGGTTCTAGGTTAAACAATTTCACATTGGATTCTAAAAATTACATTTCGATTTTGGTCCACATATATAAAATTTACTGACACACAAAAAAACTTTGTGTTTAATGTACTAGCTTTTACAAAACAACACGACACATTAAGCAATGTATTAACAAAATGGTATCATCTTTAAAAATCTAAATATTTGAGGAGCTATATCTGAGTGATAAATATTTAGATATTTAGATCATTCAGACCATTAAAGATGTTTATATTCACATTATACTTGTTCATAATCAAGTACAGGAAGTAATTTCCCTTATACTAAAATTTAAAAAGACTTACATTAATAAAAGTTTATAAGCTCTCAAGCCCTTACCTGTTAAATATTTTCATCAGATCTTGAAAAAAGCTAGTGCAAAACACCAGAAGGGAGCTCTTTGGCCAAATTGCTGCTGTAGAAAATGGTCTGAACAGATGACCACTAGCTTTTCTTTTATTCTTGAGATTGATCATCAGATTTTAATTGAGGGTAAACTAAACCCTCAAGTTTAGATATGAGTAGTTTTCAAATACTTTTACTAAATGGATTTAATCAGATGCTAACATAAACTCCCAAAGGCCCATTGAAAGGACTGCATTTTAAAGTAAAATGTTAAATAAAAATTACATAACTCTTAGCAGAAATCTAACAAAGGCATTACTGTGATTTTATACCTCAATTACCTTTATATGTGCCCCAAAGGACCACAATGGCAAGAAGCACAGGTGCCATACTGAAAAAGGCATATAATGCTAAAAAACAGTTTTAACTTACATATGTAACTTAACTTACTTTTGCCACAAAAGTATGAAATCTAAATTTTGAAAGCCTTCCTCAGAAGAAAAGTAAACACACACACAACTATACATGTACTTCCCCAAGGTTCCAGCAACCTGTCAGCCTTGATACATACAAAGGTCTGGGAGCCCAAGAAGAAAAAAATTTGAAAGGGAAATAATGTTGGGAAGGTTCAAATAAGCTTAAAAAACACATTTTTCTCTAAAACAGCAAGAATAAGTGATATATCTCACCTGTACACGCACGTAGACCACGACATCCACTGGGAAGGAAGAGTAAGCAGACGTGGAGGACGACACTAACGATGTTGTTGACTCTTCCATAGGGTCTGGAATCTCAAAATGCCCCATGTCTTCATCTTGGGAGCTGACAGCTATTAAAATAGTGAGTTTTAAGTTGCACCATTAGGACAAGGGCCAGTACTGAGCTCAGGGCTATGAACACACAGCAACGTTTGCTTCCACGGCCCATCATGCCACACTTCTTTCCCCAGTCAAACCTCTTGCTCACCTTCACAAACCCAGATCCCCAACCCACCCCGCTGCTACACCAAACACCCAAAAAGGAACAGCAATTATGCCTTTGCCCCAAGGACTTTCTAGTCTAAGAGATACATCAGGACCCAAGGACGTGATTTTGTTACGAACTGGCTGTGGCTATGGAAAATCCTACAACCTCACCAGAACTTAGCTTCTTCACTTGTAAATGAGGACCAGATGATCTCTCAGGTTCTTTCTCAGTTCTATAATTCTTTTATATTATCACTGAATATACTAAATAATAATATGTAATGCCATTACAAAATCCTTCTAAGTACTAGGACCCCAAAGTATATGTAATGGGGAAGTAAGTCTGTAAGGAGGGTACTCACTTGTGTAATTCCTCTCAATCGGTGTGATTGGGATAGTTTCCAGAGCCTTTTCCAGAAAGTCTAACAGGCAGGGACTGATCACCATTTCCTCTGGCAGTGACTGAAGCGCTACCCAGGCATATAACTTGGCTGTTTTGATTCCTCCACTTCCTTTTCCTTTGGCTAGAATATTGATAAATGTGAGGTGAATTTAAGAAAATATATGATAATTTTGTGAGACATTAGAGTTATATGACAGTTTAATCAGGCAAAGCACCTTATACGTAAAACCATACAAGAATGTAAAAAAGAGAGCAGGTTGATGGAAATGATATATTAATGTTAGAATACAAAGATGACTAAGGATGTAGGTAACACAAGTTATTCCTACTTGCTCTAGCTCACAAATTTTGGTTCAGCTTTTCAAGTTTATACTTTGCTACGTTTCTCTTAAGCATTATTTTGTCCAATTAGGATACAGAGAACTGACAATATTTTGTGGCAAGTGAAGAAAATGTCATTATTTTCAGGCTTCTGTATGTTCTTGCTGTCCTCAGCTCATACATATTTACAATGCTTCCCTACATGGGCTGTCATCTCTTTCCTTCTACCTAATTAAATATTTCCACATCAGTAGAATGAGTGTAACAGCTATTTCAGACTTAGCTAATTTTGGCTTAGGTTTCCAACTCCAACATATATTAGTTTTGTAAACCTAGGAAGAAATTCAACTTCTATGAGCCTTAATTTTCCACATTTATCAAATAGGAATAATCATATCTGTCCTGCACGTGGTGGACATAAGTGTGCCTTGTCGACTGAAAATGATAGAAAAAGACTGGCATTCTTATCATATTACCGGCTATTTTAAAACATTTATGTATCAAGTTCCATCTCCCAAATGAAACTGTTACAAATAATTACTTTCCAGTCTGACATTCCCCGTTTTGGAAATTCTATAGAGGAAAGGTGATATTCATGTGGTGTGGTACCCAGATTCAGAATAGCTTCTAACGGTCCTGGCCCCTGGCACTCATGCCCCTGTGTGGTTCCCTCCCACACTGAGCAGAGCTGAGGTGCAGGATCAATAGATATTGTAGAAGGGATGGTGCATGACTTCTAAGGTTAAGCCACAAAAGATGGGGCTGCTTCAGCCATACTCTCATTGGGATTGCGCCTTTTGAAGGACACCAGCTGCCCTGCCATGAGAACAGGCCAGCAGCCCAGCAGGGAAGCCCACGGGGGGAGGACTAAGGCACAGTGTGCCCACCACGTGCAGTGGGACATGATGGGCACAGGTGCCTGAGACTCAGCCAAGAATTCAGATGACACAGCCCTAGCCAACATCTTGACAGCAACTTCGTAAAAATCAACCCGGCCAAACTGCTCCTGAATCTGTGATCCACAGAAACCGTGTTTGAGGCTACGAGCCACCAAGTTTGGGCAGCGTGTTAAGCAGTCATAGGTCACAGTGTGGTCTAGTCCAGTGTACTCTGTCTTGTGTAAGCCTGATGTTTTCATCTAGATCACCAGCTCCCAGACTGGAACTACATGCAATTTTTTCTAAATATGCATAGATCTAAAAAATTAAGTATTTAGTATATTAAGTTTATTTTAACAACTGATATTCTAAGGTAATAACAATTTGAAAAATAGCCCAAAGTAGTTGGCTTACACTTCCATCTATGAATTTTGTACTGTCATTATTAAGTCTATTTCCTCTTTTCTTAAACATGTGAATTTGAAAGTCTCAATAGAGCAAGTAGGTGATGACAAAACATTAAGGTATGAAAAAAAGTAAAAGTCAAGTACATTTTCCTTCAATACCTGAGGGAATAGGTGGGGGCTGGGGAGGAAGTAAGGTGTTAGTCTTGCTCTGGACAGTGCAAGGTAAAGGAGAAGGAGAGGCGGCACTATCTTTCATACCAGACAGCTTGGACTCTTTAGACAGTGTTCTTGGCAAGGAAGACCCTCGGGAGGCGTTAGGTGATTCAGTCTTTAGTGTCTTGGAATTGTAATGCAACTGTATTGGAAAAAATAAACTTTCAAAGTTAAAATCATGCAGATGAGAAAAACAAGAAATTCAGGAAAATGTGTAGCATGAACACGGGCCCAGGAGTCAGAAGACCCAGGTCCTGTGTTTACAAGTTAGTTCTGTGACCCTGGCACATTTCTTAGCTTTCTTCCATTTTCAGAACTAAAAAGGCCACCCCAAATAATATTTAAAGTTATTTCCAGCTTAACATTCTAGGATTCTGTAATTCTAGAATCTAAAAAATAGTTGTTTCATAAAATTGCACTAGGCAAGGCTTAGCAAACATGTTATGAATATCAACATATGAAAAATAAAATTAACTTCTTTCTGCCCAACTTTGGTGGGGAAATCTATCTAAAGAAAGTGACAACCTGCACTTCGGATGTTTGTATGCTAGAGAAAACCCTTGGAAAGGCTCGCTTTCATATAAATGGTGAAGGAAGTGCATGTATGATAGAAAATAAGCACTGATACTAATAATCTCATCTCACATCCTAGACATAAGGTTTATACCTTTACATCGACTCCAGGGATATAAAAGACTGTTGTTTCCAAGTCACTTGGCTTTGTCTGCAACGACGATGGCACTTTCTTGCCAGTCATTAAATGGGTGGTAGAAGCATAATTAGTTTGAAACTTCTTTTTTGAAGGTGAATCTTGATCTAAACTCCTGGAACTTCTATCATAACTCCTATAAAGTAAAAAAAAGTTTTATCTTTTTCATTTATTTATCCTCACTCAAGGATATTTTTTCCACTGCTTTTCAGAGAGAATGGAATGGAGAGAGAGAGAAACATTGATGTGAGAGAGGGACATCAATTAGTTGAGTCCTGTAGATGCCCCAACCGGGCTAGGGATTGAGCCTGCAACCATGGTATGTGCCCTTGACCAGAATCAAACCCAAGACCCTTCAGTCTGCGGGCTGATGCTCTAACCACTGAGCCAAATCAGCCAGGGCTGTTTTATCTTTTTTAAAAATTACATTTCTCTCCTTTCCTTTTGTTTAAAATCAAACTGTTATTTATACAGTAAATGGAATGTCATCACTCATTAATGAAGCTGAGAAAGTAAAGCTACTCTGTCTCCAGCCAAACCAACTAATGCCTCGCACAGTGACGTTTCTGCTCTATGGTCCATAATACACAGCACAATTACTTTTACTCTCACCTGAGGTCACGACTGTTTCTCGTGAACACAGTAGGTTTAACCAAACAAAATTGCCCTTTACAGAGGTAAAACCAATGGAATATCAGCAAATTACTGTGGTTTGTTATGGTTCAACTCAAAATAAATAGTCTTTTATCATCGCTACTACCTTTGTAAAAATTTAACTTTGTATCTTGTGATTTTTATAAAAGCTTCCTTAAACCATTTAAAGACTCCTTATTTCAAACATAGGAAAAGTAAACAGATGGTATAATGAGCCCAGATCCTTCTCCCAGCTTCAAGGACTGTCAGCATCCACCCTCTGGTTCCATATGCCACCTACCCAATCATTATTATCTTCTTATAATTCTCTTTTAGATTAGAAAAGAAAAACAAAATTTCAAAGAAAAAATAATCTAACGTAAAGCCTGTTTACAAGCATTGATTACTCACTGATGGACACAAATGGTAAAGCTACAGTTACACCTGGACAGTACCCCAGCACACAGAGGCCCTTCATGCAACTGATCCAGTCTTTCTTACATCTTTACTTTATCAAAACTCTCAATAACCAAACATTCCTGAGTACTGCACTGCTCTCTAAAATAGAAGCATGCCCAATACAAGGACAGAGACCAACCGAGAAATTCATTCTTGTTTAAAGGAGAATTCCAAAGATGTAACTATTTTAAAGAATTTTCTAGAATCTAAATCAGACATCCATTTCTAGTTGCCAAAAAATGTAATACACTTGTCTAAAGAAATAGAATGTTATTCAAATAACCACTCACATTTTAAGTATGATTAAATCTATTCTTTCAATCTGCATTTTGGGAGGTGGGGGGGGAAGTCTGTTTACGCTATATAAATAGTATTTCTAACAAATGAAATTACATGTACCCCCATCTGACCAGTTTCTTACCTTCTCAAGCTTATATCATCATGTTCTTGTAGGAGTGTGGTTGGGTGAAGCACACATTTTCCACTATCAATTTCAACCCGTATGTCCAGTTCAAAGTCAATATTTCTCTCAGTAGCTGTGCCGCTGAGGCTCCGGTTCACAGGAGCTGAGGGCCAGCGCTCTGTAAATAGCTGGTGAACAGCAGCAAAGCCTGTGGCTTTTTTACGAGACGTATGTCTGCAGAAAAAACAACTGGTCATCACACTGCAGGGAAGTGGGAAGAGTTTTTAACAAACTATTCTCCAACATGCTATGTTAGCAACAGTCTACGAATAAATTGTACTAGTTTATAAATTCACACAAAATACTCAATGAGCTCATACAAACTGAAGTTTTTCCCAAGTGTAACAAAGTCACATTTTATTCAACAACTATTTTCTGAGAGCTACTACTGTGTGCCCAGCCATGTGCTGAGTGGCAAGGACACACACGCTATCACTGCTGTGGAGGAGGCAGAATATGAATGTGTGCACCACACTCACTTTTGGGAGGAGATGCAATTTTGCAAATCTTCCCAGATTTTATTAAAAGGCAGTAGTACAGGAAAAAAGCCCAGCAGTGCCAGATGAAGCTAAACTACGTTAGTAAACCATGGACATGTCTCTCAGTCTCACTCTGTTGGGCACATTAAGATGTTTTTCTGTGAAAGTTAACAGTTATATATAATGCTTTAAGCGTGGTCCTAGATTTAGAAATGCTACCCAAGGATCTTAACACAAAAAGGCTACTCACGAGGGTTTCCTGTAAATATAAAACCTTTCCCTCTCGTGCTCTTCGTCCTTTTCGTCCTTCTCAGAATCTTCACTCGTGGAAGACAAACTGTCATCCCGTCGGCCATCTTCAGGTTGGAAAGTGACGCCTGGAGAAAAGCCTGGAGTTTTGGGAGAGCTGAACACGGAATGCGACCCTTCGCTGGGGGATGAGTAATGGGAGGGACCATCGATGGCAACTGACAAAAGGTCCAGTTCTGTCTCCTCCGGAAACTGATCGTAAGAGGAAACATGAATCAGGTTCACATTATGAATCTCTTCTCAATTAAAAATGAAAAAGACATACGATTAAGCATTTAAAAATTGTCTCAGAGTCAAATTTCCTCACTCTGAATGGAGAGGAAGGTCAGATTTGTGAACTTATGAAATGGCTCAGCAAGAAAGGAAGCAGAAGGTCAAACCACAGAAAGTCATACCACCAACATACTAAACACCAGAGTGAAACCTTACTCAGATAAATGTAAATCATCATATTAATTAGTATGAAGCATAAGTTAAACATGCTGCAGAGACAAGGAAGCAATGATCAGCTGTAATCACAGGGCAGGAGGGCATGGTGATGGAAGAGGTGTGCCCTCATGTAGTTACAGCCCTTGTAGGGGCCTTTGCTGGATACACCCTGTACAAAAGTGGCCTGAACGGTTGACAAAAGCAAATAGCTTCGGAAATAAACATATTACTCAATCAAATTTAGGAATGCTATTAAATATTAGGGTGACGAGACACCCTGTCACTAACTGAGGATTGCAATCTGTGGCCATTGCATTTAACCAGATCAAAGAAACAACAAAACTTCCTATGACCTACTTTCAATTCCCAATTTGGAGAGTTGTTTGACTATCCTTTGAGAATGTGATAAGCCTCTGTCAAGTGTAATGTGCAAGGTGAGCAATTTATTGCTGCTACTATATTAGATACCTAGTGAAATTCTAATTTCTTAATTCATAATTCCAAACATTTGCAGAATTCAGCTTTTCTTCACTTTTTACTATATACATGTTATTTAGTAAATAAGTAAATTCACATTTATCAGAACATCTTCAATTTTTACTATAGTAAAAATTTATGTGGCTAAATTTCTCTTCATTTTATACTTATTTTCTACTTAACCATGCTTAATGATCTATTTTGTAATTTATAATTTTATATACTATTTTTTATAAACAGCATACACTGATATTTAAAAATAGAACTTGAGTCAATTCGAATATTAATGCATTTAAGAACACTTAATCATTTCCCAATATATACACATATTGAATCATTATGTTGTACACGTACAACTAATATAATGTTTTATGTCAATTATATCCACTTAAAAATGTTGGACAGGAAAAAAAAATCAACTTAATTAGTAGAATCCAATCAATTCACTGTAAATGATTTATTTCCAAGATCATTTTCAAAAAAAGGACATGTTTATCAAGCTCACTGTAATACAATGTAGTAGTTCTAAAACAAAATTCAGTTTAACTAAATTCAGTGGAACTACCGGATATATATATTGAGACTCTAATGTAAAAGGTCCAGGAAGGGAAATAAAATACATGTGGAATAAGTGCCAGTTTTTAAAAGTAACTCGACGGAAATTTCTAGACAAAGGTTTATATAACTGGTATACAGACACATTTTTAAAATTTAATTTTACTTTTATGATGTATTTAGGGAAAATATCTGGCTCATAAAAATGTTAATTTGAATTATAAATTATGACTGTGTAGCACATTTGTCATATTGTTTTGAACATGAGAGTAATTTTCTAAATGGATTTTTATACATTTTTTATACCAATAACTCAAAAAAATTCATTGGTTAATTTCTTGTTCTAAGACAGGTTTGATTTTAGTTAGAACTAGTTGACTAATATTTTTTAAAGAAAATATTCATTTTGCAGTTGAATGTGGGGAAAAGAGATTCATTTAGGGATTAGTAAATAACTATAATAAAATTGCATTTTTTGGTTTACAATTTGGTTGAATTGATTTGGTAAGTTGATTCAGCCTTTTAATTTTGAAGATTCAATAATTAATATTAAACTATAAAGAAGTATAAAACTAAAATATATTTATGCAAGAGCTTATTAACTTTATGTAAAATATTTCTGAGGTCTGAGTTTAGTATGGAATGAGAGGAAGACATTTTGAAAGCAGATTCTCAGGTGGTTAATTCGTTTAAAGCAGAATTTATGTTGTTCTTAAGAAATACCTGAAAATACCCTTCCCCAGGAGAGCTGGACTGCGGTGTGCTTCCCCATACTGTTTTTTTCGACTTAAAATAACAAGAAAATTTATAAAAACTCACGAAAAATAAAAGATAATGGTTTAAAAGTAAATATATAAAAAACAAAACAAACATTTTTAATATAAAATTGGAATACAACTTTGAAGCTGACTTTTTTACTTCTGGTTTCTGCTATTATCTCCATATGTTCTACACTTAAATACATAAATGGTAAAATACATAAAGTATAAACATTCCACATTTACATTTGTGTATAAGACCTAGTTTAATGTGGATTCGCAATTGAAAGAAAAATTATTCAACAAAACATTTCTACCTAAGACCAAGCAGCTGGGGTCTTTATTCTACACGCAAAATGCTATACCTGGGCAGTGCCCTGCTGTTTGTTAAGGTACAGACGTTTCAACCGTTATAGTCCACACTTTACTTGTAAGCAGGAATCAGCATTTTGAAACTGTCTAGCTATTATAGTTTTGTAATTATCAGCACTGTGTATCTAACCAGGAATGCTTCTCTTACTGTGTCTTGGATATTGAACGTTACTCTGGGCCCAGGAGACGCTGCATCCACACGGATTTCTGGGAGCTCCTCAGGCTCTCCTGCTCGAGAACTGTTAAGTAAAACATAAAGTTATAAAACATTAACCTCTGTTTTAAAAGACACACCTGGATTTCATAAAAGTCTGATTAATGACATTATGTTCTATTTCTAAATATTTACCTTACCTAAGGATTCAACTTTTGGTATTGCATTTCTTAACCTTTAGCATCCCATAAAAAAAAAAATTTGTTTTGTTGACACAGATTTTCTAAAACTAAACCATATAAAAAAGAATTTACAATTTTTATTTATAGTGCTCATTTACTAGTAAAATAGTATTTTTCTTCACTGTGTAAAACTTTCCATTCTTTCACATGCTAAATGTGTGTGAACTCATACATTTTCTAAAATGACAAACAGAGAACAGCAGCTATTAATGGGCACATTTTTGCTTCTTTAGATAGTCTGTAAGTTTACACATCCACCTATCTAAAAAGCAATGTATGTCCTTCCTGGAAAGCACATGATGGTTGGGGCACAAATGTGATAGAGGAATTCCTCAAATAAATTTCTTAATTTGACAGTATCCAGTATTAAAGGTATTTGACTATGTCCAGTTGTTATCATAATTTCATAATTCCCTCAATTAGAACACAATAAATAAGCAGTGGACCTTGGCAAAGGAGTCAGAAGTTACTACTTGGTTCATTGGCTGGAGTAGACATTACCTTGCCCTTTCCATTCGCTTAAGAGGTGGTCTTCCAGAAGCAGAAACGGTCTTCGATCGGTTGTAACTTGGTTTGTAACCCAAGCCCCACTTATCCTTCAGGGAAGCAGCCTAATGAAATAGGAGAAAAAAAGGGTGACTATCAACTACTACAAACCAGTTAGCTGTCTCCCAGGTTAATGACAAGCAGCTTTAAATGTCACTTAACAATGTGGATGGATCAAATCAGAGCATGAGGCAGCTTCTTTAGTCCTCGTGTCTACTAGGAGAGCTGTAGAGCAGAAATATTAGCCACCAGCTGGCCTGAGAGAAAAAAAAGATTGGGAGCAGGGGTGAGGGGTACAGAAATAGGGTGAGAGGAAAGGAAACAATTAAAAAGGGAAGAAAGAGAAAAGGAAATGAGGATTACAAGAAAAGAGGCAAAGAACACCAGTCATCTCAAGTACCACCCAAGGGCACTTGCTACGGGACTCTCCACACGGCACAAGGAAAGGAAGTGGTGGCTTGAACACTTTCCGGCCTCCAACTCCCTCTTCTCCCAATGAGTAACGGGGGCTAGATAGGAAAAGGATTCCAATGCAGCGATGTGCAATGCAAGAAGACTCATCAGGAAATGAGGGGGAAGCCAAGGGAGACAGATGTCAAGAACACGTTTCATTCATTTCCCCAGTCCTCTCTCCCTAGTTTTATTTTTAACACTCAATTACCAAGTATAAACTACCTTATAAATACTAGGAAAGCACTCATTCAATTATATTCTATGATTATCAGGCACATAGTAGCAGACAGTGTTAAGTATAGGATTGTGCGTTATAGATTATCACTAACCATTCATCATCAGAGGCCAGTGAGGAATAGTTCAAACTGGGTTTTACCTTTAACTTCAATCAGGAATTTAGAGCTGTATTCAGCCTAGGTGGTCTGGGGCTCTGGGGGTGATCAAGGGAAGAAAATTCAAGCTAGTAAACACTGGGTTTTTGTGCCTTTCCTCCTTCCTCTAACCCTGCAGCTGATTTAATGTTTGCATACAATGGGGTGCCACCCAAAACCTTATTCTAGTAAAAATAAGAAAGGGGGGGAGGTTCTGCTATTTATTAAAAAATGGTTAAGAACCCATTTATCTTTTTTTAAAATGTAAATTTTCCTCTAACCAGACCACCTTAACCCAAACCAACCTACCTCTACTTGAATAAATTTTAGAATTATTTCCTACTAGATGTGTATAGCATACCTATATATGTATTTCAATTGTTCAGCAATTGAACTAAATCTCAGAAAATGTGGTAGGTAGTGGGGTCAAAGATAAATAAGTTGTTCTTTGAGAGACTCAAACTCTAATAAGGGCAACTACATAAGCAAATGGTAAAATCAGAATAAAGTGCTGAGAGGTAAAGTCAGCTATAGGGAATGGGATGGGGTAGAATGGACATCTCGAAGACTTCACATTTGAGGTAGAGACTAAAGAGAAAGTGTGACTTCATGACAGGCAGACAAAACACGGTGACTAAGGGCACAGATAACAGAGTTCCACTGTGGGGTTTGATTCTTGCTCCATGGAGACTGCTGGTGTATAACCCTGGCCAAATTACTTGGCCTCTGTCTCGGTTTTCTCATCTTTAAAATGGGGAAGATGATACATAGGGTGGTTGTAAGGATTCAATGGGCTGTTAAACACAAAGTGTTTTAAACAGTGCCTGGTACATAGTAGATGGAAGGCGTACAAACCAGGTGGCATTACCACCAGCAACGGAAAAGAAAGAGAACAACAGAGGTCTCATCAGAAAGTTTCCTTGAGTGGAAAGAAAAAGTCTACTTTTATAAAATTTTTGGTAAATGCTGACTCACTCGCATACTAGATCTCCGTAACTTTTTACGAACATCTCTTCGAATGTCATTCACAGCAACAGATTCTAACTGTTGGTAACGTTGAATTTCTTGGTTTATGGTTCCTTCACTTGCACCTAATTTTCTGGAAGCAAAATAAATATGGCAATTAATGTAAAGAAGTTACAAAGTAAGATTGATTTTTACTTTCTCCTTTTTAATTCTTTCACTTTTCAGAATATCAAAGATTATATATGAACAAACCAAAATCCCCAATGAAGTTAACACTCATACCAGGCAAACTATAACAAAGCTCGCTCCAATGTGTTAGGAAATGGTCTTACTCATTTCTGCGCTGAGAGTCTCTTTGACCATCTTACGAAAGCTGTGGACCCGCTCCGCGGAAGAATGCCTGTATGTAAAATTCTACCTATAGTTTAAGCCTCAAGTAAGATTTTAAGGGAGGAAGTATATATTTGCTTCAAGTGATTTTCCCCCCAAAACAAAACTCAAACTGCAATGTGAGTCAACAGGAAAATGTGAATCACTGTACTGTAATTAACTGACAAGACAAGTTCTTAGGTAATACCTTTCACTGTACAAAATGCACACATTTGTGTGAAGTCTTTGAATGTAAAAAAACACCGGTACAGGTGTACGAAGATTAGAAAAGATGAGGCATGAATATCATTTCTGGGAAAACAAAAATTTCAAAGTTTGAAGAAGAACAGTCTTATAGAGGAAGTATTACTTAGTACCATCCAGCAGGCCACAGACACAGAAAATAAATTACTATCAAGGACTTTACACTCTCAATTCACCCCATACCCACCTCAGTCCTAGAGAAGCGCTAATACAGGCAAAACAAGCATGCACTTTGAGTTCAGACCACACAAGTTCAAATTCTAATTTTTATCTCCCCAGCCTGCTTTTTCAATTATAAAGTTTAGATAATGCCGCCTAACCTCACAGAAAGGCGGTGGAGAGTAAACTGAGATAACATGTCAAATACACAGTAGGTACTTGATAAATGCTCAATTTGTTTCCCCTTTCAAAAATGTGACTTCCTGAAATACCAATGCATATATACATAGACATGTGAAGATACATGTAAGTGTACATGCACATGTAGAGATACATATGATCTGTGATATGAAATCAGCCATAAACTGCTCAGAAATGAGGAGCTGTGATGAGTACCAGACCAAGATTTCAGGCCTAACTTGATCACGAATGGATGCATGACCTCAGGTAACTGCCACACTTCCCTGGCCTTGCTCATCTCATTTATAAACTAAAGAGGTTGTACTGGTCCACACTGAGTCTCCCCACATTTAAAACCCAGTGATTCTATCACTAAGGAGGACGGTATTAAGTGAAAAATCAAGGTACATACTTAAGATCATCTATGACTTTGGCTTGTTCATTCAGCTCTCTGATATCCACTATTCGCTTCACCATTTTTCTTCCCCTCAGATCTCCTGGCTGGCTACAAGATGCTCCTTGTCTTCGATATTCTACGGCTTCCTAAAAAAATCAAAGCACATCTGTCAGTACCAACTTGTGTTCACACAGCAAATCTACACTATCACAAAATTTACACAAATCAAAGAAGCATGCAAGAATCAAAGGCATCTATATTAAGTACAATGATTGGAATTCTCCAGTGATTGGCATCCCTTTGTTTTCATAGGAATCTATTTAGTTACCACCTACATTTCCCCATGAGTGAGCTCTGCACACTTTCAAATGGGCCTGGCCTGACTGTGGGGAGCCCCCCAGCTCTGGCTCACACAGATACTCTGCAGGAACAGAATAGCGCTGGTGTGGGGGCGTCAGGCCTAGCAGGTGGTTTACAAGTCGCTGCCCAAAGGTGAGCTTGTGGCCATCTCCACTTACTGAACTTCCATCTGAACTCTAAACGATAAACAGTAACATCAATTTTTAAAAAAAATGTCTTTCCAAGAACAAAAGTATTTCATGATACAATGGTTAAAAGATAGTTTTAAAATGTTTAGATCAATACTAGAATGAAAGCAGACAGTAACTTTCTTTTTAACTATCAAATAATTTGATACTATAAAATGCACAGTAGAGATGGAAATACTTATTTTTAAATGTATACATTTTGTGTACATGTATTTTACTTTTGAGTTTCATTTTTTAACATCTTTATTTAGCTATAACTTACATGCCATAAAATTCACCCATTTCAATTGTACAATTCACTGGTGTTTGGTATAATTACAAAGTTATGCAGCCAACACCACAATGTGTTTGGAATATTTTCACTACCCACCACTGGAACCTCACAACCATCAGCAGTCTCTCCCGGTCCCCTCCCAAGCCCTCTGAGGCTCCCAGCCTGAAGAAACCACTGATCTACATTCTGACCCTATGGATCTGCTGTACTTTTAATGTCAGTATGTCACCTGTCAGTTAAGGCACAAGTTGGTTGACAAGCATTATTATGGAACAAGGAACTCAATTAAAAGACATTATTATGACATTAAAAATATTATAAAATGTACACACAGGATTCACCAGTCCCCTCCTTCCTGTACAATTAGCAATATAACAAATATCCTGTCTCAGGGAAGAGCCAGTTGGGAAATGTCCCACAGTGAGTGTACGTACAGTGTGGATAGTGGGAGACATAGTGTCCACTTCATCTTCGTCGGACAGGTCACCGATGTTCATGGAGTTCAGATCAGCCATGTCGTCTATGACCTCCTCCCCAGTCAGTGTGGTCAGGGTGTTGCCCAGAGCGTTCAGCCTTTTGCCGATGTTCGGGTCCATGTGCACATCAATGCCACACATTTTCCACAGCACGTTCAGTGTCCAGGTCCCTGCACTACTGCTCTCTGTGGGAATAAAGAAGTGACATTTCTGGTCAGTCTTGAGTGTAGATATTTAAATGATTCTATATTTCAAGGATAAAGTGGATGACAGCCTGTGGAAAACCAATGTTCGTCAGAACATGGCCCATGGCACTGAGTTCCTGGCTGTCCAGTATGCACGTGTCTCCTCGGTGCAGCACCCACTCCTGGGGACTGTGGATCCCCCCTCACCACAGTCCCTTCACACAATAGAGAAGTGCCATGGCCCTCCCTCACTAGCCAGAATTAGATAATTAGTCCAGGTGAGGGTCAGTGTTAGAAAATCAAGAACCATTCCCTGGACTGGGAGATGGATCCTTCTCTGGTGATGAGGGCCCCAGCTCCTGAGCTGCTGGCAGCCTCTCTTCCTACCACATGTCAGGAGGGTCCTCAGAGGGAAAACAAAGCACCCAAGGAGAAGATGAGAGCTGGAGTCCTGCTCACATGGATCTTGTTCCGTAGTTCCCAGGGGCCCACAACTGACCTGGCTCCTCCTCTTCTCCCAGACAGCCAGTCCCAAGTTTAACTGTGGTCTGCAAATATCCTTCTAATGGCAATGCCATAAAATTCACCCATTTCAACCAACTTTTGGTTAAGTTAGTCTGGGTAGCTTGTTCACACTTACAAAAAACACTCCCGACAAAGACTTTGGTGTGACCTTTCTCTCCACATGTATGTTCACCTCAGTCACCACCTTTCCTTCTAACTTTACTCTGGAAATGTCCTGACCTTTTCAGTCCTCTGTCAGTGAGGCCCATCGCATTGCTGCTCTCTGGGACAATTACTCAGCATGAGCATAAGGCTAGGCTTGGGGAGGACAAGAGGAAGAGTAAGGAGGGAAAGAAATCTACTGACCTCAATCTGCTCCCACCCCTCTCAACATTTAAGAGCCCTTCAACAGATATCTCCCTCTAGCTTACCTTAATTTTATACCAAGCAAAATAATAAAAATTTACCGATGCTTTCCATCTTAGTCAAGATAGTTTATTCCTTCTGTAGTTACCTCCTACCTGGTTTTCTCCTCCCTCTTTCTTGGAAGTGTCCCTTTGACACTGTCACCATCTGCTTTCTTGCCCAAAAAGATTTAGTGGCTTTCCCGCTGTCCACCAAATCAAGTTTGAAGTCCTGATTCTGGGATTTAAGATTTTCCCCATCGTATTTTCACACTTTGTTCTACCAATTTGGACAAGTCTAACTAGACAGTGTTTTGCCATCATGACTGATATGACATTCTCTGTCTGAATTTTCTATGACCTGCACCTCCAAGTTTTTCCTTAAGAAACGATTTTATCCATCTTTCAAGTTCTGTCTAAATGCTTGTTCTTCCATGAAGCTTTCTCTGATCCTAGTAGCCTTCCAAATTTAAAATTGTTAAATAAAAATATACTAATAATTGTTACAAATGTTTTTAAAATTTTGGGACTACCAGAATAAGTTTCATTAAAAGATCCTCTCACTATTAATATAAAGGCTGAAAATACTTATTATATATAAAGGCAGGATTTCCCCTGACACATGTAGTGAAAGTAATACCAAATGTGAACCTACCAGCGGCTGCCTGGCCTGTAGTCCGGGAACATACTTCATAGGTGCCATCGGGAACCACACCTGCAGAAACAGCACCCCAAAATGGTTTGCAGTGAAATTATGCTTGTGATCAAGCATTGGTAATTTTTCACCCAAAGAGTATCACCTACATATGAACAGGATCTCCGGCTTCTCTAGGTTTCAGTTTCTAATCTGTAGAGCAAAAAGGCTGCCTCAGATGATGGGTAGTATCTATGTCTCAAAGTATCTTATTCTATAATTTTAAGAATTTAGCTGCAGTTTTATCTTCACCTTCTGTGTATGATTTCCTTATCTGTGTGAAAATACCTGGCTGACTCTGAAGCTCCAGTTTCAGTGCTGTGACAATCTGTGCCATCAGGAGTGATTGGCACTTTAAGAATACAAATGGTTATTTGGCCGGTTTGGCTCAGTGGTTAGAGCGCAGGCTTGAGGAATGAAGGGTCCCAGGTTCAATTCCGGCCAAGGGCACACATCTCGGTTGCAGGCTCCATCTTTGCCCTGGTCAGGGTACATACGGGGGGCAACCAATCAATGTGTCTCTCTCACATCGATGTTTCTCTCTCCCCCTTCCACTCTCTCTGAAAAGCAATGGAAAAAATATCCTCAAGTGAAGATAAAAAAAAAAAAAGAATGCAAATGGTTTAAAAATGACAACTAAGAAATGCCACTTTAGGTCACAGGAATGATTTAGTAGCCTGTCTTTTCCTTTGACAGGGAATATCTCAGTAGGAGGAAAAAAAATGGCTGCCATGATGTCAAACTCATAAGGTCATAGACAAATCCCAGAACATATCTGACTTGAACTCTGAAATGTTTACTACCCTTAGCTCTAACTGATAATATCAACTTCAAAAACGAGGTTAACTAAATTAACAATTTTAAATAGTGAAGGACATACCATCCATGAAACAACTTTTAAATAAAGTCTAGAGACAGAATCAAAATCCTTTTTCAGTAATCCTTAATGGAAACCAATTTCACTCTAAACCTGACAGTATATACATACATCTTAAATGAAAATTTCTTTTTAAGATTCACTCTGTATCTTATTATCTTTCTTTTTTAAATATATCTTTATTGATTTCAGAGAGAGGAAAGGAGGGGGAGAGAAAGAGATAGAAACATCAATGATGAGAGAGTCATTGATCAGCTGCAGCCCACAACCCGGGCATGTGCCCTGACGGGGAATCGAACCCCGATCGCCTGGATCCCAGGTCGACGCTCAACCACTGAGCCACGCCCGGCCAGGCTCACTCTGTATTTTAAACTGGTATTCACATGTTACCCAAATCTGAGTTGTAGAAAAACTACAACTTACTTTGGGAGAAAGGGTCTATTTGTTAAGTGATAATTTCTATTAACGCAGTTTTTACTTTGAAGATAGTGCCAATGACTTTAAAATCTAAATTATATTTTTGAACCATATGGTACATGTGCCTCACATCCAATTATAAAACAAGAAAGAATTAGATCTTGTTTTGGGGTAAAAGATCACCCAATTCACCTTTATAGTCAAGGTCCTAATTCAGAGCAAGAGAACCCTAGATTACCTTTCTAATCTAAGAATGGCAGAATGAAAAGAAAACCCTTTAAAATTTCACTAACATAACTGAGGCCTTTCAGAAGAACTAGTAAAAAAAAAAAAAAAAAAAAAAGGCAGAGCAATATACAGATCTTGTAACTTAGAAGAAACCCACACCCAAAACCTGTATGTTCATATTAACCATTGTCACCCCAATAAATTTAATTAAAAATAAAAAAGATGTTTTAAATTTTGGAATTTCCATTTCCAAGAAATGTTAGAGAATCTTTAAAATTAAGTTTTAAAAAGTGATTATATAAATTCATAGAATACAGAGCTGTGAGGAATTAATAAGGAATATTAAGATGTATAGGAGCAGATCCGAATCCTGAAAGTGAGGAGCAAGAAACCAATGAGGCCCTTCCCTAGGGTACCCGTGGTCTCTGCCTCAGAGACAGAGTGCCAAATTGGATCAACCACTATTCTGAATCCAGAATGACAATTTCAAGCTCTCATGACTGAATGCCACCCAGGTGTTAACAGAGAGCTTGAAGCCTTTCAAACTTCAGTTTATGTAATTTTTCTAAGTTCATGTTAATGAAAAGAGTCTAACCTTTACTATCTACCTACATGGTCCTTTGAACTCTTCCTACTAAAAATTAGATTGGCCATTCTAATTTTACTGCATTTCGAATAAAAACATTATCACCAAGAGAGGAAATATGACTGGGCCATCTTTTTTCCAGGGCAGAATTTTTAAATGATCTACAAAAAGAAATCCTAAGGCATACTCCTACTGTTCTTATTTCTCTGCTTTATACTCAACTCCTTTTAAAAAAAAAATATTACATGGCCCAGCCAATATAGCTAAGTGGTTGAGCATTGACCCATGAACCAAGAGGTCACCAGTTCAATTCCTGGTGGGGGGCATATGCCCAGGTTGCAGGCTCAATCCCCAGTAGGGGGCATGCAGGAGGCAGCCGATTGATGATGTTTCTCTCTCACTGATGTTTCTATCTCTCTATCCCTCTCCTTTCTCTCTCTCTAAAAATCAATAAAAACATATTTTTTTAAAAATTACATGTTAGTCTTATGTAAGTATACTTACTATTAGTAAAAACTACAAAGTCATAAACTAAGAAAACCCAGAACTGGAAAGTTTTTTTTTCCATTTCAGAGGGGAAAAATTTCATAAACAATGGCATATCACCTTCTGAAAAGTAATCAAGCATTAATTTTGGCTTAGAAGATTGGCTGATAAATTCTAGTTCACAACCTTTCATTCTTCAAATATAATTTTTCTTCATTATTCAGATTAATGATGCTTTATTAACAGTTACAATATTTAAAATATTAAAAGGATAATATTAATCCCTACACCTTCAAAATAGTGTATACACACAGCTTTAGTTATTCCCAACCTTCAGTGTTATGCAATCAAAGGAATCACACAATTCATACTCTATATCCCACAAATCTGGACATGTGGACTTACTCATGTCAACATTAATCAAGGTGGGCTTCTTGCTTCTGGTTACTGCAACTGTGCTATGTTACATGATGAACTGGATTTTACATGTTCTTTCAAGATCCTCACAGAACAAAGATGCTTTATCTGGTCATATGTGAGTCAATTATAGAAAAAATCAAGCACTGAGCAAACCTCCAAATGCTATACTATCAACAAGAATGGCTAGCAGGTTGCTTACCAACACTGCTGAAAGCTGCAGTTTCTCACAAAAATGTTCTGATATTTTTTAAATAGAAATAGCCCTCACTTCACGAAGTCCAATAATATTCTTATATCTGAGCATCCTTTACTTTTACAAGAGATAGGTTGTTTTTGTTCTTTTTTAATTTTTAGAAACTCTGAAGTTCATACAGAAAGTAAAAGACACTTACAGGCATTCATCACTAGATCCCCACGGATTTCTGGCTTCCAGTCATCCCATGACGTCTCAAAGCCATCAGCAAAACGAATGCAGAAGTTTTTGAAGTGCCCTTTACTAACCAGAGACTCGGAAGAGCAAGCAGTGATGAGAGTGCTTTCAATGGTCAGTACCAAGGCAGAGCCTGTGTCCAGGTCTCCACTATGATTGGACTGCAAAATACATTAAAGAGGAAACAAGGCAAAAAGTGACAACTTTTAAATTTGGAAATTCTCATAGGATACATGGGAACAAAAATTCATAAAGGGGCAAACTCAGAAAGCTTCATTGAAAAGTAGCTTAGAAAGATGCCCACTTTAAAAACTGGATTACTCAAGTGAAAAGCATTTCCATGTGCTTTTTGTTTTAAACTAAACTTGCAAAAGGCTAATTATCTGCTTTTCTATCTCAAGCTTCTGTTTTTGTGTGGGGAGGGAGAGTTTGTTCTTTGAATTCTGACCACCGCCCTTGGTGTGTGCGGCCCTTCTGAGTCCGTCCATCTTGCCATTAAAAGTTACCAATCAACTCCCAAGACACAGACATAGCACACGGTGCCAATCCTCAACCCAGAATTTACTAAAAGATAAATTCATTCAACAGCTGCTTACAGGTTATTTAAGGTAAATTAAAGCAGTAAAATATAGGCTTCTGTACTTGTTTAATTGCAACTTCTTGGTCTGTCAGGGTTTCATAGCCTTTTCTCTCTCACACACGAGCATGCAGATGTGTGCTCCTGAGAATTGGTCCCAAATTATGAAGAGAAAAATCTTGCTGCTTATTGGTCAAGGTTGAAATTAAGAGTTATCATATGGGTGTCGATCTCATCACTATTCTGAGGCACAGCAGAGAAGTCTCATGAGATTCGCCTTTAATACGTTGTAAATGAACGAATAACGGTTGAAGGAGTTCAATCTTACTTGCTGTTACTAAACTCAAGTTGTCAACGGCCCTCCTAAGAAATTTACTGTGATACTCTGTATACCTAGGAATGGTTAATAGAGTTGCTTGGCTCTTAGTGTTGAACGAGGACTTGAGTTCCATACCTGTGCAGTACTTGTGATAGGCAGACATATCCCCAGATCATTCACAGTGAGCTGCAGGAAGAGCGTCCCAAAGGCCTGGGCAGAGGTTTGCTGGATTCCGGGGAGCATATCTACTACTTCCTTTGTAGCCATGTGAATGTCCTTATGTAAAGCCATTCGCTGTTCGTTCCAGTTGTCATAGGCAGCCTTATAGTTCAGCCAAAATAGCACAGCTTTTGATGATTAAGGCAGGGCAGAAAGAAAATTTTAAAAAATAAATCAAAACTGTAAAGCTATATGACAAGTAAAACTCAATAGCTGCAAAATCCCACTGATTAATAAAAATCACTCCCAGAAAATGGTAGCATTAGAATTGGAAAGAATCTAAAAGGAATGGTCAACTTAACAAATGACCAAAAGAAGCAGAAAGCAGACAATTTCAAAATGGCAGAAGGAGGAAGACAAGCCAGGTCCATTCATTCATTCAACAAACTGTAAAATGCCTCTTATGTGACAGGCACTGGGATGGAACAACAAATGAAAGATATGGTCCCTGACCCTGCAGAGCTTACTGCTACTAATGTTAAAAATTCCTGGAGGAGAGGTACAGAATACTAGGAGTATACATTGAAAAGATGGGCTGCCCCGCTGGGCGTGGCTCTGAGGTTGAGCATCAACCTATGATCCAGGAGATAGCAGTTGGATTCCCGGTCAGGGCACGTGCCCGGGTTGTGAACTTGAACCCTAGCAGGGGACGTGCAGGAGGCAGCCGATCAATGATTCTCTCATGGACATTTCTCTCTCCCTCTCCCTTCCTCTCTCTGAAATCAATAAACACATATTTTTTTAAAAAACAGAAAAGATGGACTTTAGAGAAGAAGTCAAAGACATTTAAGTGTGTAACAAGAATGAATTCTCAGGAAAACCTTTATTGAATGCAGTGTGTGGAAGGAGCCTAAAGAGGAGATGAAGAAGGCAGAGGAGAAGGAAAAGCAAGTATCTGTCAGGGACACATGGAGCAGTAAGTACTTTAAGGAGCTGTTGAAAGCTGACGAGAGGTCAGTAAGATGAGAAATGAAAAAAGCAGGCACTGGATCTAGCAAAATAAAATGTTATCCATAACACTGCCAAAAGGACAGTTTTACAGCCAACTGATCTTATCACCAGTCCACATCTACCACCAATTTTAATCTTAAATGGCTTCCTAAATGGTTCTTACTTTCAAAACACAATTCCAACATATTTACCCAATATGCATTACTTAGACCCTCTCTATCTGCTCAGCCTCTTTCCCACTACTTTTTTTTTGAAAGCTGCTGCTATATTTTCTTAGACCTCTGTGCTCATATACCTTCATTCATGTTCTCTCTCGTTTGACAAATATTTATTTAGTTCCTGCTATACATGCCAGGAACTGTTCTAGACCATTGGATGCAAAGGCAAATAAGACAAGCTTTTGTTTCCTTATCTCCCTGGTGAACTCCTAACTCCAAGTTGAATCTGAAGAGCTGGTGTCTCCTGTAAGTAGCACAGGTGAGGGTAGAGACTCCCTGAGACCCTAGAACACGGATCTCTAACTCGGCTCTGAGTCCACTTAGCTCCTCCCACAGGGCTAAGACCTCCCGGAGGGCAGGGTACTGTGTTTTCAGATTCCACTTCTAGACAGTACACAATAAACATTTAGAGGATAAGCAAATAAAGACAATACCAACAAACAGGTACATTAGTTACCCAAACCAAAAAATTTGGCATTACAATCCATGTAGAAAGCAAATAACTTTAACAAGTAAAATGACTTTAAAAATTGAAGGGAATAAGCAAGACACTCTTGGGATGCTCCCATTTCACTTACACTGGTGAGCTAGTGATTTTTATCTGGCATCACTACACAGTTCTAAATCCAACAAGACAGTCTTGCCTGACTTACCTCTGTCAAAGGCCACTGGCTGCGCATACACGATAGGTCTATTCAAGGTAATAAGCACAGCTTCCCTATCTGAAGAACCACTGATTTCTTCTCGGAGAGCATTTCTTAATCCAATTCTGGTTTTAAAATAGGCAACTTGATGAAAATCAGAACCAGCTTCCTCATAAACCTAAATTAAAAGTTCAATAAAATCAAATAATGAAAAATCTTTTAATAAAAGAAACTAAAAGTTTTAATACCATTAATGGTATTGTGCACCAAAACAACTATAGTATATTTTTCTCAATTTCATGCACCAATGATATATACTTTATGCTTTATACCATAAACACCTGAAATCAACATACAATATGAATGGGTATTTCAGAACTAAATGGAAAGTCAAACATCAAGTTCATACAAAATCTAGGATGAGGTCCATATTCTGTACAGCAATGTATTAAATGTTTCATGATAATTAGATCCTCCTTCTTCTCTAAATATTTTTATTTGAACAAATTAACTGTTTTTCTATAGCTGACAAGAAATGTTTGTTCATTTATTCCTGACATATTCTTTAATATAGGCACTCAATTTTAAAAGTGTAGCTGGTAGTCATTTAATAGGTTCTTCAAATCGCAGAAAGGAAATGGTTAAAATCTACCTGATTTTTAGCAAAATAAAAATTTTTAAAAAAACCTATGAGTTGTGAATATTAATTATCATAAAATACAGTCTGATATACTGCTATGTGTACATATATGTGTTTTAAACTTTTACGTTTAGCATTATGGTATGCAAAACTTGCCAATATTATAGCGTAGCTGAGAAACTTAGTAACATTTAAGAATTCATCAATATAAGCACAAAGCATTGAAATAAAAACAATGTTTAACAAAATAAAGAGGATTTATAAGCATATTTATGAAAATACTGGATTAAGTTTCATGTGATTGCCTTTGTACTAAACTATAACAATATACCACCAAAATACTCAATGAAACACTCAAGTAAAATTGTAAAGGCCTTCATAAATAAATTTTCATTAGAATTTACAATCAGAAATTTTAGCAACTTAAAAGATTTTCATAAATATAGAGATACTTCAAGTAGCTGAAATTGATGTGCAAAATTTAAAAGCCACAGTTCTAATGTCAACACATTCTGCACTCACCTGATGTTTGACAATTTGTCCTAATGCCAGATTCAAATCCACTTGGCATTTACCAAACAGTTTCAGGTAGCTGCTGCTTCCTGGCAAGGCTTTGGTTTGAAGTCGATTTGAAAGTTCCAGTTCAATCAACCCAGTTTCAAATCTCACAGCTCTCATTGATGGAGTTGTAGCTGTGACTTGAATACCCTAGCAGATTAAATGTAAGGAAAAAGGGACTCTTAATCAACAATGTCCACCCCCTACAATGAAACCTTTCAATATATGATAAATAAAATGGAATGTTTTGTAACACATACATGATGTCTAATTAACTGATAAAACTGCCAACATTCTTTAATTTCTCATTAGTAGGGACTTCTTTAGCTATTAAATTTCATTTCAGTATTTTGTATTTAAAGTCTAGACCATTCATGGGTTAAATACATTACAACTAAATAACTGGTAAAAAGAATTTTTATTTTTAAGAACATTAATGTCTTAAATATTGTAAATATGAAGGTTTCTATTAAGGTATTACTGTTAATTGGACAAGTGTACAAAATATTTCTTGCAGGTTGACCTAAACATTCTGCATGGAAGGGCACCCAAGGTTCTTTAAAATGCAGAAATATATGCATACTGAAAAATGCAAATAGAAAAAGGTCCTAGAGGATAGTCAAACAATTGTAAAGCTTTTTCTTTAGCGGATACACTTCATTTCTATTCTCTACCTGGCATATTTATGTCTCATATAAATTTTCTACAACAAACAGGCATTAGTTAATTAGAAAAATCCTTTTAAGAGTAGCATTATTATTGCTATGTCACCTTAAACTGCAAGTTGAGAGAATAGAGTAGAATCTTAGGCTTCTCTCCATCTGCTGTCCCATCATGTTCATTCCAGAGAGGAATTGGCTGCTCCCCACCTAAAAGAAGTTAAGTAATTGAGAGTTTGGGGTAATTTCTTTAAAAGGAAAATTTCTATTTTGTGCATTTAAAAAAACACCATAAAGCAGTTATTTTCTTTTCGCTGATCATTAACTCAATCTTTTTAGCAGGTTACATTCACTGAGGCAGATGTATATAAGACAGATATAATGCTGCATCCACAGATACTTCTTAAAACATTTTATAAGGAATAAATTAAAACATTATCTACACAATTAAACCAAATGTGATTGATTATACATGCCAGAAAATGTATTTGAGGCAAAAAAGTAAACTGGAATAATTTCTTCAATCAAAAATATGAACTTTGTTATTTATATTTAGATGTGCAAAAGAAAAAGAAAGAAAAAATAAAGGTGGAGAAATTAAAAATAAGGTAACACACATTAATAAAGAGTGTGACAGCAAAGAGTGTTGTGTAATTTTTTTAATGGGGGCAGGGGATCTTGAGGGTTAAGTTCCTATTAACAGAACATTTCTTGCCCAGGCAACGTGGCACTCCTCTGAGTTCTAATGCTCTAAATAATGTTCTAATGTTTCTATATCTACTTCTCTTTCCTTTTATGAACTTCTCTGCATGCTTATTTTTCCAATATCCTATCTTAAAATGATCCACCTTTTTATTTGCATGTTGAGTTCATAATCAACTCAGGGAGCATACGGGTGGGATGAAGTTTTTTCCTATTAGGGACCACAGATGCATCAAAAGAGCCAAGAAGCAAACAGATAAAAGAGCAGGTTTTGTTTGCTTGAGATAGAAATGTAATCTTTTATGGGCTTTCAAAAAAGCTGTAAAAAAGAACTCTTTGGGGTTTTTTTACAATTTTTTAATTGATTTTTTTAGAGAGAGAGGAAGGGAGGGAGAGAGAGAAAGAGAGAAACATCGAAACATCAATCAGCTGCCTCCTGCACGACCCTACTGGGGATCAAGCCGGCAACCGGTCATGTGCCCTGACAGGGAATCGAACCGGCAATCTTTCAGTGTATGGGATGACACCCAACTGGGCCACACTGGCCAGGGCAAAATTCATGTTTTGCTTTTTTTTAAAAAAAGAAATCTTGCACTTGTAACAACATGGATGGACCTTGAGGGTATTACACTAAGTGAAATAAGTTAAACAGAGAAAGATAAATACTGTATGATCTCACTTAGATGTGGAATCTAAAAAACAAAACTCACAAATATAGGAAACAGATTGGTGGTAGTTAGAGGGGAAGGGAGTGGAGAGGTTGGGCAAAATGAGTAAAGGGGGCAAAAGGTACAAACTTCCAGATATAAAATAACTAAATCCTGGGGATGTAATGTACAGCATGGTAACTATAGTCAATAATATTGTACTGCATATTTGAAAGTTTCTGAGAGCAAATCTTAAAAGTTCTCATCACAAGAAAAAAAATTATAACTTTGTTGGCGATGGATGATAACTAGATTAATTATGGTGATCACTTCACAGTGTATACAAATATCAAATTATTATGTTATACTCTTAAAACTAATATAGTATGCCAATTTTACCTCAAAAAAAGTCTATTCATAAAAATTCTACTTGTTTTATGTTGATCTATCACTACCTTGAATATCTTTTATCTGGTGTCAGAAAAAATTTCTTAAAATTTAAAACCAGATGCTCCACCTCTTACAAAATACAGTAATCATTTTAGTTTATAGAAATATTGGAAACACTATTATATTAGTCACATGAACTCCACAGGTTTTTACTCATTATGAATTAAATTTATAGATGTGATTTAACTATTATTTTGACATGGTTATATTCATACTGAAAATATTCAGTCTCAAGAGCTGTTATACAGAGTCAACTTGTTTTCCACCCTAATCCTCTTAATATTTCATCTTGTGAATTAAAAGTCAATTAAACATTTTTAAAATCAAGCATGTATTTTGTGTTATAATGTAAAACTGTGATTAAGAAGCTCAATTGTAATCTACTCTTGGAGGGATGGCAAAAATGTAAGGGTTACTATAAACAATTAACCCTGTAGCCAGCATATAGTCACCAGTGGGTATAGATTAAGGTGGCAATCTTATTATTGATCTAAATTTTGTTCCTAAATGAATAAGACTGGTTTGGTCAATAGACATACACAAAGTTCTCTCTCTCGCTTGCTCACTTTCACTTGCTCAAAAGGTAAGCATAAAGGAGCTTTGTGAAGTTTATAAATCATGAATGTATGTATTACACATGACAAGAGTAATTAGCAAAAGAATCTATAGGTGGAAAAGCCAGAAAAGGCACGCCTTGTTTGCAGGGAGTCACTAAACAATTACCTCCAAATGACAGGCTCAATGTTCATACCACAGACCCACAGGCCATGCAGCCAATGAGAACAAAACCTGGTGCTACACACTCTGTACTATAAAATGCCATAAATCTGCTCACCAGAGACTTTTTGTATTACTTCATTAACTTCCTTCATGAATACTTTCTGAACAAACACCAAGTGGTTTAGAAGATCAGTTGTGAGATTATGTTCAAAAGAACCAACCTGCCAAACAAAATTACAGCATTAGGCTGACATTACTGACTGATTTAGTTTTAAATACATCTTTTGCTCACATAAGTAATCCCAAACTCTGTGGAAAAGTATCTATGTACTATTTGAAATCAACACTCTAGAGAAGGGTTAAAAATATTCAGATTCTCCAATATTTTACTGGTCTATTACAGGCCATTCTCAATTAAAAAAAAAATAACAGTAGCCAATAAGGTATAAGAAATCATTTGAAAATGAGTGGAAGTATACTTTATTATATAATCTGCTAATTTCAAAATTTAAATTTTATCTAGAGTAATATTTATTTTCAACACCACTGTTGTATTGTTAGAACCATAAATAAATGTTGTTATAATAAAATCAACCATGAAAATACTGCAGAGATGAATGTGAAACCCAATGTAAGAAATAATGAATTCCAAGATAATAAAAAAACATGCTTCAGTAAACCTATAAGGAGAGAAGCACACACACACGTGCACATGCACACACATACACATACCAGACTTGGTATAGAATTCTGTAGGAATAAATGATTTATAACTTGCCTTAAAAGTTTGGATCACTACATATTTTGGTACACCTACAGCTTGAAGGCCTCTATTACAAAGAGTAAGAAAATTAAAAAGTAAACTTACTTCTGCCACACAGCGTAGGTAATTTCCCTGTAAATAGTACCCTTGTTTGGAAGGCAATTCGTCTATACTCCACACCTGATCTGAATAACTATCATGCTCTTCCATGATGTATTTCCCAGACATAGTAACAGGAGGCAAGTTAAGACTGGCAGAAGGAGGAATGGTCGACATATCTGTGGCAGAAACTTTTGAAGTAAACCTCAATCTGTGATTTGGCAGCTCAAATGTAAACCTGGTCTGTGCACCTGTAAGAAAAAAGAAAAGTTATTGCTTGAATAGATGAACTTCAAAGAAAATGTACAGAAAAAAGAAAATTCCAAGTTAAAAAAATGTATTAGGATTCCATGTAAATAGAGTACAAAACAGGCAAGAGCAAACAAACTAAGTCATTTATGAGTATATACAAAGTGCAGTAAAACTATAAAGAAAAGCAAAGAAATTAGGACATGACATACATGACAGTGGTTCTCCCCCTAAAAGCCATGGGAATATTATCTGGTAGTGGTAATATTCCTCGAAAAGACTTCAAAGTACTGGTATTTTCTAATTCTTAGGTTTGTAACAGATCGATGAGATCACAGTTCTTTATTATTGTTTAAACTGTGTGTATATAATTTATACTTGTATATGTGATGAATTTCAGGACAAAACTATAACAGCAAAACATTTTGGACAGGATATACGAGGGCCATGAACCTTACAGAAGCAGCTGTTTTGAAGAAGTCAAATTACCTCTAATTTGAGCAAAAGGCGCCCATTGCGAACATAAGCCATATTATTCAGGCAACAGGAAGCTGACAGATGGAGAAACATATTCAACCTAAGAAATGGCCTCCACAGTCCAACAAGTTTAAAGAGTTCAGATTAAAGTAGGGTCCATGCTGGTCATTAAGGGAGGTGACTGATAGTATTTACTTGACTGAGGAATATTATTAATGAAATTTAAAATTGTTCTGGTTAAAATTAGTTAAATTTTCATATATCTATAAAACCAAATTTACCTCTTCATCAAATTATTGCTAATGATGCAACCAATACTACTTTCTGGGCAGAACGTGGAAGCAGACGCTACCTGTCATCCCGTGGCTCCGCATCCTGCCCATCTTGTACTCAGCCCGCAGGGAGGGCAGCAGCGCGGCTCCGATGGCGATGCCATCCAACATGGTGCTGAACTTCAGGACGAGGGGCTTCTTTTCCAAGCCTTCCGGCAGCTGAGGAAATTCATTTGTTTCAATAGGAGTCTGATTAACACTGGTTGGCGTTTTTTCAGAAGGTAGGGGGGTTGCAATATCTTCTTTTACAGGCTGTGGGCTACAGAGCAAAAAATAATTTTAAAAGACACAGAATGACTACCATTTTATTATATAAAATTACTGGAGTTCTCAATAAAAATAGCAAAAACATACTGTAAACAGATGTTTTATTTCTAATTCCAGATCATATTAAGACTTCCTAGAAACAGCCATTGAAAATGATGACCCAGAGAAGCAAAAAGAATAACAATATAAACTGGAACGCTGGAATGCCAAGGCCACTGATACCATCAATGTGAAACTAACTGGACGTTAGACTCAGGTCTGTCTGCTTCCAAATTCCGTGACTTCAGCATTGCACACTCTACTGTTGCTTGTAAGACTATTACTACTGTGACCATTACTACTACTGTCACTATTAATAACAATAACACCAACAGCCACAATAATTGCTTACATGTGCCAACTCAGTGCTTGGTGTGTTTTATATCACTTATTCACTTATCTCACTCACAAAGCCCTTTGAGTAGACACTATTATCTCCACTTTATAAAGGAGGAAGCATAGCCAGAAAGTGGTGAAACCAGGATTTGAACTCATTCAGTCTGACTCCAGAGTCTGATTTTTGAACTATTACACTATGAGGGCAATACATTATAATAAGGAAAAATTCCTTAGAGTATTTTAAACTAAGGCTCATGTACACATTCTGGATTCCATATTCCACTGACAGGAGAAGCATTCAAATTATTACTACTTAGGCACCTTCATACATGAATTAATATTATATCAGAATTAAAGATCTAGATAGAACAATTAGAAAAATCATTGCTTTTGGACACCATCAAAAGACACACTAATGTTTTTTACCTTAGAGGATAGGAAAAAGGAAACATATTAGAACACTTTTTTATCTTTTACTTATCATATTTTTATTAGTTATTCATTAGTTATAGCTTTGCAGAACAGCAATGAAGCTCAGCAATGCAGACCTATGAACAAGGGTTCCAGACACAGGGAATAAAGGTTAAAGTGCCAAGGTCAAAATTACTGCCTTTTAAAACATTTATGTGGCATGATCATATTCTGCCTTGAACCACGTGCAATCACTTCATAGAAAAGACAGCACAAAACCATGAATGGGACATAAATGGCCACTGAAATTTTTGAAACCTATGTAATCATAAATTTCAATGAGTTAAGAGTAAAGGGGGATTGATACAGTTCTAGAATTTGTCAGTTTGCTCCTTATTAGTACCTCTTATGCTGCCCACACATCTCTAAGGCCTCTTAAGCTGTATTGATGCAACATGGAACACTGACAACGGCACTTGTGACACACGGTATGATATCCAGGACTACCCACTATCACGTTTGGCTACTTTCCACCTGCCCCAGTGTCCATCATGGTCAATGATCAGACGAAGCCCTCTGTCTTCCTCCACACTGTTGTTCACACAGCAAAGAATGACCTGAAGTATTATAGAGGATGGCAGAACTCGACAGAATAACTTACACTGTAGAAGGTTGTCTGATGAGGTCTGAGATCTGCTTTGACAGCTGGTGAGAACTCCGAACCATCATGCTGTGTAAGGTGGCAGGGTGCTGGGGAATGTTGATGCTGATAGCTCCCACTTTGAACACGGCGGCATTGTTTGTCTTCAACCCCCTCTGGGCACTGTAGAGAGCCTGGGACTTGGCGATACTGCATTTCACTACGGTTCTAGCAACAAGGAAGGAGGACTATTAAAATATAGCCAAGTAAAGAGAAATTTTGAGAAGTATTTCTGAGAGCAAGGCAAATGCTTTTATTTATTGAACTAAATAAACTTAAGATTTTTCATGTGTTTAAAACATACACTGAAGAAATAAGTATTTTAAAAACACTGAAATACATTTATTTTACAATGTTTGCTGGACATACCAAATATTCTATTTTAATAAGGACTTCATGGAAGAACATATGTCTGTGATCACATATAAGTAAAAGGCATAAACACTGACACATTACATACATGCAACACACAAAATTCCATTTTCTTTTTTTTCTCCATTTAGAACTCCACATTTCTCCTCCAACTTATTTTAGGGATCTGTACAACCACTAAGAAAGCATAGAGACTGAATATGGAAAGATAAAAATACAATGTACTTCTTAAAATCCAATCAAAGAAATTAATCTAATAATCATCTAATATATTAAAATATACTAAGAGAAATTACCAGGAAGGAAGAAATTAATTTGGATTTTCTATTTGCAGTGAGTGACACAGATATGACAGAAGTCTAATTCATAACAAGTAACTAGTACTTAGTTAAAAACTGCCACGCTTTACTGATACCGACATAAAACAGAGGTATTCTCTCTCTTGATCTCGTTCTCTCTTCCCATGGCTAGAACAGTGCCCTGAACATGAGAAGCACTCATTGAATCTTTTGAAATGAATGAGCAGAAGGAAGTACAGCAGAAAAATGGCTCTCAACACAGCAACTGTGGAATTACACAGATGTGATAGGTCACACGTGCAGAAGTGACGACAAACCAGTCTTTGACATACAATGGAAAGGTTCCTGCCAACAAATTGCACCAGCAAAGACCCAGAGAGTAAAAAGATAATTTCTAGCATAAATAGTATCTTTCAAATGAGCAAAGGATTCTTGAAAATAAATAGATTTAGCAAAATACTCAGTGATAAAAGGGAAACAATAAATCTTCTTTAGCTACTATGACTATTAAAGTGGAATTAGCTTTTTTCAATACCTATTAAGATGACACTTATATGGAAGAATGAGTTCTAGAAAACAATCATTTCTCTAATTTAATATTAGTGCATTCATTCTTTTTTAATACTTATATTTGGGTGATAAAGTGATATAAATCTCATTAATCTCAACAAAGGGCTGGTAATTGATTTTTGTCCATTATCAATATGCAATGAAACAAATCTCACGAAGTATGAAAACCTTATCAGCATGGAACTTAATATACAGATTCAAATATTTATTCAGCATATTCAAATTTTACAGAAAATGTCAAAAAAACCAACCACTGCTAAGTAACACATTAATTTGTCACAGTGGTAAGACTCATGTGATGAATAATTTTAAATATAGCACTCAGTATAGCTCACTACCACAAAATATCAGATATACATAAGTCAAAATTAAGGCACTCAAAATATAGAAGCACATATAGTAAAAAGCGATATATAAAATGTCTGATAAGCAGTAAACACTCCTCATCTTAAAAACAAAATCATAAGGTTGAGATGTGTAGATATTTTCAATATTAGTTTTAATAATTATTTTTGCAATTAGTGAAAAATCTTTTGCACAGTGAAACACTTTAGCTTCTACTATCCTGTCAAACATTAACAAGGATATGTGATAATAAAAACTGTGACAGTAACATGTCTAAAAAAGCAGAAGCAACACACAACTACAGTGCTACAATCTTTCAACAACAAAACAAAAAGGTAGCCCTTACCTGTGTGTTCCCTGAATAGCAGTAAGCTTTAATCTAGAAAAGGGTCTATGTAAAAACTACAAAATAATAACTACATACATTCACAGCCATGCAGGTAATATTATCTTTAAAACTATTCACTACTATGTTAATCACAAAGCCCATGAAAAAAAATAATATGACATACAGAAACTCTTGTTTGGCTGTGCTTGTAGGAGATGTAGGAAAATCCTCCAGTCTACAGATGAAGATTCAAGAGAAAGCAGGAAACAAAAAGGAAGCAGATAAGCATTCGTGAATAAATCAGTTACAACATGACCGATCATCTGGAAAGCTTTTCTTATTTTCCACTTTTGCAATTTTCCTTCAAAGAACCTTTTAAACTACTTTCTTAGTTCTGTTTCCTTTTCATTGAAATTGGAAATAAAAAGCCAAAGAGTAAGTCCAGAAACACTTAACACTGCTAGAATCTGGCAGTGAGTAATAACTTTTTATTTTTCAAATATAAAAGTTAAGGGATCTTTCCTATTTGTTTGTTTTCTCTAAGGGAAAAAAATCAACTATCTAATACTAAATATGCTTTTAGAGACTATTTATGACATTCTCTGAAAAGCTAACAGAAAATGAAGACAAGAGGTCCAATAAAACACACAGGACATGTAAAGAAAACTGGTTTACTTTCTGAACGGGTTAGGTGAGCATGGTACTTTAAATTTCCTCAACAGGGAATCTGGAGCCAGAGGTCTGTGAGGACTGTCTGCAGAAGTAGCACGGCGAGGTACCAGGAGACCTCTTTTCCTTCTTACTGTACAATGTGAAGCATTTTAGGCAAACACTTTGATCTTTCTGAATTTCAATGTATTGTTCTATAAAATGGGTATAAAACCACCCCAGATCACAGAATTGTGAAATAATCTCTGTGAGGCTCCTGGTCCATAATAGGTAATTCTTAAGATTATAGTTGTTACATAATAGACCATCTGCCACAGTGAATGATCAGGAAAGGTCATCTCTCCCAAATACTGGATTTTTGGATCTTTCTTAAGAACTCTTAAGAAATACAAACTAGACCATTCAGGCAGCTAATATAAAATATGTCCTCTTTGGTTCTAAGGTTTCAGGTCCAAGCTCCCCAGCAAGACTTACACATCCATTTCCGGAAATACTCCTCAGACAGCTATCACATTACCCATGTTTAAAATATTATGAATAGACCTGTAACTAGTCAATCTAGACTAATATTTAATTTTTATAATGCTAAACCAGATCCTCTATTTAGTCAGTATTTGGCATGATAAACGCTTTCTAGTACCATAATAGGACAACAATAACTAGTTGTAACCTTAAGAGCAAATTCTCAAAATCTTACCTAAACACATTTTGTAATTATAACATAAAACTGCTCCACTGAAATAAAGTTAGGAGTGAAGGTCCATAATGTGCCAAGTTGTATGAACCAAGTCAGTGGTTTAATGTATTAATAACAGCTGAGTGATCTGAATATCATGTGTAAAGGTAACAATTATGAGAACAATTCTCACAGATCCAAGAACAGGACTTATAAGAAAAAGGACAGAGTCAAAAGAACAGCAATACGGGACATCACAGTCATATCAGACGCTCGTCTACGCCATTAGAAGAGTCTCCTGGGCATTACCGTCAAATTGTTTAAATGCAAAAATAGCAAGAGGAGATGCTAAAATCCAGCATGAATATGGGTAATGACTGCTTAACATAAAACCAAGAGTCTATATCCTTTGACTGTAATTTTGTTTTAACTATTTGAATTGTGTGAGCTTTTGCATCTTGTATGTTTAACCAAAAATTGCACTGTTATCATTTTTCTTTTTTCTTTTTTTTTGGTAATAATTTTTCTAGACACACAATTTTACAATGTCCCGGGAGCCCATTTTTAAGGGGGGGAGAGGTGAGGGAGGTAGTAAAACCAGTTTTAGAAAGGAAAAAAATCACTTTTCTAAAAACATTTCATTGGGTGATATTCTTTTTTTTTTAACCTTCACCTGAGGCTATTTTCTCCACTGATTTTTAGAGAGAATGAAAGGGAGAGAGGAGGGGAGAGAGAGAGAGAGAAACACTGATGTGAGAGAGACACATTGATTGGTTGCCTCCTGCACAGACCCCAACCAGAGCTGAGGATCGAACCTGCAACCCTTAGGTCTGCAGGCCAAAGCTCTAATTACTGAGCTAAACTGGCCAGGGCTCATTGGGATATTCTTAATGACAGAATCACAATATCTGAAACATTAAGTATATAAATTTCAAAACTCAGCAAGTGTGGGATTTATCCAATGAATTTTAAGTTTCCTATAAACCACAACAAACAAATTTAAGAAAATACTAAAAATCAACACACTTACTGTATATTTGGTGTGATCCCTTCAAGCAGCACAATATTAACCCCACCAATATGCGCAGTGGCACATGTCTCAGTCATCTTTTGATGTAAAACATCTTAAAAGTAATAAAAAAGAATTATATGAATTTCTGGAAATAAGATAATTGCACTTCATATTAAATTCACATTTTATTCATAATACGTTCAGTGACAAAAGGCAATTTTAAAGTTACGATAAAATTTAAACTATATTTTGAAACTACTTTTAAAAGTTTCCTTGAAGTTTTTTTATTTCTATGTATTAATGTGGACATATATTGTATGTCAAAATTGGAATAATGCTAAACAAATATTCAGTTTAACATGCTAATCGTGCAGTACAGAGCCTAAAGGCATTACATAGCCTAATGACATTTTAAATCTCAGAAGTAATACTTAGTGCAGAACACCTGGAAATTTTTAAAGAACAAAAAAAATAGGAAAAAGAAACTACATAAACTAGCTCTCTGATCCACCCAGAAGTTCGGCTTTCTAGAACAACTGCCAAGCAGGAATTGTGGAGATGGAGTCAGCTCTCAGAAAAGCAGCAGCAATATGGGAAAGCGGCCGTACCTTTCATCTTCTCCTTCAGCGTGAAGCTGCCATGGATCCTCTTCAGCTCGGACTCCATCGTGAGCCCGCCGATGTCCGCCTCCAGGTGTGTGCGGTTCACCATGCCAATCCCAAACACGATCAGGGTGACATGCTGGGGTTCTGCTGTCACCACGCTGCGCTTCCTCTGCGTCTTCGTCACACTGTTATTGTCCTGTTCGTTCTCAAACACCACTTTACAGGTTGGCTCTGTCGGGCTCCGAATGTCTTCATGAGTAAACAGAAACACATAGGTTTAGATGTGAAAACTGCAGAATAAAAGGACACTCCAAACATTGCCTTACCTCTTTCCTTCCCCTTTTTGACCAGCCCTCCTCCTTCCTCTTCGCCACCAAAATGACTTTTTAAATGTTTCCACATCTTCTCTTGGCCACATTGAAAGCAAACAGTCAAGTCAGACATTTGGCAGCAGGTGTGTGTGGCTCTACCAGAGTACCCTGCCCATGGGTTACGGAGGGTGGGAAATGGGGCACAAGATGTCTGGCCACATGACTATTCTCTCCCGCAGTGACCAACTTCTGTGCATCTCAATTATCCACTCGTCACATGAAGAAAACATCATGAAAAACCTGCTACCTACCTTTCTTAGTATGAATGCGATTCCAAACAATTTAAAAAATATAAAATATCCATTACCTGCTGGTCCAAACGCATCTGAAGACTTTTCCAATATTCCTGTTGGATCAGAGATGAGGGAATAGAAGTTCAGCAGTTTGTACATGTTCTGCCAGCACTCAGCAGAGGGCTCACTCTGCTCCGACACGGTGATGGAGTCTGAGTCATCCATGGGCATCGCCATGTGATCTACCACATCTTTGGAGCCTTTCCTGGACACTTTGGAAGTTCTTCTCTCAGATCTTCCTAATGAGTTTTTGTTTCGAGATTCCTTTTTGTTATTCTCACTGTTGGTCCGTTTGTTCTTTGCATTATTTACTCTGGTGCCACCGTTAAGACTTCCTCTGGAACTGCGGCTGAAGTCAGAGGAGCGGAAATCTCGATGTTTTCTGGTTCTAAAGGTAGGTGTTGGCGAAGCTGATCCAGCTGTGTATCTGCTCAATTTAATGTCAGTCTGAGTTGCTTTGATGTCATCTATCATTGTACTGAACTGATGAATGAGACGAACCAAAGCCATGTCCACGTGCTGGCTTATGGACTGACAGGAAATGGTGAAGTTGCAATGGAAGGTGTTGTAGTAACGCTTGTTGAGATCATGGAAAGAAAGAGCGCTGGTGGAGTTCTGAGGGGTGCACACAGACTTTTCCATCACGATTGCACTGATGCTAAAGGTTTCCAACATTAAAGCCGGTTTGAACTCAAGTGGAGGAAGATTCACATGGCCTTGCCTAAAAATGTGAAAATGAAGAAAATGACAAGGTTTTTATTTCCTCTTTTCTAGAACTGTACAATCTTTATTAATTAATTAGCAAAATAATCTCCAAGGTAATAAACGTTATAAGTCATTTAAATACTTTTCAGCATAAAATCAAGTAGAGTTTACTTTTTTCACTAAGCTAGCCTTTTATAAGTCAAAATCAGCCTTATGTTAACGATTTCAGTGAAAAGATAAAACAATTTTTCTTGACATCAATGGTACACCACACTGACAATCCCAACATGAAGGGATTTCAGTTATAACAGTTTAGTTAAATAACATCAGTTCCCAACAATACAGTTCAAACTTTTAACTAAAACTTACTGTGAATAACTACATAAAGCACCAGCTTGCTGCTAGCTCTTCAGTCCATGAGTCACTACATAAATAATGGACAGGCATAGTGATCAGTGACCAATCACATCACCTTGTCAAAGTCTGTCAGTGATGGTCAACACACATTTGTTATGCATTCACACCCAGACAGGGAAGCATGTAGGGTGTTGCCTCCTTGTGATATTTTAAAAAGATAGAATCAAAACAAGGAAAACTCAATCAGGAAGAGTCAGAAAACCTGAATAGGCCAATAACTGCTGATGAAGTTGAAGCAGTAATCAAAGAGGTCCCAGCACGCAAAAGCCCTGGACCAGATGGCTTCACAGGGAGTTTTACCAAACATTCAAAGAAGAATTAACACCTACCATCCTTAAACTATTGCAAAAAATCCAAGAGGAAGGAACACTTCCAAGCTCTTTTTACGAGGCCAACATTAACCTAACTCCAAAACCAGATAAACACACTACAAAGAGAATTAAAGGCCAATATCCCTGATGAACATAGATGCTAAAATCCTCAACAAAATATCAGCAAATCAGATCTGGCAATATATTAAAAAGATCATACATCAAGACCAAGTGGGACTTATTCCAGGGATGCAAGACTATTTATTACAATATTCGCAAATCAATAAATGTGATACATCACATAAACAAGCTGAAAGACAAAAATCACATCATCATATCAATAGATGCAGAAAAAGCATTCAATAAAACCCAATACCGATTTTTGATAAAAACTCTCAGCAAAGTGGGAATAGAGGGATCATACCTCAACATAATAAAGGCCATATATAACAAACCGATAGCCAACATCATACTCAATGGACAAAAACTAAAACTATTTCCCCTATGAACAGGAACGAGACAGGGGTGTCCATTTTCATGACTCTTATTCAACATAGTACTGAAGTCCTAGCAACAGCGATCAGACAACAAGAAAACATAAGAGGCACCCAAACTGGAAAGAGGGAAACAAAACTGTCATTATTTGCAAATGACATGATATTGTACATAGAAAATCCTAAAGACTCCACCAAAAAACTACTAGATTTAATAAATGAATTCAGCAAGGTAGCAGGATACAAAATTAACACCCAGAAATCAATGGCATTTTTATACACCAATAATGAACTCTCAGAAACAGAAACCCATAAAACAATCCCATTTACCATTGCAACTGAAAAAATAAGATACCTAGGAATAAACTTAACCAAAGATGCAAACGACTTATACTCGGAAAACTACAGGACACTGAAAAAAGAAATAAAGGAAGATATAAAAAAATGGAAAAATATACCATGTTCATGGATTGGAAGAATTAATAACATTAAAATGTCCATACTACCCAAAGCAATCTATAAATTCAATGCAATCCCTATTAAAATACCAACAGCATATTTCACAGATCTAGAACAAACACTGTGAAAATTCATATGGAACCAGAATAGCCACAGCAATCTTGAGAAAGAACAACAAAGTTGGAGGGATCACAATACCAGGTATCAAGTTATACTACAAGCCACTGTAATCAAAACAGCCTGGTACAGGCACAAGAACAGACATATAGATTAGTGGAACAGAACAGAGAACCCAGAAATTGACCCACGCCATTATGGTCAATTAATATTTGACACAGGAGGCAAGAACATACAATGGAGTAAAGACAGTCTCTTCAATAAATGGTGCTGGGAAAATTGGACAGATACATGCAAAAAAATGAAACCAGACCACCAACTTACAGCATACACAAAAGTAAACTCAAAATGGATAAAAGACTTAAATGTAAGACGTGAAACCATAAAAATTCTAGAGGTAAACATAGGCAGCAAAATCTCAGACATCTGTCATAGCAATATGTTTGCTGATACATCTCCTAGGGCAAGAGAAACAAAAGAAGAAAATAAACAAATGGGACTACATCAAAATAAAAAGCTTCTGCACAGCAAAAGCAACCATCAACAAAACGAAAAGGGAGCCCAATGCATGGGAGAACATATTTGCCAATGACACATCTGATAAAGGGTTAATATCCAAAATATATAAGGAACTCATACAACATAAAAATGAAGACAAACAATTCAATTAAAAAATGGGCAAAGGACCTAAATAGACACTTCTCCAATGAGGATATACAGATGGCTATGAGACATGAAAAAATGCTCAATGTTGCTAATCATCAGAGAGATGCAAATTAAAACCACAATGAGGTATCACTTCACACCTGTGAGAATGGCTACAATCAACAAATCAACGAACTACAAGTGCTGGCGGGAATGCAGACTGGTACAGCCACTATGGAAAACAGTATGGAGTTTCCTCAAAAAATTAAAAATTGACCTGCCATTTGACCCAGTGATCCCACTTCTAGGAATATATCCTAAGAAACTTGAAACACCAATCACAAAGAACTTATGCACCCCTATGTTCATAGCAGTGTAATTTACAATAGCTAAGATCTGGAAACAGCCCAAGTGCCCATCAGTAGATGAGTGGACAAAAAAGCTGTGGTACATTTACACCATGGGATACTACACAGCTGTAAAATAGAAGGATCTTTTATCCTTTGGCACAGCATGGAGGGAACTAGAAAGTATTATGCTAAGTGAAATAAGCCAGTCAGAGAAAGACAAGTACCACATGATCTCACTTATATGTAGAATGTAATAAACAAAATAAACTGATGAACAAAATGGATCCAGAGACATAGAAACATGGAATAGACTGAGGAATCTCAGAGGGAAAGTAGAGATGGGGGAGTGGGCGGGGAGAGATTAATCTAAGAACTTATATGTTTATAAGCATAACCTATGGGCACAGACATTGGTCTGGGGAAGGCCTGGGGATGGGGTGGAGGAAATCAATGGGGGTAAAAAGGGGACATCAGAAAACAAACAAACAAAAAAACTCCTCATAGAATAATTTTATCACTAGAAAAAGGAATATAAAATACTTCATTTCAGTAATCATTTTAGTAATCCTGATTTAGGTACTGAGAGTCTGTTTCTAAAAGTCCATTTAGAGTTTGTTAAGAATCTCAATTTACATTCCTTGTATTAGAGTTCAAGTTCACAGTATCCAGTGTCAAACATTTTGCTATCTTAAAAAAAACAAAAAACAGGGAATTGGACAACAAGGATGAAAATGCAGCAAGAAAACAAAAAATGATAATGCTGGTAGTGAAATTCAGCTAAACGTAAATGGAGCTATAGAAGAAACAGCTGACTATGGAGATGTTGCCACTTTGCTGTTCTAGAAACTAGATACACAGCCAAAGGAATGCAGGGAAGGCAGACTTACTGGCAGAAAGAGGAAATTGGTTGTAACAAAAAGAATGAAGACATCCAGGAGGAAGAAATGCTGGCAAAAAACTACATAGTAAAAGGAAGTTGTGACAATACTTCATGACATTAAAATGCAAAGGATAAAATGTTGGAAACTGATCAATATTTAGTGGATCAACATTTTGCCAAGGAACAGAAAAGGTGCTCATTCTTTATTGTGAGTTACATGACAAGAAGGCCAGAATTATTCAAACTACCCTTTGACAAGTTTTCTAGAAAGAAATTCAATTTCAAAATGTTTTAAATTACAATGTACTAGATATTAGTTCTACTATATTTTTCATTTCCCTATATACTTATATAATTAACAATAAGAGAGATTTTAATTTTTTGACATTTTTTAAGGTCAAAAAACAAAAGTAATTTTTCCCACTAATCCTAATAATCATTAAGGTCAGTTTCCAGTGTTTTAGCTTGCACGGTCATTGTTGTGGTATCACACAATGTGAAAAGCAGGGACTGTCTTCTATGTAACAGAAAAGACAATGCAATTTCCATGTTCCCGTGTCATTAAAAAATCCTCAGATATTTAGACCTAAAACAACTAAACATAGGTTCTTTCTAGTTATCTATACAGAACTGTCATGAGATTTTTTAAAAACAATTTTGTTAAATTATTTAAAATTTTAAATAGAGTATTTCAAATGAAATATACATTTCACTTAACTCTATGTTGGGTACATGTGCATTTTACTTTTAATTTACCACCTTGCAAAAGCACCTATGTCCATATTCTATTATTCCTATACACTTCAGCAAGATCCTCCCAAAGTAAAACTCAAGTTCTCAAAAGATTAATCAAATCTTATTAGTAAGCATACTACTTCCTATACAAACAGTGAAGAAACTGAAGAACTACCCATGGCAATAAAGAATGATAGTAAAAGATGGTTCTTAACTCTTTCTACGCTACATGTGGCATTCCCGTCTGTGTCTTTGTTTCTGATGACTAGATTCTATATGACCTCTACTCTGTTCCTAATAGGAAATATCACCTGCCACAAGTCAGCTCAAAAAGGAGGTCAGGAATAAATTCTAAATTGTACAAAATTAGAACCCGTAAGATCATAAAAATTTAACTAGTGCAACTATAAATTAATTCTAGGTGTCTATATCACCACATGTATGTGGCTCACCCTCATGGATGCGCTAACATGGTTCAAAGAGAGGCCCAAAAGCAGGCCTCGTAACCTGTCAATGTGGCTACTATTTTGGTTAAATGGAAATTATCTTCTCACTAAGATATTAAAGTTAATTTCTCATTAGCATGAGAAGGAAGCAAAGTTAAAAACAAACAGGTATTATAACCCTTGTACAAAATTTTACATGCAAACAACAACGCAAGACACCTTCTTGCCCTTTTGCTCCTCCTCTCCTTGGCTGTGTCCGAGTCCACAATATCTGCTCTGAGGCAGTCCAGCGTTCCCGAAAATGAAAGGTGCTCTCCAAAGTACATGCGGTAGCATAGCGGCATTGCATCCTGGGACTGGATCCCTGTGTGACTCAGAAGAGGCTTGAAAACAACCTAGAAGACATAACACATTCATATTGGCACAATTTATAATTCAGCATTTACCGCAGCTTTTTCTTACCTTACCCCAGTTCATAGGTGTAGTGTGAAACACAAAAAAGCTCTTCTGTATTAAATATAATCTAATTTTACTTAAAACTTAACTGTCTTTTTAAGCACCTATTATGTGCTCATCTCCAAATTAATCATAGGAACAAAGATTACTCAATCCTGCCTAATGTTTGAAAATACAAGGAAAATAAAATTATGAATTAATTTAAATTATTCTACTTCTTGCTTTTGAAAAAGGCATGAATATCTGCGTTTCCATAAAATTTGGTATGTTAGGTTCACAAAATAGTTTATCAACTTCCTGTGTTAATATAAAAACATTTCATATATTATGACTATCTGACCTATTTTTAAATGGTATCACTTGGTCATAACAGTCATTTGAAATTTATTTTCTGACGAAGAACTTACTTTGCATTTTAAGTATCATACACGTTTATGGAAATATATCACTCTGGTGAAGTCTCTAGGTAACTGGATTTCCAAGTCACTAAGAGCGACCCACACAGAAGCAACTATATGTGTTCAGTAAATCACTACAATCACCCTGATCACTTATGTCCCTTCTCCTTCTTTGACATCCTAAATTTTAGGTGTCACCCAGTGCTTTCCTTCGCCTCTTCTAACTCATTCACTATACATTCTCCCTTAGTGGTCATTTCCAGAAGCTTAAAAAATCCTATCAAAATGGACAAGTGCCATTTATGTAATGAAACCCAAGTCCAGATTTTCAATTGTGTCCAAGTCACCTCACTTGTCTGTGCTTGGGAAGACAAGCCTAGAATGAGAGAATTCAAACACTCTTCAGTTCCAGTTACTGGGCTTCCTTTACCCCACAACCCTGGCTTAAATTGTGCTTCAGCAACTTCCTACATTGCATATTACATGTCATCACCAGACTCTTCTGCTATGTCCATTTTGGATCGACCCTCCTCTACTCCTACAACTGAGCTGCTAAGAACAATGACAGGGAATGATGCAATTGCACTCACTGGGCTCCAACACTATCTAAGCCCTTAACTGGACCCTCAGCACTCTGTGGCCATCTTCTGGGGTATATGGGGAGCTCTCTTTCACATATACTCCAATACACATACCTAAATCAACTCACATGGTCTTTCACTCTATTATTTAATATTTATGTTTCAGGGAGATTTTAGAGTTTTATATGTAAAATAGTATAGTTACTTTGAAAATCTATATTGAATGTTAATAAATGCAATAAATGTATTCTAAAAGACAACACAGAAAAGATTACTTCTTTTCCCACTCTCCCTTGTAAGAAAAAGTAGAGACCCCCAAAACAACTCCAATGTAATAGAGAAGTAAATTTCAGAAAACTTAAGTGCCTGACACATTTTTTAACATAAATTACCTCCTCCTGTAAGAGAAAACTAAAGCTACCAGTTTGCAAATTTACCCATCTAGATGTGAGTTGTCCTTATTGTCTCAAAAATTCTCAGAGAAGGTACCTTTTATGTCTACAGCATTTCTATAAATGACTAAATTCCAACAGTTCTCACCCTTCTGTAAATCTGGCTCTGTCAGAAGGGTAAACTACCCTTCTTTCCTCTTTTTTTTTGGAGTGGGGCTGTCTTAACTCCTCATAAGTATGTAAACACACTGAAGCCTCTTTCATCCTGAGAGAACAGCACCTCTTACTGCCTGTGACCCACTCGTCTTCTGGTCACTTGAGCTAAAAAGATTTCAAAGATTTTGCTTTGGACTCTCCATATTTAATCCATTAAATAAGACCTTCATAATATTTCTCCTTTACCTTACAAAGCCACAGCCATTTAAGCTAAGAGCCTCATTACCACTTGTGTGAACCGTTTTAGCAACTCATCTTTTCACCTTTAGTTTCTCTACTACAATCCATTTAGCACATTGCTACCCATACCCAGCTCTAGTCACTTTATTCCTCTGCTCTAAAATCTTCAATGGTTCCCCACTGCTCACTCAAAAAAATGTTATCATAGCAATAAACACTATAGGATATGATTAAATTTATCTTTCTAGTCATGATATCTAGCCAATGTATATCTCCAAATAACAAGAATGTTATCACAGGAGATAAAGAGTTATGCCATTCTTCTGTTTAATGAATATTATAGATGTTTAATTAATCCATGTCCTTTTTGAAGGCTCCTCCTTTTTTACATGAAGGCTTTAGGCAGACAAGCACAGAACAAAGGTTTTCACTAAATTCCAGGGTGCACATTAGAGATGGCTCTAGCTGCTCAATGCTGCCTGAGGAGGGTTACAACAACCAGGAGGAACAGGCTGGCTCACCTGGGCGTCAGCCAGCTGAACTGCAGGAAAGCCTTGGTTGGCTTCTTCTACACCTGCCACATCATCCTGACTCGTGCTGTGCTGAGAAGGGGTCCCATCCAGAGTGTTCTGGTCACTAGACAAGACGGTGTTGAAATCTGAGGCTGAGGGTATTGTGGGAAGATTGGGAGCAACACCTAAAAGGAAAAATGTTAGAGAATGAAATCTAAATTATTGGAAAATAAAAGACATAAAGGGACACAACAAAGTAAACTGACAAAGCCTGTATAGAGCAGTATTACCAGACCATTTAAAGAGGAAAAAAATAGAATTTTTAGGTTGTTTTATAGATGTGATTAATAAAAACTGAAATTAAACTAAATTTTCAAGAAAATATCCATCATCGTCATACATGAAGTCTGCATGAGAGCAGAATGCAGATTTCTATGTCTGGAAGAGCCTCTGCCATCCCCTCAGCTGGGCCCCCAGGAGCAGAGGTGCGGAAAGCAGCAGGGACACAGAAAGCAGCGTAGGAGGTGGACCTTTGTGTCTCAACTCGCTTGTACAAACTGCCCGCCAATGACCTTCCCCGAGGTGGCACAGCAATGAAGGGCACTTTCTTTCCTCCTCCTCCCTTTCTCCTTTAACCCCCAAAGGGCCCACGGTAGACAGGAAACGTTCCTTTCTGGCTCTCCTGAAGCTTAAACTCTGTGCAACAGGGAAACCAGCCCTAGGAAAGTGCTGACAGCTGGGCAAGTGTATCCTTCCATCTTCTTCAACTAAGGCCAACTCTGAGGACTAAGGTGCAGTTAGAATTCAGATCAGGTCCAGATGCAAAAGTGGTCCACACACCAGCAAGAAAAAGGATTGAGTCGTCACGTGTCAACCACTTTTCATAATTTCGTATTTTCTATCTGAATAGAATTTACCAGCTATCCTAATAGCTGTTACACCAATTAGTTTTAGCTGCCTTCCATAACTAGAATCAAAAGCTACCTCACATATTCGTTTTTTGTGTTTTTTTTACTGAAAACCACACATACAGATGCCTATTAAATTTGGAAAAACACAAAAAAATAGAAGAGGAGGGGTGACTCCACTTATATTTCAAGAGATAGTCACCAATCCTTCCTTGTGAATTCCCTACTGGTCTTCTTGCTCTTTATACATATTCTTTTAAAAATTCATGAACTGTCCTCATTTGTTCCCCTCCTTGAGGGCAAAAATCTTACTTTATTCCTCTTAGTACTCCCTTAGATTTAATTAAATATTTAAGTATCCACAAAGAGTATAAGAATGGGAGTTATTATGTCCCAGAGAAATCTGGATAAACTGAAAATACTTTCTGTGTTGTAGGTATATGATGTTATAATTACACACTGCATTTTTTATTTACCTCCTTTTGGTGTTTTGAAATTAAACCAGCCACATTAAATGGAAGTTTTAAACTATTTAAATTATAGACAATCTCATGTTTGACTTTCCACAGGAACACTGAGTGACTGCTTACGACTCCCTCAACTGCAGAATTATCAAAGGCGGTTCGTAAATGGGTCAATTTCAACTAAACATAATTAAGCACTTGAGATTTTTTAATCGTTCTCTTAGAAATAGGATTTTGCAATAACTTTACAGGTGCCCCTAAGATGGTTAAGCAAAATAATGTGACAAGTCCATACCTGTCGGAAGACTGTTGTGTCCTGACTTTGTGACAGGGGATTCCTGCACCACGCTTCCTCGATTACCCACCGCATTGGACATCCAGTTGTAGAAACTCACAGATGATGGCTCAGATAGCAAGGGGTGTTCAGATAACATATCCGTGGCCATTGTATTTCCTGAAAATAAAATTTTACTGAGTATAGTATTACTTATGTACTAAGGAGCAGAAAATGTGATTTAAATAATTTTGGGGAAAAGTCATGTTAAAATATCTGTCTTTGCAGATGTTTTCAAATTCACTTTATGAGATTGGTATTTGGATATTAAGGCACTAAAATAACTTATTATACCAAGGAAAAATTCATTGTCGTCTGGCCTAGACAGCAACCCACACCACACCTTGGTTGACAGTAATGTCAAATGCTACCTTTTAAAAATACAAACTAAGGGCAAGGAGACACTAACAGGTTACACACAGAGGTTTCCGAAAATATTCTGTCAGAGATAAGTTGCAATATGAAAGATTAGTTATGCATCCAAAGTATATATCTAAATAAATTTAAACCTTGTTTTTGTTTTTTAATTCTCCCACAGAAATAAACTTATAATTGTCAAAACCAAGGCCACACCTGTTCTCGTCAGGGAGTTACTTTTCACAGCCGCACTGCTCCTTTGAGGAGTCCCCTCCAGGAGGTTGTGCAAGCTCGGGAAGCTCCCGGTCAGGTAGCTGAGCAGGCTCTCCTTCCGTGGACTCTCCTTCACTGGCATCCCAGCACGGCCCACATGCACCGGAGAATCTGTGGCGGTGTCTCCACTGGTGTAGCTCAGGGAGTGATATGGGTGGATGCCCTGCAGAGGAACCACACGGGCTCTTCTTTACACACACAAACATGATGGCTGAGAACTACAACTGCTGCTACCCTTGCCATTACTGCTTGCTATGGTTCACACAATACCAAACAAAACATCATTGAAAACATAAAACAGCCTTGCTCAAAGTGTATATTAATCACGCACAATTACAAGATGATCAACATTCTCAATATTGTATTTTATTGAATATTCAATAAATTGAAAAGAGAGTCCTAAGGCTTGGTAGTTAAAGTAGTATTAATTACTACTGATAGAATTTTCATTGAAATGTGTACACTAAAAGTTACTAATCATGTTAATTTCAACATAAAAATACTATTTTTACTAAATTTAAATATTTAAGGTGGATACCTAATACTTGAATTTGAGATAGCAAAAGTTAGGTATTCTCTGCAAGTCTAACTACCACTAACTAACAACAGCAATAATGCACCTTTATTTTTAATGCAGAGTCACTGTGGGTGTGAGTCTTGGAGAGTTTCCTCATGATCTCGGCACCAGTCACAGGCCCGGAGCCTCCAGGGGGAGGCCGGCTGGCTGTTCCTTCCAGCAGCATCGTGTGCTCGCTGACTGTGGCTGAAACCAGTCAAAAGAGTGAGTGGGCTGCAGATTGTCAGACACGTTCCTTAAACATCAACTCCGGTGCTCCTGGTGATGTACCTACATTCAGCTTTACATAGTCCTTAACAAATTCATTGTGGAATCTTCTATAACACTCCCTTTTTTAATTTTTATTTTACCTTCCAACCCCAATCTTCTCACTCAGTTTCAAAAAAGAAATAAACAGCTTCTATTCAACCTCACATATGCCACCCGAATGGTAAGAGACTAAAAATCAATTCAACTCAGCTCAAGAAAGCACAGAATTTTCATGGATTAACACAGGCATTTGTACATAAAGAATTAGAAGGGATAGTTACTACACTATCCTTTCAACTTTGTGTAGGCTTGTAATTTATCAAAATAAATAATAAAATCCAGCCTACTGCTCATAACACATTCATTTATTAACTGTTAAATATGTTAAATTTTTTGAAAAGAAAACTGGGTAAAGTACTACATATCAATGTTCTGAAAGCTCTAATTTTAAAACTACTTTCTTTTCCCATGATACTTTTAATATTTTTTCAAATTATCATAAGATAAATTGCAGTGAATAGTATATTTCATGATAATAAAAATTAAACTTTGAAAAAGCATTAAAATATGTATAGGATGGGGCAAAAGTTGGCTTATAGTTGTATCTGAAACATGGAGTTTATGCCTATATTATTAATTTTCCATACAACTAATGACCTCACAGGTGCCCCACCCTGTACACTGTGAAATGCAGATGCACTGCCTGTGTTCTGGCACAGCCATCACACTGACAGAATCTGAGACTGAGCATAGGCCTCCAAACATGACATAAACTCAGATCCAAACAGGCACTGGATAAAATTCAAAAGCTCTTTTAAAGACTGTGGCACAGGACAAGATGATAAAGAGACAGATATAATTTTTCAATAGAGGTTAATGTGTTTCACTCAAAATATTCTAGCTATACAAAGATGTCTGTTGTATGGACTAGATACATTAGGAGAAAAAGTCTACTATATAGTTCACAAAATAAAACTTAAGGGTCAAATCAGTATAAGATTCCAACATTAATACCATTTATTTGGACTAATACAAACCATACTTATATAATTAAACCATGACAAATTCAAATTTCAAATTTGGGACACAATTATTAAAATTATCATGTGTACTAGGTTACCAAGCACATAATAGCTAGCTAAAATATTTACAAAATTACCCGCATCAAATTCAAATTCTGCTCCATCAGCACTGGTATCACTTTGAAGACCTCCTCCATTGTCCAGCCCAAGGCCATCTTCATGTTCATGGTCCACAGCTGCTTGAGGCTTCAGGGGCTGAGCTGGCCGATGTAAGCTAACTCCTTTAAAGGCTGGTGTCACCACAATGAACTTCATCCACTGCCTTGCCAGGGCAACTAACCCTTTCTTTAGGGTTACCAAGGCAGGAAGTCCATCACCCTGAAACAACAGTGATGTAATTAGAAGTCACCTTACTATAATAATAAGTTACCATTTAAGCACTTTGCATACATTTATTCATTTAACTCTCATATGCCCCTTTGGGAAATGAGGAATCTAGAATTTATATGTTAAGTAATTTGTCAATGTTTCAAGCTGACTATAGAACTCAACCTCTAAACACAAGGTCTCATCTTCTGTCATAAACACAGCAGCTCCAGGTGAACAAGACTGAACATGGGTGCAAGACTGGAATTCTTCTCAAGGAGTATTCAGTCCACTTTACCTGTTTTGCCCAACTGAAACATCAAATGTATTTTGAACAGCCTGGAATATTCATTAGGCAAAGAGGGAATGAAATTATTCCCTTCAGAGATTATTTTTAACATTAAAAATAAATTACTATAGGTAAATGCTGGACATAGATGGATTTGTAACTGCTTTGAAAGTTAAATGTGTTATTAACAATTTTAAAATTTAGAATATATTTGATTCCACATGGTGATGACTGTAAGAAAGAAAACTTGGCTCTTTTTCCTACTGGAGCCCAAGCCTGAGGATAAAATACCCAACTCCTCTCCATCCCCTTTCCTACAATTCCGTGTTAGAAGAACATCATTTACTTTCTGTGCCTGCCCTTTCATTCCCAGACTCAAGTCAGGAGGGCCATCTTGTGATCCTTCCTCTTATGTGGAAAGCATACCTGGGCAGAGCACCCAACAGGGAAATGCAGCCATTCTCTCTGTTCCAGCCTCTGCCTATGGCACCATGGGCAGGTAAGCCTCGCACTGTGGACCTTCCCGTTCTAAACTCTCAGGTAGCAGTAGAAACTAGAAACTACACCAGCCCCAGGCCAAGAACCTTTTTCAAATCCATGATTTACTGGAGACTCTGGCACTGGAGGTAAATAGGAGCTTGACTGGCCATTACCAATAGAGATACACTGACCCCTAATTTGGCTACAGATTCTTGTGTATTCTCTATTGACCAGAGCTTGGCGAGGAGAGGGGAGCTCCTCCAGTTCTATAACCCTAGTCATGTGTCACCTTCTGAAGTGCTTTTCAAGGGGCAGAGATACAGTGTATTTATTTTGTACAATTATATAATCTCCCCTCAATCACAAATCAGTCCTTATTTTATTAAACATTGCTGTAAAATTTGACTCTGGTGATTATTGTCTTACTTGAAACATTCTTTCCTGGTTCTCCTTTCCCTCCTCAGCACCCTGTGTACCTCCATCCACCCTCCCCACCCCCTTTAATATTGATATTCTTCAGGGATCCATCCTTGACCAGGTTCTTACTCAACCCTCCAACCCTAGAAGTCTGATCCATGTCAACAGCTTCTAACACCTTCATGCTGTCAACTCCCAAATCATTAATTGACCCTGCTGTTGTCTATGGGCCTGTATTTCTAACCATATTTCTCCTCTGGACTTCCCATATGCATCTCACACCCTGTGGGTCAGTTACTCCTCAACAGAACAGAGGCTTCTTCAGAGCTAACGTATAGTTTCAGTCATTTACCATTGTAGCATCATCGATGATGGAGTAATTTGCCTGGTGCAGGTAGTGGTGAAGTATATTGCACAATAAACACGAAGGGTTTTCTTGGAGAAAGCGAGCCAGTTTTGTAAGTCTGTTGTATTTACTTCTTAGGGGGAAATGCATACTTTTATTCTGAAACAAAGCAAAAATAACAGGCTTACAATGAAGTATCAAAGATAATACAAATGAAAGACATCTAGTCACTAAGCACTTGCAGGTTTGATGTTTCCCAACAATGATGAACGATCAGGATCATTTTCAGTAACCTCTGTATCTCCATGTACTGCTGAAGACCCACCTCTAGCGCTTCGGTCATGATGCATCCCATAACAGCACAGAGTCTCAGCGTTCCCTCTGTGTCCAATTTGTTCAAGGACGACTTGAGCTGGTCAATGGGAACAAGCCACGCACCCACAGCTGGGGTCGCAGTGCTTAAGAGGTTCAGCTGCCTTCAGGTTTATTTTAGAAAATTATAAAAACAAGTGTCAAGATTTGTATTTCAAATAATCTTCCATATCTACTATACGTAGCAGCTATTTTATTTAGGCAAAATTACTTTTCCTTTCGACCACCAGATAAATTGTGAAGATATAACTTCATACTTCATAATATACAAAGACCAGATAATAGAAAAGAAAAAATATGAAAAAGCCTATTAGAGGTGGAAAAAAAAGTTCATGGCAGGGTAACATGTTAAAGTAAAACTAAAGCCCTAGGAAAGAAAAAGGGTCAAACAAGGGGAGAATAAAGTTGAGAGAGTCTGAGGTAGGAAAGGCGGGACGAGGTGGCAGCCCTCATACTAGATACATCTGAAAAGTCTAAACCTGCATGAAACAGAACTGCATGCCATTTAAATAAGAAACACCAAGCAATAGGAGTACACTTCTCAGACCTTTTACCTAGAAAATGCATGAGTGGGAGACCTCACATTGGTGGGAGCTGCGAAACTAAACCAGATCTCCTGGATGGTCAGCTTCATGCTGCAGGAATCGGGTGGGGGCGGCATGAGAGGCACGTCTTTCTTTAAATCATCAGATTCGACTCCTTCATCCTACATAAAATAGAACACCCAAAACTTTTTGTTTAGGGGCATTAAGTTACTTTTTCCAGATGAAGAAAGTGAAAGAGATAATTTGCCAGAAGCAACACAACTCCTGAGCAGAGTGGGTGGCAGAATTAAGGTCTTCTGCCTCCTACTGTAATCTATTTCCTTTTCCATTTAACAGAATATTTCAAACTTCCAAATAAGAAGCCATAATAAATACTATTGTAACCCATGTTCAAATAAATAACACTCTACAAAAAATGCTTGTATGTTATGTTATAAGCTAGTATCTAAAGCTGTATTGAGAAATAGGAAAAATATTTTTTAAATGTGTAATCACCGCCCTTCAGAATGTAGGGAGGTAGGAAGCATAATATTAAACAACAAATAGCCCTAGATGATTTGGCTCAGTGGTTACAGTGTCATCCTGCAGACTGAAGGCTCCCGGGTTCGATTCTGGCCAAGGGCATGTATCTTGGTTGCAGGCTCAATCCCAAACCCTGGTCAGTGGGCAAGCAGAAGGCAACCAATCTATGTCTCTCTCTTCCCCTTCCACTCTCTCTAAAAGAAATGGAAAAAATATCCTCAGGTGAGGATTAAAAAAGAACAAACAAAAACGTCTCCTGCCTTTTACATCTACTTAAGGTCTCTGATTCACTTTTATATATCATTGGTCAAGGTAAAGAAAAGACTGGCATTTTCTTGTGGGGTGACTAAGGAATAAAGAATACCCACAGAAACAGCTTTGAGACCTAAGTGTTACAGAACAATATAAACTATAGGTCCCAGTGATTTCAAAGTCAGCAAGCACTACATATAAGCCTACACTCCCTTATCTGCAATTCTAAAATCCATGATGTTCTGAAAATCTAAACTTTTTCTGTAAATGTGGCATCAAAACCTGATCTGAACTATTTGTCCCATACCTGGTGTTTTATTAAAATTGTGCTACAGAAATATTTAAGCATTTCAAGATGAAGCTGCCTCAGATTCCATTGAGAGTCTATGTAACATATAGTATACACATTACCAAGTTCTTATTGTGTGATAGACACTGAGTTATGCCTTTCCTATATACGATCTCCTCCAATCTTCACAAATCTAGAAGATAAATGTCCTTACAATACTCCTTTACAGATGAAGAAACTTGGGAGAGGGTAAATAAAAGTTATTTACTTGCTCCAGGTCACCAATCAGTTAGCGGTACACTTTTGTAATCAAGAATTTTAAATATTTTAGTTTTGCTGTTCCTGTACTCATGGAAATTCTACCCTAATAAAAATAATAAATAAGTGACATCCAAGGTATTCTTCAGGACTCTAACTGTAATTGGCAGATATTGAAAAAATATTTAGGACTTATATGAAATACTATCAGTAACAAAACTAAGTATTTAAAAAATGAATTCTGCTAAAATCCTTCAAATGACATAAAAACAAAGCCTGCTTCTTTGAAATTCTATTAATTCATTAATTCAGCAGATATTATTAAGTGCCTAATATGAACACAGTATTATGCTACACACTATCATAGACATAAGCATATCTAGGATATGGTGCCTACAGAAATTATACTCTAGTATACCAAAATGCTTTGAGTGTCATTAAAGCAAAATCCAATCAGGTGCTCTGCTAGTTTTGAATCACACAATGGAGGAATAGGGATGGGGCATCCACCTCTGTTAAATAATCCCAGCTACCACACTTTCAGATTGAATATGCTGATTCAGGTTACTGAAAGTCATGAGTGTTCAAAACATTTCAGCAACATGGGGCCAATCTGTCCCCACTAAAGCAGTGTCATTAAAGCAAAAAGACAAGCAAATATACTCCAGAAGTCAATTTTGAGTTGGTATGTCGTTTTCTATGTTATGTTTCCAAAGCATTATTATTAGAAATTCACCAACCTGCTCATCAGATACAGAATTTCCATTTAAGTCTGAAGAAGGGCTTGTTCGGTCACAAGGAAGATTATCATCAGAGACATCGGTGTTATAGCCACTGCCGGTTGGAGAATCAGAAGAATTATTAGAGGTCACTCCACCCCCTTCTGTGACACTAGCTTTGCCCATGGTTCCAAAAGTATTATACAAAACAGCGCCGGACTGTCTTCCTCCTATACAAATGTAAGAATGTATTTATTAAAACACTGGGTATCTCCATAATGTAGTCTACCATATCCATAAAGATAAAAATTAAAATCTCATAAAGATCTTTTTTACTCTCACCAAAACTTGCCCTTATCTGTAAAAGTGATGTAAGATTAGATTATCAGGTAAGCAACTGTAGGCATATACAACTACTATTATATATGACTAAATGTAAAAGCCTTATGCACAAGTCAGCCTTCCTAGTTTAATATTACTCAATAATGTAAAAGAAAACACATAATTCTAAGTTAGTCTCTGTCTCACTGAATAAAGGATTTGCAGTATTTTCATCCTATATGGCAAAGCTCTGCTAATGAAAGATCTGGTTTTCAAAAGCTGGGCAATTTTGACCTGAGCCACAGATTGCTCTGCTTCGGGCTCTGAGGTTTTACATGTGTAGGTGCTCTGCTAGTTTTGAATCACACAATGGAGGAATAGGGATGGGGCATCCACCTCTGTTAAATAATCCCAGCTACCACACTTTCAGATTGAATATGCTGATTCAGGTTACTGAAAGTCATGAGTGTTCAAAACATTTCAGCAACATGGGGCCAATCTGTCCCCACTAAAGCAGAATTTTTTTAAAACCTACCTTTTATAGTTAAATTTTCAAGCCCACATTCAAACATTATCCAACCCCATTTTTCTTGGCTGGGGCCCATTCGAGTTATATCTGGAACAGCTTGCTGGTCAGTCTCATCCACAAAAGTAAACTCATCCAGCTCTTCAAGAGTAAACAAGACTTTGGACTTCTCAAAGGGTATAGCCGTGATGGCACAGGTACCGATATCTATTACCAAAAGAGAATAAAATCACCACTTTTAAAGACAGAGCCTTTATATATTTTTTAGGACAAACAGTGTAAACATTTGGCACAGTGGCTATGTTCAAAAGATATCTTAGTAGTCTGTCAAAAGAAAAAAACAAATGAACCAACCAACTTCAAAAATAATGCTGCCTAACACCGCACTGCTTACAAATTGCCAGAATCACATTGAAGTAAGGGGGAAAAGAAGATTCCATAATTAACAAATAATTGCCCAAAGGCAAGATGTACTCATTTCTGAAAGATTCCAGGGTACTCTAAAAATCTAAAATTAAGAAGCTCCTAAATAATTCAGCTTTATAGTAAACTATTTTTAAATACTTTCTCATCATTTTATAAAATAAAAAATTATTTTAATTACCCAGCCTTAGCAAAAACATTATTTTCTAATACAATAGCAGCATTTACTAAAAGATGGATTTATGCTAACATATTCTATATAACTACAATTCATCACAGTCATTGCCATATTCCATGGCTTACAATATGCAATATAGAAATTAGCATCCGAAGTTCCTGGCATTTTTTCTTACTTGTCACCTTACTTTTTAAAATTTCTCTGATTATAGCTAATGAATACAGAAAAGAAAAAAAAAGGAGATTCAAAAAACACATATAAACTTATCACCCAGAGATGACTGCTTTACATTTAGAGTAAGTTTCCTTCTAGCTCTTTAGAGATCATTTTACAAACCCAGCTTTGTCTCCCAATTTTCATGCAACAGTAACCATGATAATTTCCTCAGGTCATTAAAAATTGTTCCAAGATATTATTTTAATAGCTATATAATATTCCATCAGGAATATACTATACTTTGCATTTATGATTAGAAAATCTTCCTAAACCAGAGTAAATATTCACTCACATTTTTCTGTAGTTTCCTCATTATTTCATTATTTTATGTTTGTCTAATTCCATGAACTTATTCTGAAATATGGCATAAGGTGAGGATTTAACTTGAATTTGTAAATTTTTTGATTAGGTAACACTCACATAAAGTTCCAAAGAGTACAAAAGGGTACATAGTGAAACCCTAAGACATACACTTCCCCCCCATACCGGTAACAAATGTCATTATATTATTGAGTATCTTTTCACAGATATCTTATATACCTATAATATAAGCAAAGACATTTACATTTTTTTCCTACAATGATCTCCTTAAAATTTCTTTGGGAGTTTTGTCTTTAATGAGTTCTATCTGGATATTGTCCCTTCCAAATTATAATTACTGCTTACAGTCTATACAACACCCAAGTGCAAACTGACTACCAATGCAAACTACAGAGCTGAGGAGAAGTCTTTTTATATGCAAGCTGCTGTATTCTGCACTAGTGTTAGAACTATAGAACTCAAGAGAGTCAAGGACAAGCTTGCTCTGGAATCCTCAGGCCAAATGCTTTGGCCTTAAACACAAGGACGGTGAAGTAGTCTTGAGAAAGCCTCAGCAGTTACACAGACCCAGAACACAGACAGCACTCATGGAACCTTCAGAGCCTATACAATAGTGAATAAATTCTAGGCAATGACTTATTCATTTGGGACTGGTCACCTGTCCCACATGGAGATTTAAGCACAGTGATCATCTCAAGTAAGACACAAGCTCATTTCTTTCTGGACTGAATCTCTGACAATCTGAGATCACTTAGCCTCTAAATAAGCACAGGCACAGAGTTGAGTCAGGAATATTGAATAGTATGTGACGTGTCTAGTTTACTCTCTTACCTCACTAGGGACTCTAAGACGCATAGCCATGGCTATCATTCTTGTTGCTGCTGTATTTTACAGACTTCGCTATCTACTTTTGATATTGTAATTAATAATTTTTAATAAAGTTGTACCAAAAGAACAATTCACTAAAGTGAGAAAGACTATGAAGACCATACTCTCTGTTCTATAATGAGCAGCAGACACCATGAAGAAACCAGATGGGTTCCTAATATGGGGCCATATCACTTACTTCCCTACTGAAGTTTACCTTCTGTTCTGCATAGAATGTGAGTAAGGAATAGTTAAATACCATGTGTTCAATATAGGTAGAAATACCTTTCTCTTTCTTAAAAAATACTCAAATTGTAGCAATATTCAAAGGGAAAAAATGCTTCCTTTTGCAAAATCCTCTTATATTTATACATGTCACAGAAAAATTATTTGTTGTAGAATCCTACCTGTTGTATCAAGACCCCTGAGCTGCCCATGAACTCGATGAATGTTTAACTTGGCGGCAATTTCTTTGCCTTTTTCCGCTCCAGCGTTTGATCTGAGAGATCCAGATGACTGAGGCTGCATTTTAGAGGCATGGACATATCTATCAAACTGTGATGTTCTACCGGGTTCTGAGCTGTTTGAAGTCTCTTCAACCACACCTCTTCACGGAAAAGAAAGAGAGCATGATGGCTAACAGTGGAACAGCAGAGTTCAGGAAAAACATTTAACTAATAAGTGACTTAAAAAAAACCATTCCACTATTTTAATTAAACCAATATTAAGAACAAATTCTTCAGTGTTTACTGAAAAATAGTATGAATAAAAACAGTACAAACTTTCGAATACCTACAAAGTGAGATTTGAAATTCCAATGCCAGTTTTGAGTTTTAACATTAGAATTTTCAGAAATGTATTAAGATGATGATTAAGGTTTGCTTTTCCATCCAGCAAGATAATCATGGTTCAAATTAATGAAATCTTTATTACCGATTCATACGAACTTGTGTTACAATTCTGTCGAAACACAATGCGACCAGGGACACGTGAGTCACACTTCTACTGGGAGCTGTACTTGGAGATTCTTCCACTGAGGCTTGTAACAAACACAAGTTTACCTAACACAGAAAATGGCATAAATGTCAGACTTGAAAAGTGAAAATTATCAAATATAAAATACACTGAAAAAAGACAAAACTACCGTTAGGAATAGCAAATCTATGTGTCTGAGAGTTATGAAGACAAAGCTTATAAATATAGACTCTCATAAAATAATTATAATTAAATTTTTACTGGATGGATGTGGAATATTTTAGTATATCTTACCCAATATTCTGCTTACGTAAACTTATTTACATTACATTAATTCTTTTTTCTGCCAAGGGCCATTTGTATATTTATAACAATGTATATTCGCGGGCCATACAAAATTATCAATTTAAAAATTAGCTATGAAAAAAGCTCCTAGATTTACTGAATTTCGAGTCCTGCCTGTGGTTGCCTTGACAGGGCCAGACCAAATGATTTCATAGGCCGTATATGGCTCGAGGGCTGGACGTTCCCCAGCCCTGCATTAGATCATCAAGGGAACAAAATATATGTTTTTGATATTCCACCACCATTCAATTTAGTAAATACAAAGGATAAAACCACCAAAATGTTCTCTTTCAGGAAAATTTTTAAAAATATTAAATTGTATTTGGCCTGTGTGACTCCATGGTTGAGCATCAACCCATGAACCAAAAGGTCATGGTTCAATTTCTGGTCAGGGCACATGCTGGGTTTTGGGCTCAATCTCTGGTATGGGGTGTGCAGGAGGCAGCTCATCAATGACTCTCTCTCATCATTGATGTTTCTCTCTCTCTCTCCCTCTCCCTTCCAGTCTCTCTGAAATCAATAAAAACATATTTAAAACATAAAATAAGTAGAAATATTAAATTGTTACCTTTGGTATGCTGACATTAGCCTGAAGACCTTTAATTGTCACATTATCTTGCTTCATGATAAGATTTGTCTGTGCTTGTCCTTGGTTAGTTGTTCCTATGGTAGGGTGCTCAGTTTTTGTTCCTCTAACATCTTGTTTGGAAGATAACTAAAAAGAGTGTAAGTAAAATTAGTACTTCACAAACATTTCATAATTTCCACATCATCCACAAGTGACCTGCTCATTCGTTCTGCTCCTTTATGCCCATGGGCATGCCAGCTGCCATCGGGTTAGCACCCCTAGTCTTAAAGTACAAACTAGATGAAATAGATTGGCAGCTTCAGGGTTGAGAGAAGTGATACATAGTAAACTGAAATCAGCCTATAGAGAAACAGAAAAATGGTGATGATGACAATAACAGAGACTTTTTATGATCACTAAATTCTACTTACTTGAGGACGGATTTGGTTTCTCGTAATTGGCTCCTTGTTGGCTGAGAAAATTTTCAAATTTCTTTTGATCTGTACTCCTCTACCCTAACAACCACTATATTTTGAATAACTGGATCACTAAAAACAATCAGACCCACTTGTACTTTGCCTGTGGGCCCCGGTCCAAATATGATAGAGATAAATTTGAAAGCCAAATGGAGAGTCACCAGAAGAGCACCAGGCCCTGCCTGCTAAGCAATGGCTTCGTGCTTGGACCACAGCGTAAGTAGAATATCACAAACCAGGGGGCAATGATTTGACTCATTGAGGTGAACAAAAATAATCTCAAAAATATTGAGAGACGAGTTATCTGTCACAGAGGAAAGGCAAAATAATACGCAGCTCTGCTTCCTTAGGAAATGAATGCACCAGACCTAGAGAGCACTCATTCACTAAGGACCAACGCTCTTTAGGAAAGGACTGGAATAAAGCTACTTCTGAAATAAGGGAAAAATAAAGCTACATTTTAATAAATAGTTGACTACTATTTAATCCATAGTATAGTTCTACATGCCATCTCTTATGGAGCCAAAGACATATAAAGGCTGCTTAGAAATGTCCATGAGTTCCAATTTAAATGACTAATAAAATTTTAATACATTCCATTTTTTCAAGTTTGCACATGATAAATACTCAGTTTGCCATACTCTACTGGATAAAAGGTTCTTACATTTTCTGAGAAGGTAGTCTTGCTATTTTGCACAGCTTCCCTGAGGACTTTGGCGTGAAGGTCATCCACAATTGCAGCTGGGTGTCGGGTGTGAGCATAATGAACCATTGCTTCAATATATCTGCAGGAGGAGAAACAGAAAATGAGAAACTAGTTTATCGAATCTGTTCTATCACTTTCCATTACAGAGCTTATTCATGTTCGTTTTGTCTCTCTAAATAAACTAGACAGTAGTAATATCAAACATAATAATTAGTTACTGGGTATTTGATCATTTTATGCTCACCAGCCCAAAACAAAAACTGAAAACTATAATGCAATATAATTCTTATAATATTGCAATATAATTATTTGGGCTGAAAGTAACAAATGACAACTAAGTGAAACACAGGCCTCTTTAAATATATCTTCATTTTTGTTCAATCAAATAGCCATCATCAACATTCTTCTTTATGAACATGTATCACATACACTAATCATCATATAACATACATTTATCATTTTATCTAATAATAGTTATAGTTTTAGATAAAATTAATACCTGTCTAAAGCTTCAGCCACCAGGGGAGTGAGAACAATGTCAACAGTTCCTTTGACCTCAACTATGGCTGTTGTCCTGGTCTGAGAGACAGGCTGATCCAGGGTCCACTCTTCCGTTAATGTTTCCTCATCTGTGTTATCAACAGCTCTCTTTTCCAGAGGAGTATATGGTGTTCTGTACAATGTAATGAGCAAAGTATATATTACAAACACCATGAAAGAGAATAGGAGTTGGAACTTATCTAAGATGAGTGACTGCTTAAACCAACATTTATTTCAACTAAAAACTTCATGGAACTGGACTAGATATTTCATATCCCAAATGCTGTTCAAAGACAGGACAAATGAGGTACTAAAGTAAAAATTGATCAAAGATGGTTAATATATAAAGTGGGTGGAAAACCGTTACATATTTACTTGATGGAGCTTTTCCAAAATATGAAAACTTCAGTTCTGAATTCTTGCTAGTTCCCAATCTTGATATGCCAAGTGATGGCTTGCACAGTATGCTAAAAGAAATGTCACTGCCTATAATGTAGGCAAAGCCATCACAGACAACACAGCTGAGTTATTTGGGGTAATTTATTTATAAAATATAGTGTATAGTCAAATAAAGAATGGTTATTATTTAGAATAAACTTTACATATCTCATAATCAAGAAAGACAGACTTGCCCGGCTGGGTGTGGCTGAGCAGTTGAGCATCGACCTATGATTCAGGAGATCACAGTTTGATTCCCAGTCAGAGCACATGCCCAGGTTGCGGGCTCGATCCCCAGTCGGGGGTGTGCAGGAGGCAGCCGATCAATGACTCTCTCATCATTGATGTTTCTATCTCTCTCTCCCCCTCCCTTCCTCTCTCTGAAATCAATAAAGATATATTTTTTTAAAAAAAGACTTTATACTTAAAAGTATGTAATTTTTACTTACTTTGAAGTTGATCCTGAAAGTTGCACTCCTCTGTCTAGTAAAGAATTAGCTGTGAGCCCCTGTTTGATAACCTAGAATAATATAAAATACTGTTTATAGTCTAGAATTTTAATATTCTCTAAATTTATGCTATAGACCGATTATTTGTGAATATCCAGATTACCTTATTAATATGATTTTCACATATATAACTATTTAACAAATTGAGAAAATCAAAGAAAATATTTATTTGGCAATTTCATTTTCATTTTATTCAGACAAATGCCAGGGCAGGGCTGTAGGACTCAGCAACAGGAGTAAAAGACTATCCAACAAAGCTTAAATGGAAGCGCTTCCAAGTCTGTCTTCAGAGCACCATTTACATTGAGCTTTTAAGCTAATTTTAGAGTGTTTTCCTGGCACAATCAACTTTCAAGCGGGAAAGAACCCCTTAGAAACATTACATTATAGGAAAAGCTGGATTGTATTTTATATCCATAAAAGATAAGTAATACAAATAATGCACTTGAACAACCAAACTGGATCCTTTTAAATGTTAGCCAGTTACTCAAATTTAATAAAGAAAAATAACTTTCTTACTTCCTATGTTCTATTTTTAAAGTGATCTAAAGAGGTCTTCCCATCCTCAACTTTTCCTTATCCTTTAAGTTTCAGTTTAAATATTACCTCAGTTTAAGTATTAATTGTCTTGTCAATAAAACTATTATTCTCCATCCCAGTATCCTTTATCTTCATAACTCTTCTCAATTTGTAATCATATACTTATCTATTTATCTATTAACTGTCTGTCTCTGTCCCCTAAACTATAAGCTCCATGTCCATTTCTCTCATCACTGCACATCGAATGTTGGGCACACAGTGGTATATATGAATTAAGAATGAATACATTAAAACACTTTAAATAAGTGTATATGTATATGTAATCAATTCCATAAGATTTCATATGCTTAATTTTGGTCTTTAAAACCATAAAAATTTCTCTTATAAATGTTTAATTTTATAAAAATAGTTTTCATATTGGCTATTATTACAACATTTATTTTAACTTATTTTTAGCTCTCCTTAAAAAAGCCATTTACGGAATACACTACAGAAGTAGCCAATGGCCAATTATACTAAATTATAAGACCTCAAATGTCAAGTGAATGGAACTGGATTTGCAAAGCAGTTATGGATCAAAACATCTACTATCAAAAACAATTTCAAAATTTATTTTTAAGACACAGAAAATACGGATTCAGAGAGACTTGATCCTAATCTAAAGAATACAGTGTAGACAGAGACTATTACATTTACTGACTAACACTGTGATGATCAAGTCTGTACCTATTCCTCCATTTACTATGCTTCACTTTATAATTCCCACCACTAACCCTAAGACCTACTATCATATACATGAAGGCCTGACTTCAGAAAGTCTATCTTTCAGAAAGGCAGTTAAAATGACTGCGAGTAACTGTGGAAACATCTTCAAAATCCATTTTTCTAAATAAATATACCAGTGTAGAAACTAATGATTTGGTTTATACCTTAAAATTTGGAACAGAGAGCTGTTCACACGATGATGAACTTTCTTCACTGGTTGGTGTATCCAGATCAAGAGGACGATGCAGGGAGGACTTGGAGGTCCTTTTGTGGGTTGGGTGCTTCACTGACCAATTAATCACCTGGAACTGAGTAAGATAAGTCTGATAACAGCTCATCGCCGGTTGCTGAGAAGTGGTCTGCTCGCTCTCTACTGTTTTCTCACCCTCTACAATATACAGATGTTCTATAACATCATCTTCTCCACCTAGTGCAGAAACGAATGAGGCCTGGGAAGGGTGAGTTTTGAATGGCAGAGTTCGGGGATCCTGAATGCTTTCTCCGTGGCCAGTGAGTGGTCCCTCGACACTGTGATATATGGAACCCCTACTGAAGTCAATCTGCTGGGTCTGCTTTTTCTTCTTCTTCCTACCTGGATAGGTCCCAGGGCCTTCATCACTGCTAATGGGTTCAAATTCTTCAGCAGCAGAAAAGTAGGCTTCGCTGTCAGCCATTGACATGCTGGAATCCATTGATCGATATTGATGGAATGAATTAGAGTCTGCTGATGGTGTATACGGAAAGGAACCAAAACTTCTTCTCTGCTTTGGTGAGTCCAGTACATTTTCATCACTTCGGGAGACATCACTACTAAACTGGACTCCAACTGTGACCGGTTGCTTGTCCCCATAAAAAGCTGCAGTCAGGCTCTTGGTACTTCCAAGTCGGGTGGAACATACAGAGGCTTGTCGTTTCAAGGGAGACCGCAGAGGGGACTGACCTACTGACTTATCCTGAGTATTAGGAGACGCAGGGCTGTTTCCTGACACTTCTGTAGGAATACTAAAACATAAAGCAAAGCTATTACCCTTTACAGTACATCATATAAATTACTCTAAATATAAACAGAAGTACTGATAAAATCCTTTTAATAATTTTAATCATTATTTTACAAACAAATGAAAATCTGCAATTTTACAATAAAATAATCATACAAAGTAACAAAACAACAATGTATTCATATCCCATATAGATAAAAAAAAATTGAGGAAGCTTAAAACAAAAACAAAAAAAAAGTAAAGAAACCCATGAATATTATCTATCCGTAATCTATGAAAACTAATGCATTCATCGGGTTTTTTTTTTTTTTTATATCCTTTAAAAGCTTGTCCAATAAAATGCACCAGAGACCTGTGATTAACTGAGAGGACCTGAAGAAGAGAAAAAAGTCACGGACAACCCAATACTTCTAACTTTGGCAACTGATGTAGAGGTGCCATTTAGTGAAGCAGAACAAGCTGACCATGTGCACAAGGCCATATGCCAAGTTTGAGGTCTCCATGAAATATCCAAGTAGATGTATCAAGAAGGTAACTGGGCCTTGGCCTGTGTGGCTCAGTGGTAAACTATTGGCCTGCGCTTCAAAGGGTCTCAGGTTCAATTCCTGGTCAAGGGAACATACCTGGGTTGCAGACTCAATCCTGCACATGTGGGAAGCAACCAATAGGTATGTCTCTCTCGCTTCAATGTTTCTCTCTCTCTTCCCCTGCCTCCCTGCCACTCTTGCTGAAAATCAAAGGAAAAAATATCCTTGGGTAAGGATTAACAACACACACAAAAAGAGAAAGTAACTAGGCTTATAGGGTCTAGCCGAGGGGGAGAGAAGAGAACCTGAAATGTGCCATCAAGAGGAAGGGCATTTCAAGAAATGAGGAGTCAACTATTATAGAAAGACAAGGACAAAAATAGTCACCAGTCTAGGAAAATGTCCAAATGTTAACAAGGGTTAACTCTGAGAGGTCAGATGACAAGAAATATGTATTGTCATTATACTTTTCTGTATTTTCCTAATATCTGGAATGAATAGCATATGTATTACTTTTATAACAGTAAATGGACACTTAAAACCATGTTCAGGAGGAGAAAAACATTTTCTACAGTGAGTGAGTTGAGAGGAAAGAAGTTTTTCTGGCCACAAGTTGAAGCAATTATAAGACGATTGCGAGCAGGTCCCCGCATCTACTTGACTACTGACCTCACTGGGCCGTCCTCTCTTTTTGTTCCATGCAGGAATTCCTTCTGAAGCACAGGGTCATCAGCCACAGAAGAGGGGCTTTCCTTGTCTGGGGCCAGTAAAGGCTGGGCTGCACTGGAGCTGCTGTTGTCGTCTGAGGAAGACGACGAGCTGTGACAGCGCATGGGGACCTGCAGGCTCAGGTGCTGAGTCTTCCTTTCGGCTTCCGTTCCCCCTGCCTTGTTCTCCCATTCTTTCCTCTTCATGCCGTTGGCATTACCTACAGCAACCAACAAAAGCAGGTTATGTGAACACAGCAATTTCAACAGCAATTTATGAAAAATATAGCACCTTAATTCAATTTCTTGTTTTTAAGTATAATCATTTTTTAAAAGCACAAGTATGTAATTTCACAAAGCAAAGTATCCACCTCTGTGGATCCAGAGTCCACAAACAGTGAATTTTTTCTTTTTTCTTTTTTAACTTTTATTTGAAAATTTTCAAACTTACAGAAAACTTTCAAGAATAGCACAAAACCACCATATATCTTTTATCTGGAATTTCCTATTATAAATATTTTTCTCCATTTACTCTATTTATGTGTGTATGTGTGTGTATATATATATAAATAATACCTTTTGAACCAGCTGAGAATAATTTACTGACATTGTGGTGTTCTACCCTAGATACTCAAGGATTTATTTCCTAAGAATAATACATAACCCCTACATAGTTATCGACTTGATCAATTTAGTATTGATAGAGTAGATTATTATCACGTGCTTTCCAATTTTCTCCACTGACTCAATAAGGTCCTTTAGAGCACTTCTGCCCCCTCCAGTACAGGATCCAATCTAGGATCGTACATGACTGCATTTGGTTGTCATGTCTTCTTTGATTGGGAACACATCCTCAGGCCAGCGACAAGAGCCCTGTGAGGTGACATGATGGGGGAGGGGCTGATTTTAGTTTCTACTCAGCCATGTGTTTGGCCATATAACTTCATGCACCTTACTCCCGGTGATGAGCCTCAGTTTATTCACTATAAACAGGGATGATATAAACTCACATGGTAGTCTGGGGATTAAGTGACAAAATGCCTGTGAAAAGCTTTAAGAACAAACATTACTCAAATGTAAGAAAGTAATATTATAAGAAAACACTGAAGTTAAATTGTACTTAGCAACTTTCTTTCCTTTCCATGTCAAGAAGTTTTGGTGTTTGCTGATTTTAGAAGATAATTTGCTCTCCTAAGCAAAACTGCTGCAATCAACCTTAAAATAATGCGTACACACTTGTCTTACCATTCAGTGAAAAAAATCACTTAAACAGGAATTAGGCATATGTAGAGATGTAGTCCAGCTCTTTCCACTAAGAGCTCCTCACGTATGGGAAACCAATCCAATAAACTCTTAAAACTCTCAAAACTCTTAAATTCTTTTCCTATCCTCATTTGTTTACTGACAAAAGGCAGTGCTAAGTTAATGTTTTTGAGTGGACAAAGGAAAAAAGGCTAAATGTTGGTGAAATATCAAGACTTTTCTATGCTTGTTGACAGCATGGCAACTTAAACAGTAATTATTGCACTTAACTGTAGGAACACACAACTAAGAAACGCAGAGGAAAATCCATTTCTGAAGTCTTCAGAGCAAAGACACAAGGTAAATCTAAATCTAATACCCAGTGAATACACCATTCACTGCTCATACAAATGCATGTGTTTACAGAGTTATCCTCCAGGCTCTAAGGAAAGAGCACCCTTCTCTTCTTGACATGTTCAATTTTAGTAATAAGAAGAATATTTTGCAAAAGTAGTTCATAGCAGGGGGCCCAATGGTATAAATATTACTATTGATAAGCTTTCCTATTGAAATAAACTGGTAAAACCACCATTACTTTGAAACATAATTATTCCTAAGTATATCTCCGAAAGTTGGCTTCCAGGAAAATGATGACATAAAAGGAAATATTTAGAATAAGTTTGGATGAATAGTGGAACTACTTTCACCTTGGGTAAATCTGAAAAACTCACGTCTTATCTGGCTTTAGTTAAACTACCTGCAAAACAGGGCAGACTATCAAATCCTACCTCTGAGAGCTCAAAGAACTAAGTTGAATACAGTAACACGAACTTCTCTCAGATGGCATAGGGATAAAGATAATAAAAAATTAGCACATTTCATTACCATCTGCCATTTTGGGAATTTCCTTAGTAATAATCCACTCCCCAGGCTGCAGCAGAGACTGCCCATAGTACATGTCAGACTCTGCACTCGTGCTTGAAAATGCAGAGCTACTGGACGGTGTCAACTCTTCAAGCTTGAAGAAATCCAGGCCAGTCACTGTGCCACCAAAGAATCTGCAGCCACCAAGACAGCCACACTTGTGCCTGCACCTCTTACTCCTCAGGTTGTCGTCGGGCCACAAAAACCATAGCCTGAACAGAATCCCAAAACAAAACAAACGAGAAACAACAATGGAACAAAAACTCATTAAGAACAAAAAAACTTTTTGGCAGATAGTTACATATAAGTTAATTGTTAATATTTGTAAAAGACATGGTAAACACAAAGGTTTATTTTTACTGTGGTATGTCTTTTTAATCATTCTGCCATCCTAAACAAATAAACAATAGTCTCACCATGGTAAGTGAGAGAGAAATAAGGAGGAACAATAAGAGAAATACAGCATACATTAAAATAAACCAAAGAGCTAAGCAGCAGCAGCAAATATAAAAATCATTCAAATCCAGTTTAAAAACAACAGTAGGCCCGGGCGGGCGTGGCTCAGCGGTTGAGCGTCGACCTAGGATCCAGGCGATCGGGGTTCGATTCGATTCCTGGTCAGGGTACATGCCCGGGTTGCAGGCTCAATCAGTGACTCTCTCATCATTGATGTTTCTATCTCTCTCTCTCCCTCTCCTTTCCTCTCTCTGAAATCAATAAAGATTTTTTTTTTAATTTAAAAATAAGTAAATAAATAAATAAAAACAACAGTAAATATTCTCAAACGAACTAAAAATTTTAAACATTAATCTAAAAAATGGACAAAACTATTAGTATAAACTATGTTTAATAGATTTGGGCAGCTCAGGGCCTATTTCACACAGCAAATTTAATACACCCAAATTATAAATATGAGATAAGTAAAAAAATTATTTCTCAATAAAACCAAAATAATGTACTATGCTCTATTTTAGAGAAAAAATTATAAATATTTTGTAATTAGTACTCTAAATGAAGTATTAAGAATTGAGACAATATGAAAATGTATTCAAATTTTTCAGGTTCTGTGAGTAACCCATGCACAAATCTGTCAGTATTAACTCCCCTCCCTCCTTAAAAATGTTATATAATACACATCTGCAAGTTACATCTTTTTTCCTTTTTCACATGCATTCTCTCACTGGATCCTCAGGGTTCTTACAGGAAGACAGAATCGATATATTACCATTTTCCTTTTATACTCATTCATTTAGATTTCTTGAGTGTCTATTATGTGCCTAGCACTATGCCAAGAAAACCAGTCTTACCCACATGAAGTTCACAGTATAGCGGCAAAGACAGGCCACAAACTAGAATATCTAATCATAAGTTATAGTAAGTGCTGTGAGCCAAAGAAGAAAGTGTTGCAAAAAAGAAAATAGGAAATCTTTCAACAAGAAAAATGAGATGGAATGAATGCATCAAGTTAGAAGTGGAACTAATCCAGGGAAGAGGGAAGGAAAAATAAGTGAGAAAGCCTTAGGATGCAGGAGAATTTAGGGAACTATTTCCATTAGATGTTATCAGTTTCAAATCACTTCTCCATTTTAAAGTGTTAAGATTTAGTCATCCAGCAAAAATATTTGAAAGCCCTATCAAAATAAAAGACCTTATCGATCCCATAGACACTTTTACTTTATTTGTGCAGCAAGAGCTTCTTAGAACGCAGGCTTGCCAGTCATCTAGACATGAGTTTAAATCCCAGCTGTGCCATTTAGCAACTTCAGGACTTTGGACATATTTCTGAGCCTGTTTCCTCACCTGTAAAATCATGGTCTGATATATCTAATGAGATTATTGTGAGGATTAAATGGTATCACATGGGAAATGGTATCACAATGGTATCACCTGATGCAAACCTGGAATATGGGGTTGCACAGCAGGTGTAAGCTCCCTGCCTTGTCTTCATCAATTCCAATGCACTGATCTCACCCTGAGCTTGATGAGAATCACCTGCACGGCTTATTAAACTAAACTATGGAGAGCTGGGCTCCATCCCAGAGTTTCTGACTAAGGGCTGGGAAGGCCTGATCATGTAAGTTTCTAACAAGTTCCAAGGAGATGGTGCTGGTAGCTGAAAAACTATACTTTTCAGAAACACTAATAAACTAATGGCCTATGTGGTCAGTAACTTTTCTGGTTATATCAGAAATGAATACACCTGCTCCCAAAACTCCTGGGAAACAAATATCCACATAGGCACCCAAAGCTGAAGGCTAATGAGTTACTACGTAGGGACACAATAACATTAGGTCTTTATTTAAAATGCTCTTATTCTATTTGTAACAGTGGAACTTTCTCAATAATTATCTAGCAATTTTCATCTTAAATTTCACTTACCTCTTAGTTCTGGCATCATGAGTTTCTAGGAAATGTCTCTGTGCCTCATGTTTAGCATGATGATCAGCCGCCAGTGCAACGTCAACAGTGATCAGTCCTAAGGTGGCCGAGCCAGCTTCCAGCCAGTAGGCCCTCCGCAGTATCGCAGGCTGGAGCCCAGCTCTGGGATTATTCAGCTGTTCAATGTACTGTCTCACTTGGAAGTCCTGAATCGCTGCGCTTATTCCTTCCCCAACCGACTGGTTGTGGAGATTACAGTTTGCAACCCGGATTGCCCCCATCTAAAGTTGAATGAAGAAAATGAAATAGAACTCTAGTTTCAGTATTTACTTTTTAGCAACTTAGAATAAACTACATACTAGGTAATTATTTCAAGTTGCATAAAAAAGAAAGGGAAAAGAGAAAAGGGGAAAGAGTAATAGAAAAAAATTAATGCAACAGAATAAAAGCATTCAGTTAAAAAAGGATAACAGGAAAAGATCAAAAATATAAAGAAAAACAAGAGGAGAAAAAGATTTAGAAGGGTAATTAGTAACAGAATCACAGAATCTTAACAAAGCTTGATTTTAAACAGTAACTTGTAAAGCAGAGGTGGCAAACAAATGTTTTCAGGAACCATAATGTATAAAATGTATAAGCATTCAAAATCCAGTCTTTGAAAAGCATTATCAGTTCACTTCCCTGCCATAAAAGCAAGCTACTAGTCTATATCTCTGCCACAAAGTAATGTTATAATAATTCATTTAGAGTAAAAAAGCAGGGAAGGTGTTTCTTTAAAAAGTAATACTAGCAGAGAACATGAATGAGTTAAAAATAGAAGCTATCTCCTAGAATTCTGTAGTATTTGGTGAGATGGCAAATGATAAATGTGTGTTGTATTTCAAGAAATAGAGGTCTGGTTTGATAAAAAGGAAAAAGAACTACACTGGCTAAGAAATAGACAAATATGCACCTTTATATTTGTAGCACAGCCATGCTCCACAATATAAATATCAGCTCCATCTACTGCTAAACGAGTCATGGTATATTTCAAATCATCTGAAGCTGGACAGGGCCCAGGAATACAACTCAACTAAAATGGAAAAAGATGGAAGAGTTAATTCTATTTAAATAAACAAACAAAATTCTGATCACATGCGTATTTTTAAAAATCAGTAGGTTAAATTTCACTTTTTTATAATGATAAACAAAATCATCAGCAATTAAAGTCTTGCCAATCAGAAAATTAATCATAAGTCACCATGTACAATTTTCATTCAAAAGGGGCAACTAGCAAGTTTAAGTGGACAGATTCACATATAACTTGTTACTGAAACTCAAAAGGAATAGTCAAAGTAAACAGTGTCATAGGTTTGTAAGAACTGTATAAAGTAGTAAGATTTTTTAAGAGTTCTCCATACACATACATACATACTTGTTTTACACACACCCACAAATATATCAACTGTAAATTTTATGGTACTATCTAGGAAAAGCCACACAGATTTAATTTGGTTTTAGTCCTAACACATAGATGTGGTCATGTCTAGGTTGGACAAAAACATACCACCTACTTCAATGAGCTTTCTGGGTCAATGGCAGCCCTGAGCAAGTACTGGCCCTACAGCACATAACTGCTCATTACTGACAGAGTATACTATAAGAATATATCCCCTCACACAAAGTAGACCTAAAATAAATGAATCTAAAATGACAGGAAGCATATAAATTACATGGAAGAGCAGCTGACTACGAAGAGGCACGAAAGAACTGAAAATGATAGAAATGTTCCAGGTCTTCACTGGTGTTAGTGGTTATACCAGTACATAAAACATTCGTCAAAATATGAATTGTACAACTTTAAAAGAGTGGATTTATTGTATGTAAATTATGTCTCAATAAAGTTGAATGTGACATAAGAACTTTGACTCTAACAAAGAAAAAAGGAAGGAGAGGCCTATAAGCATGTGTGAATTATCCATAAGAAAGTAACTGGCTGACAAATGACTAAGGAACTAATTTCTTGGAGCCTTCTCAATGTGTGTAGAACAGGAAAAAATAATTTTATCACCAATTGTAGCTGTTTCTTTCACTGTTGGTAAATAAGCAGGAGTTACAGATTTTTTTGGACATAAAATTAAAAGCAGGATGAATTACATTCAATTTATAGTAACACATTAGCAAACAAATATAGGTGGTATAGTAATAGAAAAAAGAAAAAAGGGACATCTGTAATACTTTAAACAAAAATAAAAATTATAAAAAGTTAAAAAAAAAAAAAAAGGAAGGAAGAAAGGAAAGACACATAGGAAAGAAAATAGAAAGAAAAACTAATCTTAACAATGGTCATCACTGTGTTTTAGAATTAGGGTTAGTTATTTTTCTCTTTCAAACTGTTTCCCGGGTTTTCTGAAATGAGCATACTTCTCCCTGCCCTCTCAAATGCTCCCCACCCCCAAACTCATAAGGAACAGTATTTACTACAAACTGTCTGCATATCATTGCCAAGGCACATGGTTTTGAAGATGTTGTAATAACCAAGTGAAGGTCATGAATGTTGTGGAAAGAGCATAGAAGTGAAGTCAGGAAACCTGGCAAATACCCGACACTGCTAATCATGCCGCAAAAGAGAGGGTCTGCAAACAGTGTCATGCAGGGAATTTGAACTTTATCTGGCTTCAGTTTCTAACTCTACATAAATATACACCAATCCCAAAGACTCAGTGCAATAAGTAGTAAGATCTGGGTGTTGACAGCAAAACTGTAAGAGATAAGATATAACTTTCATATCTCCATTTATTTGTAAATGCATGTTTTAATTACCTCCTATTTTAGATACTTACAACTAAATAACAACTGGCTATGATTTGCAAAAGTAATTTCATTAAATGAAAAAACTGAACAATAGTGTTTACTTCATGGCTTTGTGCATTTACTCTAAAGTTGATATCTCAATCTGTCATTGTTAAAAGTCCATAAACATTTATAACGCTGCTAACCTACTTGTTAACCTACCTTGGATTCGCAGAACCGACGATCGAGTCCATGCTGACATGTTATTACTGACTTGGGTCTTTCCAGTTCATACTCCCGACACACCACGTGAAAAACAAATGTCTGCCCCCACTCCAAGAGACTAGCCAGCTACAAATAAGCAGTACAGGTTGACAACATATTAGCACACTAAACAAGTGCTCGGAGCTCAAAAGCTAATCAAGAATATTAACACAGATTGCAAGACTCCAAAAGCCATCTTACACCTGTTGCTACATAATCTACTTGCTAGTCAGCATCATGATTTTTTTATTTTGACATCATTTATAAGCTGTGTTACTTTTCATTAGTGAATGAGAAAATACATTGCCAAAATGAACTCATTTCGACAGAGAAATTCAACTTCTAAAGTACTTTTCTTCAAGGTTATATCTTCCTTCTTATATGACTAACCGTAATCCTTGCACCTAGAATTTTCTACCTAATAGTCAACCAAGCTTTGATATGAAATTTGAGTATTATCATATTGAACTAAAATTTGGGGAAGTCAGGTATTTTGAAGAATAATTTTGTTTATGTAAATAGAAGCTTAAGTAACCATATGTCAATGCTTCATCAAATATTTAGATGAAAAAAAACACACCTTAATTCTATAATTGGAATTGTTAATAAACACACTGAGACATGGGTATACATGATATTACCCCCCAGAAAAAGCACATAATTTAAACTCCTGGAAAACATGAATTTCACTTTTAAAACACACAAAGAATAGCATAAACATTAAAAACACCTAAGGAATCGTGAACCTCACAAGAAACTGATGCCAAGACTCTAGTGCAGAAGAAAACATTTCATCTTCTAAGAAGTGCAATTTATAAACATGTGAGAGTCTAGCAATCCTTAGGTTAAAGGAAGCATGTCCAGTCTTGCAGGGTTGGCATGACTCTTTAGAAAATAAGCTGTTTTGTTATATCTTCAGTTTTTACTTATAAATGTAGGGACATGAAATGGTGGATAATAAGAAGAGGCTAGTTATGAGGCCAGAGAGCACTGAATATTTCTTTTCATCCATTTTTATACATTCCATTATATACTTATTTTCATTTATTTTTATAGAAAATATCCCTTTATAATTCATTCATTTTCCTACTATTTCTAGAATCTTAACTTTTGCTGTCTCCCAATAACTTCTTTCAGATATAGAAGGTACTTCAATTCTTTATTCACCTTGTTGCTACTACTCACCTCTCAATTATGTTTCATACCCACTCTGCAACTTTTTATTAAAATTGAGTATGCAGTCTGGCCGGGATGGCTCAGTGGTTGGGCGTCAACCAGGCCTACTCACTAGTAAATTCACTTTTATTTTTTTAAACCAGTAACCATATCACTGATAGCAGGTACAAATGATGTTATCTTGCTTTGGGGCATGACAAATAAAGAACCATGCTTCCTAATCCTTAATATCATAAATGGTAAGAAATATACAAAAAAGCAAAGTTAATACAAAATTATTCTTTATACTAGGAAAAGAAGATTGTTCCAACAATGGAGAACCAAATAAATAATATGTATTATTAAAAAAGTACCTGAGGTGCTGTGACCTTAGCTGTGAGGCTTCCAGCCTGCACATCAATTAGCCACGCGTATTCTAGGGAATCACTTCCCAAGGGAAGACCTTCTGCTGAGAACATAGCATGTGCTCTTAGCTGGAGACCTGACAGATTGATGTGACCTTCCCTGAGTGCATCATCCACAGGGGGTCGCTGCTGAAAACAAGAACCAGAAGACGGTGAGAAGTATATACAAGAAAATCACATTATGATTTCTAATTGTTTCTTCCCTTTAGACTAACAGTAAAAACATGCTATCTGAAAAATAACACTTCAGGATGCACAAACTCCTGACATGCCTTTTACCCATAAATGTAGTCTGAGTTAAGCTTCCGCAGTGACAGTATCCATGAGAGCCCAGCTACAAAGCAAGACAGCAAAGTCCTACAAAGAATGCTGATCTCTAAGTGGTCCCTGCCTTGATGAAGAAAAAGAAACCCGGACTCCGACTGGAAGGAAATAAAACAGGCCAACGTCTTGTGGGAAGGCAGGAATCGTGAGATTAAAATATTAAAAAGAAAATAACCGGGAACAATAAAGACTATTAAGACCATAAAATGAAGAACTAGGGAAGGAAGCCATCTTCCATATAGATTTTATTAGTAAAGGTATATTTTACCACGTTCTTGGCTCAAGACCAAGATATGTTACCAAGCATCTCACACTTCTTGAGGCATCTTTTACACTAGAAAGTATTTACCTTAATGATAATTCCCTCTGTATTTATCTCTCTACCAGGTTGATCATGGTAAAGACCATTTCTGCCTTGGTCACCAGGTATCCCACTGCTCCTAACAGTGACAAAAGCAGATACTGCTGACCAAGTAGCTGCACAGATGTCCTCACAGCAGGTCTTCTCAGAGACGCCAACACACTGCTTTACACCCAGACAGTTCACAGATATTTCCCAGGGGAGTTTTACTATGGGAGCCTTCTCAGTCTATGTGTACAGGCCGCCTTATAGGGTGTTTCTCGTTTCAACACATTTGTGGAAATGTATTCTTAAAAAAATTTTTAAGGGCTAAATCTAATTCATAAGGACTTCTTAAAAGGAAGTTTCAAATTATGACTACAATACACCTCTAGAGGTTCTAATACATGTTTTATTATATTTTCACCTAAGTTACGTGACAGTATATAGAATTGCCTAACTTCTCCAGGCATCAGTTTCTTTGCCTTATCTGAGGGAGTTGGGGAGGATGGGCAGTAAAGATCTTTTCTGGCATAGAGATTTCATAATTCTCGGTATAAAATTTTTCAGTTTTTTTTTTTAGCTAAAAAAATACATGTGTATCTTGGCTTGTAAACTACCAAGGAAACTAATAAAGGTTATATTCTAAATTGTATTATGGCTTGCATCATGTTGTGGGATGAATGATGTCCCCCAAAAGGTATGTTCACGTCCTAAGCCCACGTACCAGTGAATGTGACCTTATCTGGACACAGGATAGGGTCTTGGCAGATGCAATCAAGTCAAAATGAGGTTACATTGGGTTAGGGTTTCCTTCTTAGATGTGTCCTAGTAAGAGGAAAATTGGGACACACAGACACACAGATGCCATATGAAGACGGAGGCAGAGCTTAAGTGATGTGTCTACAAGACAAGGAATGCCAAGGACTGCTAGCAACCAGCAAAAGCTAGAAAGACGCAAAGCAGGATCCTCTCCTACGGCCTTCAGAGACAGCATAGCCCACCAACCTGATTTCAGACTTCTAGGCTCCGGAACTGTGAGAAAATAAATTTCTGTTGTTTCAAGCCACCCAGTGTGGGGTACTTTGCTACAGGAACCCTAGGAAACTAATATGCATCATCAGATGCCCATGAAGTGGAATGTGTGGTTTCCTAAGTCGGACACAATAGTCCATCCATCACCTTAGATCCTTAACCATGAAACCCTGTGTCAAGACTAACACTACCAGGAATAAGCACCTACAGGTAAATGACCTAGGGCTGACCCTGGGAGGAGTCACAGTGTAAAGTCTACCACCGTGAAAGAACAGAAAGTATGGATACTAAGGAAGAAAAGAGTTCTTAGGGCCCTGGCTGGTGTGGCTCAGTGGCTAGAGTGTCAGCACCAAAGGGTCATGGGTTCAATTCCCGGTCAAGGGCAGGTACCTGGGTTGCAGGCTCTATCCCCTGCCCTGGTGGGAGCACATGTGGAAGGCAACCAATCAATGTGTCTCACATCCATGTTTATCTCTCTATCTCTCCTTCTCTCTCTCTCCCTCTCTCCCTCCCTCCATCCCTTCCACTCTCTCTAAAATTCAATGGAAAAAATATCCTCGGGGGAGGATTAACATAAAAATAAAATAGTTTTTTCTCAGCTGCCAGTAAGGTGCTCAGTTCTTCCGTGGAAGCTAAGGCAGCGTTGCGGTGAGGCCCTCACTTCATCCTGCGACTAGCACCGCTCCCGGCAGCGCCCGCCCACTACTCGCCCACACCATGGCCTTGGTCTCAGAGCTCGCCTGTATCTTCTCGGCCCTTATCCTGCCCGGCAATGAGGTGACGGTGATGGAGGATAAGATTCATGCCCTCATTAAAGCAGCCCGTATAAATGTTGAACCTTTCTGGCTAGGCCTGTTTGCAAGGCTCTGGCCAATGTCAACATGGGGAGCCTCATCTGCAATGTAGGGGCTGGTGGACCTGCCCCAGCAGCTGATGCTGCCCCAGCAGGAGGTCCTGCCCCCTCCACCACTGCTGCCCCAGTTGAAGAGAAGAAAGCAGCAGCAAAGAAAGAAGAATCTGAGGAGTCTGATGATGACATGGGCTTTCTGACTAAACCTTCTGTAACACATTTAATAAAACGCTGACCTCTGAAGAAAGAAGAAAGGAAGGAAGGAAGGAAGGAAGGAAGGAAGGAAGGAAGGAAGGAAGGAAGGAAGGAAGGAAGGAAG